ATCCTATGATCAATGACCTTGGAGGCTTATTGTTGGCAGTGTTGGGATATCTGATCCCAGGGGTCCGGATCCAGTCACCTCGTACCCTCGCCGGGAGTGTGAAGGAGTCAAGGAACACCAGGGGGTGGTTTCACAGAGAAAAAGGTTTATTGCAAAGTCTGCGCAGAGGCGCAGCCCCTCTATCGTGTCTTACAAGTATTCTTATACCCAGTTGCAAGCTTGTTTCCTCAATTGCTCCCCAATCAGCAGACAGAGATACAATTCATTACCTTATTAGGTTAGCTAAGCCCCCTTCCCCCCTTTATATATATTGCTTGCTTGCATTCTATATGTTTGCGTACCTTGGGATATCTGAAGCAGGAAGCCAGGCAGGAAACCACTGCTGGCCTACATAGCTGGCCTAAACATAGCTGAAGCAACTGTGCAGCCATAACTGGAGCATAGCTGGCCTAAATCGCTGAAGCAACTGGCATAACTGGAATAGCTGTTAGCTGGGGCCCCAGTATATGGAGGGGTTAACCCTTCCCTCTCCCTTCAGCAGCTCTAGCCCCAATCACATGGTTCCCCCCCCCCCGATGTAGGCAATATAGTCAAATTTCACATTGTGCAACAGGCAATTAAGCCTATAAAAGCCCCCCGGGTTCAGACACAAGGGCACAGACCTGCAGGCCTTGTCACTTGGTGGCCACAGAGGGGTCCACCCCGCTGCTGTATTTTTGGAGCTCCCAGCAGCTGTACAGAGGTGTTGCTAGCTTGGTATGGTATATTCTTATGTATAATCTGCCTGCCGTCTAATAAATCCTAAGACTTCTCAACCACTTGTGTGTCTTCTGCTGTTTTTGAATCGCAGAAAAAGAACTCCCATGCCTTTGACAAGACAGGTGGTTCTCTTCACATACATATGGGTAGGATCAGAATGGTGGCTACAAGGAGAGAGACTGAGCATGCTATGTTTTTGCTGGAGAAATTTAAAAGACTGGAGGTATCCCTCCCAGAAACCCAAAAAGAAAAGGATGCAGTCTCCAAGTAGAAAGCTAGGCCTTTATTGAAATACAAATACACATAGGAACAGCCTCAAAAATAAAACTTCCTGTTTTGCAGCAAACCTGGCAAGTCATCCTCTTGGATGCTTCGGTGCCCAAGAGGGATTCCAGATGGAGATTAATGGGGGGTAAGGGGCATGTCTCCCCATACCTTTTGAGGGTATTGAAAGGGCACAACCCATGGTCAACCATTAATGCCTTTTTTTGGTTTGTGAGTGGGGCGCTGGGCTCAATGGCTCTGTCCAAGGACAGCCCTTGGTAAGCTGTGGAATACCTTTGAATCTGGTCATAATTCACAAGTGGAAAGGCACCCCCTGAAAAGATCCTGATTTATGCTGAAGGAGAAAATCATATGTGTGGAAAGGTTTGGAAAGAATGAAAGATGCTAATTTCTGCTTTGCTTGAATGGTAGAAGGAGCGGAGGGGAAGCAATATTTTAAGTCATGTTTTCCCCCGGGATCTGTGTTATCTACCCTCCCCTGAGAAATGGAATGCAAAGTTTTCAGGAAGAGCAAACTTTAAAGATACCTCTTCACAATGGATTTATTTTATAACTAAGGACTTTGCCTGAAAGAAGATGGAGAGTAACGAGCTTGAGGGACTTTTGAGGTATTTGACCACCCCTTGGAACTTCGTATTGTAAAATAAAAATGGTAAAGAAGAAAAGATTGGTAAGAACTGGATTGACTGTGTGTTAAGCACTCGGAAGAGAATAGTCTGTGGAGCTGGATGTAATGGAACTGAGGATTGGCAAAATGGACTGCAGGAATATTTAATAGTTTAGGGGGGAGGAAGGAGAGGAGATATGGATTTTGTTGAGATTACATCAGCCTACCCCCCTGAAGTTGGAAATAAGAACAGTGAAAGGGACGGGATGGACCACAGTGCACACAATCTTGAAGGTTTCTGACACTTTCAGACAGAAAATAATAGATATGGATTGTGTTTATTTATTCATAAGATGGTTGTATGTAAAATTGAGGGTTAAATTTGGCAAAATCTGAAGGGTGGGAGATTGGTAGTGCTTTTTTGGGGTATATTATATATTTTTACAAGAAATTCTAGGGGTTTCATTTTCACCCTCTGCATGCACCAGTGTGGCTGAGTTGTTGATTACAGGGGCCAGATGTCAGACAGCAATGCTCAAGGCAATGTTAGGGAGGAATGTGTGTATGTTGTCTGGGAGGAAGCAAGATCTGTTTTTCTTAGGCAAAGTATAACTCAAGGAAATGTTTGAAAATTGATGAACGACTATTATAGATAAAAGAGGATTTACTCTACTCAGCTATTTTGAGGACAGGTTATAACAATGTATAAAAGCCATAGCAGAAATTGGTAATTGAACAGGTGATGTGTAGGGAGAAGGGACAAATGTATTTTGAAATGATAGCTGGAAAAGTTATTTTTTTGGGAGCAACAAGGGAGGGAGGAAAATAGAAGGGGCATTTGGGGTGGGTGGGAAGTCAGCTTTTAAATTTGTATTGAATTTGCATTAATTTGGTGGCAATTTGTTAAAAATTATGGAAAAGCAATAAAAATAATTGACAAATAAAGAAAAAAATAAGGAGGCAGCTGCAAAGAACCACATCCAAAGCAATGTTTCTTATACATTTCAAAGATGACATACATGATATTTAAACAACCAACAACTTTTCCATAAAAATTACAACCAGTCAGACTAGCCCCCTGCTCTTTTGACTAGCCCACCCCAACCTTCTCATTATAATATGTGATCAGGCATTGCCATCCTTCAATGCCTGATTTAATTAATTTCTGATTAATTATTCTGTTCTTTAGCTGTCTACAACAAAAATATATTCTTAATCAGCCATGATTAATATATAACCCTAAGTTAAATTCAACGATACTGCTCTGCCTAGCCAAACTCCTTTCATGTATTCTCAGCTGTTCATTCCTTCACATTAGAATACAAGATATACTTGAAACAATTGTTTTTTTTCTACTGGGGGGTTGGTGAGAGTTTATACACAGATTGCTAAGCCTGTGAACCACTCTGAGACCTCCGGGTATAGGGTGGTATATAAATTAAATCAATCAATCAATCAGCCAACCTCCTTCCTTTCATCTCTGAACTGGTTCTGCGAAACAGTACCAGCATAGTAACATGTGAATGCTATCAGAAAGCTGTCAGATATCTCTGAAGATGAGCTTCTCATGAGTACAAATGCAGAGGACGGTTGAACTGTTCATTGCTTTCCACCATATCCCATCAATTATGCTGAGCCAAACATACTTTTGCTGTATATCTTCTCAATTAGGAGTCTGCAGTATAATTTGTGCATTTTTATAGCAGGGTATTCTGCTAGCAAATAAAACGAAACATTCCAAAGGAGGTTAATGTCACTCTACCCTGTTGCTCTTATCATTTTCTGTGTACAGTACATGTTTTCCTTTCTCCCATGACATGTCATGATAGTGTCAAAAGAGCAGTCTTTTTTTCTTTCCTGGCTGGGCTTTTGTACTTTTAGTAACTGAATTGATATACAATTAAATCTATTGGAAACACCTTTTGTCTACAGTAGCTGCACTAATTCCTTTATCCAAGGTAGATAAGCAATGCAAGGGGAAGGTAGTTGTGTGGCCATCAAACTGCAAGTTCATAGAAAGATATTTTCCTCTCTGAAGAGTTAGCGAATGAGATCCCACAGAGATACCAACTATTGCTGTTTCTTCTTGATTTAGGTCTTGCATGATAATCAGTTCAACTATGTTTTGATTGTCCAAAGGTGCAGGCACAATCTAATCCTTTTGAAATCTCGAGCTGATTTGGATAAAGTTACACAACGCTTCACTAGGGTAAAAAGTGAAAGGGACTTCATACAAGTCAACTAAGGACAAGACTCCTGCCTTCAACCATCTGGCCTAACTGTTGGTTTGGGGCCAGGAGAGGTGCTGAGGGAGCAGCGGAATTATAATTACCTTTAGGCTTTTTGTGAACTAGAAATTCAGTAAGTGGAAATGAACAAAAAATGCACTCTGAATGAATGTTTTGTTAAGTATCTAAAAGCCCTCTGGGACAGGGGATTAGAGCTCAAAACATTAAAAAAAATATTTAAAAGATTTTCAACAGTGCATCTTGATTTGTAAAAATATAAATTTAAAGCTATGTTTTTAGGATGTTTTGATTCCATTCTCCTACCATAATTATTTCAAGAAATACTGAGTTTTATATGGGGGGAAAAATACAAAGGGAGGCATATTCTAAAATTGTGAGGACAACTACGGTACTTTTGAGACATTTTGTAAGCAATGCAGCAGATTTTCCTGAGCATTTTGATAAGCTTTACGTTTGTAGCAATTTGCTTGAAGAGAAAACATGTTTTCCCCTAGGCTAGGGAGCTGAACCAGCAGAGCAAGAGCATATCCCTTGTGTTTCCTTTTCCCTTCTGCAGGAAAAGGGCTGTGTGGAAGTAGAAAACGAAATGCCACCGACATTTCCTGTTACAGTTCTTAATAATAAGCACAGAAAAGCAAAACTGCATTGAAAGATGCTTCATATCCGACAGTAGTGGGCAAGACGGCGGGTGTCCTTCAGGTCCCGTCCTGTGCAGGATAGCGAGGAAGACAACTTAGCATGGAGCCCCGGAAAAGGCGCCGTTCTTCCTCACCAAGGAAGGCCGGGCCACCATATTCCGGCTGGTAAGAGGAAGGAAAGGGAAGAAACTGATTACATGTTTTTGCTTGCGCACCGTACAAAATTTAACGCTGAGGCAAGGGCGCCTCGAAAGAGGGCTGAGCGCTCTATCTCAACACACTCCGCCAGGCCCTTCGGCCATTTTCGCAGCAAGCCCAAGGGCGGGCCTTCGCGCATTTATAAGCGGCGGCGCTGCGCACCGGTTGGCTGCAAGTGAAGGGGAACAAGCTCCTCCTCTTTCCTGACGCCCCACCGCCATGTTAGAACGAAGGGGAGGGAGAGAGGAAGGAGGAGTGTCCGTGCTTTGTATGGGAGGGGGCGGCGGCAGTGGCGGCGGAGTCGTGCATGGCTTTGAGGAAGGGGCGGCTCACTGGCGGGACAAAGATCGCCAGCGCGGTGTAGCGGTGCGGGCGGCTTCATGGCGGAGGCCGCGGCCATGAGCGGCGGCGGCGAGCGAGTGCCAGAGCAGCCTCAGCGGGCGGAGAACAGCAGCGGCCTCTCCGGCGGGGAGAACCGAGCTGCAGCCGCCGACGCGGAGAACTCCACACAAAATGGCGGCCGCCCTGAGAGGAGCAGGAGCGACGAGGAGGCGCCGTTCGGGGCCGCCGGCGAGGGCAGGGGATCCCCGCGCGGGGACCACCGCAAGGGCAGCGGCCCCGAGGCCCCCGAGCAGCAGCCCCAGTATAGCGACGGGCTGCCCAGAGCCCCAGAAGACAACATGCCCCTTAAGAAAAACTTTCAGATCCCCAGGAAGAGCAAAGAAAAGAAAGGTGGTTCCCTCGCATCGCATCCCTCCTCCTCCCCCCCAACCCTCCCTTCAGCCCCAATTCCTTCCTTCTCGCTCCACGTAGCCACATTCGCGACACAGCTGAATGCGAGGAGCCTCTCGCAGCCGCGCTTAAGGTGGTTGGCACGGATGAGAGAACCTTATTCTCCCCTTCCGAAGCTGGGGGGGTGGGCATGGGGAGAGACAGAGGCGTTTGGAAAACAAATAACCCCCCCCCAAAAAAAAACCCCAACTCGTTTTGTTTTGAGATGGCCGCTTTAGAAGAGGCTGGATACGGGTGTGGTGGGGTTTTTTTGGCCGAAGGGGGGTGTGGGCATCACCCGCGCCAGCTCGCAGAGAAGATGGTTCTCTGGAAGGGCGCGCGGGAAAATGGCTCGCCGACTTTGCGCGCTCTGCAGCAGAGGAGAGAGGAGCATCATCCCTCCTGCAGGGTAGGCTGGCTGGGGGGCGCTTACTTCGGCGAAGTTATCATTTTCCGCCCCTGATGAAAGCCGTCTATACCGCCCCCACGTTGTAGGAGGGAAGCGGATGCCAGCAACTCGTGCCCTGGCGAGGAAGCGCTATTGCTGCTGCGCTAGTCCCTTTGGTTCCACTGATCTTCTGTATATGCAGCATCTTAACGTTTCCTTTTGTGGCAAAAACGCTTCCTTGTTGTTGCTCTTCAGCTAGCTTTTCGTTAATGAACCTCCTTTGGATCATTTCCTTCAAAAATGCTCTCATTCTTTTAATCTTTAATCTTTTTCAAGAGGCTGCCATTAGTGTACTTCACACTTTCCATCCTTCAAGAAGAGTTTAACTTGAGCAATGCAAACATAAAACGTATTTTGTAACAAGAAGGTCAAGGTAGGTTTGGTTTGGCCCCTTCCTGAAGGTTACAGCTGTAGTCCTCAGTTGAAGAAGACTCAAGCGTCCTAGAAGGTTGAAGAACTTTCCTAATTATTTGATGGCACATGGCCTAGCTTTGTCTAAATTTGTGATCAAAAGAATACTACATGGACCCAAGACAATGAACAGTGTCGGATGTTCTTATGAGCATTTCTAGGATACAGTGTGAACCAAAAATGTTAAGTTAGAAGAGATGCAACTGCTGCCAAAGTATCTGGTTCTAGGCCTTTGTTGCATGTATATTTTTAATAGAATGTAAAGTGATACATTAGCCACTAGGTTCCTAAAGATAGCTTTAACATGGCAACATGAGAGTGATGGACTCACGTGCCCTTGCACTGCATTGCACACTGTTGCAGGTGGTATATATGGTTGTTCTCACCATTTTACCCTCACATCAACCCTGTGAAGTAGGTTAGGCTGAGACGGTGAATGGCATATGGTCACGTAGTGAACATCATAGCTCAGTGGAAATTTGAACTTTGGCCTCCGTGGTCCTACACTTGATGCCTCACAATGGTAAATTCTGTCTACATTTACTCATGAATTTATTGCTCATTTTGGAACTTCCTAGTGCAGTTACAGTTCTTAAGGAGCCTCTTGCAAATCATTCCCATTGTTTTGCATTGCTCCAGTAATTCTGAATGATCTCTTGAGCACTCTTATGCTCTTCTGTCCATGATACCTGAATAGTTACTGTGTATAAGGTGCAGTTATTTCAGTCCTGAAAATGTGTGAACACAATATTGATATACCTACTGGAAGCCAAGATGTTCCACAAACTTAATTAAGATAGAATTTTAAAATCTTAATTTAACCTGAAAAATAGAAGAAATTCCTGCTCTGGGTGTCGTCTTAGACAGCAGCATAGGCTTAATAAACAAGAGGTGGAACATGATATCGTGGGAACCATACTGTCCAGAGAATTGTGGAAAACATTTGACTCAAAAAGAGCAAAGCAATGAAGGAACTAATAGAAGGATTATGTAATTAGCCTTTTCCCGAGATTATTTGTGGCGAGTCATAATTCCATTGAGACTTTCTTACCACTAATTGAAAGAGATCTCCCCGCCTTGAGGAATGAACTAGAGAGCAGACCATGAAAGAGTTGAAATATGAGGGCCTTCTTAATCTGAAAGTTGACACATTAGATCATTTTAACATAATTACCCTTTACCAAGTTTCAGAAGTGCTATCTCAAATTTCTTGGTCAAATCTGAGGTTGAGATCTTCCAGTACTTGGTACTTAAAACTATTTCCTCCCCCCCCAATTTGAGTTTGGAATTCTTGTAGCAGTTCTATGCTGTCTACTTTAAGGAAATCAAATTATTAATACACTTCTAGCAGTATTCTATGTACAGGAAGGATTTGTCAAGAGGTTGCAGCAATTGTTTGGAATTCTATTTTGTTCTAGGTTTGGGAACTAGCTTAACAATACTGTCTTTCTGTGAAGGAAATATAAAGGTTTGAATAGTATTATCATACCATACAGATGAAGTAAAACTCTTGGTCTCAGTATAGAAACTACTGAAGCAGAAGTCTATTCATCCCATAGCACAGTGATGGAGCACTTTGCTTTGTATGCAGAAAGTTCCAGGTTCAATTTACAAGTTGTTGTATTTTGGGCAGGGTAGCTTTGAGGCACAGCAGTTCTGCTAGTCAATAGCAGATGATACTGGGTTAGATGAACAAAGAGTTTGACTTGGTATAAGGAAGCTTCTTATGTACTAATACAGTTCATATGGCCAACTGGAATATAACAAGCAAGGTTCTTGCATAAAATATAGGTGAACTGAAAAGTAGGAGAGTCCTGATGGAATCTAGGAGAATTCTATATTTGCTATTCAGGTCCTATTCTTTCTGCTTGGTTATAGTCTGCATTTCTTGAGACCTGGTCTGTAATTCCTGGTCTGTGTGTTGTCTTTCTGGTTCATACGGCACATTATTTTCTGTATTCATTCATATAGAGCAAAACCATATAAAAAGTCACTGAGCTCCATTACATTGCTATTGTACCTGTCTTCCCTTTGTAAGGAGTCAGTTTCAGTGAAGATTGAAAATTTTTTTTTTAAAAAAAAAAATATGACTCCAGTTTTAAATAAAAGCCAGCACATCACTTTCTGCTACAAGTTCCTAATGAGTTGCAGCCAACAAGGCATCCAAACTGTGGTATGGCTTCTGCTAGCGGAATTGTCAAGAAAGCCATTTTTGTCATTTCCCCGTTCAGCAATCCTGCACTCCCCGCCCCCCAAATAATAATCATGTGGCACACTTCTCCTCTACGTCCTTTTTATTGCTCCACCACACTCAGTTAAGCCAAAGTTTGGTTTAGTGGATCATTCAAACTGGGACTCATGGTTATGTTCTCTGCTTATTAAGTACAGGCTGTAAGCAAAAACAAACATGCAATACAGAGTTGTGCCACTTCCTTTCTTTCTCTGAAGGTAAAGAGGGTTGATTGTCAGGTATGTGGCAACATGAAAGAGCAGGTGGAGGGACAGTTGAAGAGTGAAGAAGTGAGGTATTCACTGGAAGAAAACAGGGTGAAAATAACTCATCAAGGGTGATGGACTTTTAGCACTCCTACACAACAGTGATTCCCTACCTTTTAACATGCATGCAAAGCCATAAAGAGGGGAAAGCTGCATTTTCTCATTAGCTGAAATTGCTACTCAAAGAACAGAGCAGGCATAGGCAAGCTCGGCCCTCCAGATGTTTTGGGACTACAACTCCCATCAACACTAGCTAACAAGGACCAGTGGTCAGGGATGATGGGAATTGTAGTCTCAAAACATCTGGAATAGAGACCCCTGAGCAAAAAAAATGTGTTCCTTTAATTCAGGTATCTTCACACACTGTTCTAAATTTCCTTAAGAAATAATGGTTGGAAGACTAAAAGATCCTTAATTTATAAGTTCTCAGCTTTCAATCTTTTCCTCCCCATCCCTTGGAAGAATAATGTGGATTGGAGTATGGAGGGGTACTGGAAAAGGAGGCAAATGCTGAAAATTGGGTAGAGGTTTTTCATGCTAGAGGTTTATCACTGAATGTGAAACTTCTACTATAGTTAATGCATTCTACTTACGAAATGTTATTCTGTAAGTGGTTTTTCAAGAAAAGCTGTAGGTAATGCAAACTACCCATATAGACCTGGAAAAATTGAACTTCTAAAAAATTGAGCAACTAAAATTTCTTATTAAATTTGCAGCTTTATCCTGTGCAAAAGAAAAAGGAATTTGTTTGATTTTATCTCTGCCCTATGCTCTAATGCTTTTCTGTACCTTTAAAGACTCACTGACAGAGAATTGTCCACTCTTAGATGTGCATGGTTTCATAAAATGAACTACAGTCAACTCCTGGTTTGGGAGTGTCCGAATGACACGCAATCGCACACATGTGCATGGTGCCAAATCTGGAAGTAGTCCCAAAACATCATAAAGATGTCATGAAAAGCGGTGGGTCTGAGTGGGCTTATGCGTGCTTTGCTGACACATGCAGGGATCTGGAACAGAACCCCCTTGCAAAATGAGGATTGCCTGCAGTAACACAGTAGCATTTAATTGCAAGACACACAGAGTTTGAGATACTTGTTTTCTTTCCCTGTAGCTCTTTTTCAGCCAGTAACAGCAGGATCTCGTGAATTTCAAGAGATTGTGAACATTTTGCATTCATCATATATGGAAAACCATTCAAAGGACAATTTCACCTACAAAAAAGCCAGTTTGGTTCATAGTGAACTGTTGGAAAAGGAGGTGAGTACCCAATATTCATACATGAAATAGTACCTGAAGTACACAAAAACATGTTCGTATTAATACGAACAAAACTCGGTTAAGTTGCAAAGAAGCTTTTGTGGGAGGCAGGGACAAAGAAGGGGTGAGACATATTTAATTTATTTATGATCTTGCCTTTTGACTTTCAAAAGAGTTCCAAAGCAGTTTACATTAATAAAACGTACAAATTTATATTAGAATATATCACTGTTGCATGAGTGGCTTTGTGCTCATGCAGTCTTTGGATCCAAGCTGTTTTCTTTACACTTGTGAACCTTATGTCTGTTACATCTGTGGTTGCCTACTGTATTTTGCACAGCTTCTTGTCATTCTACCATGTATAAATAAACAATTTATATATAAACTGCTTTCAGCATTTAGTTCACATTTTGACTTTTCTGGTTACTTTGTTTACCTTTCTGTAGAATTGAGATTTTTGAAATCATAGATCATACAAAGTCATTAAAGTACGCTAGTTTCTGTTGCTATTCGAATTTTGTCTTTTGAAAGTTCATAGAGAAACGAAGAGAATTGAAGCAGGACGGCAGATCGGAAAAAGAGCTAGAGGAAACATTTGCATTTCTAAAGGTTGACCGTGACATGGTAAGAATTTTTATTTCTTTAAAATAACTATTGAAGCATAATGATGCTGAAGGAGACAGAGTGTGCAACTGTCCTAATAATGCAAGGATGTCTGCTTGCTCAATAGAACTTCTCCCTTTTTCTCTCCCTGTACTTGCCCTGTCTCCTGGCAAGGATATGTTTTGGAGGGTTTGGAGAATCCCCAGAACAGGACTGAGGCTGTGTGCAGTGGGAGGAAAAGGGGAAATTCCATAGTCTGACAGGGAGACTTACTTGGATACAACCCATATTTTGTGGGGGAAACCTTCCAGCTGGCGCTATTATGCTTCTGTTGAATTGTGAAATGCACACAATGGACTGCCTAGATTAGGTTCTAGATTGATTACCCTTGAGAAGTCATACTGCTGATTGTCTCCCACCAATTGAACAATATGGTAGAAGGTTATTTTTGGTTTACTTCATAGTAGGAAAATGTGCTACTAGAAATAGTTGACTAGTGTGCTGTACAGAGTGAGTATGCTAAACCTGAGTATTTTAAAGCTGTGCTTGGTTATGAATTAAATGATGGTTATGCAGTGGAAATTACCATTTTAGAGAGGGTGGAATATGGATAGTTCAGATTAATACTTTAGAGCAAAAGATTATAGTATATTTGGTGGAACGATTGAATGATAAAGTCCTTCCAAGTAAAGTGGTGTGTATGCATTTCTGTGTGTGTGTTTACATATAGAGAGAGTGAAATTATTGTTATTGCTATTATTTATTACATTGGTATACCACCCTATACCTGCAGGTTTCTGGGCAGTTCACAAGATAGAATCACAATATTAAAAACAAAAATAATAAAAACAAAAACAAAAGTGACCCCATAATCCTCCCTTCACCAACATATTTTAAAAGGCCATTGGATGTCAGTCAACCAAAGGCATGGTTAAAGAGGAACATTTTTGCCTGGCATCTAAAGGTGTGTAATGATTGTAAATATCTTGATTGATTCATCAAAATGTTCATTTCCATCTTATGACAATTTTGGTAGGACAAAAAATAGTGAGAGTGAAGCTTGTTAATAACATCATGAGTATTGATGGCACAGAAATGGATGAATAGTTCTCCACCTGTGGCAAGAGTGGCTGGAAAAGATATGGAAAGTTGCAGAAATGATTAAACTCACAAAATTTGTACAAGGAAGAGAAGGCTAACAAAATATGAGAGTTTCTGAATGACATTGACAAATATAGAAATGTTCCACTGTGGAGAATAATATAATATTTTTCTAACAATGTTAACACTGAAAAATTTAAAGATGTATTTATTTCATATTCTTCTATGATGTGGAATTTATATTAAACTTTAGTGCTTTGATACTATAATGGTCAGGTAATTATGTAGATAACATTTTGGAAATATGTGTATGTTATAAATAGTGGGTGGAGGTATAAATATATAATTAAAGAGGTATAATTATATATAGTTTAAAGTTGTCTGCTTTCTCTTCTAAATATTTTAGTTATACAACAGGTTTTTGCTGTGGAAACTATACTGTTGGCTACTAATTAAATTGACCTGGATACCACTTTTAAAACTGTGGTGTTGTTATTAACATCTTCTGTTGTTTTAGTATGTTAAAGATCTGCCTGCTATCGTCAGAGTCCAAAAATGTGGTTCCTAGAGTTTGAGTCTTACCGCTTTACTGACCTTTGAAATACAGCATGAGATCAGGAACAATCCTCTGCTCCCCTCTCCATGTCCAAGTTTGGATCTAGGGTGAGGGATTCTATGCAAGATGAAGACAAATCCCACTCCTATCTTAGAGCAGGATGAGGGCTGTTTGTTATGCACTTCACATTCAACAGGTTGTCGGCAAACAGTGAAAGCCTTTGCTCACAGAGCATTTGGAATGTTTGTGAACGTTATGTGCCATTGCACAAGCTTATCTAATCAGTGTCAGAAGCATCACCATCAAAATGCACAGTGTAAGATTAGCATTTAACTGAAGTTTGAACAATATTGTTGATATTTATTGCCATGTCTGTGTTCTAATATTGCTAACTAAATGCTTGCTTTTAGGTGCAAAACATATGTGAAAATGGCTTGCAGGTGGGCCATTCCAAGATAACGGTTCTTGGCAACCCTTCCCTAGGTAAATAGCATTTTTAATTTTCATGGAATTTATGCCTTAAAGAACAGAAGAGAGATTCAGATGAGTGTTGATTCATGGGTCAGGAGTCAACTAAGTTGTTTACAAGAAATGAGATCTACCTGTGCAACAAAGTCCCACATGCTCCTTGTACCCTCTAAATCTGTTCTTGAGTATGAAGAGAATCCCTAGAACAGGGCAAAGGGGCGCATGAGGAGAAGAAGGGAAAGTTTTGATTCAAGCAGACCTCAATCTGTACACACTTACCCTACTTAGCTGTATGTTGAATCCACCCATAATTTCTAACCATTATTTGAAGTCCAGCTTCAACTTCCAACAACTATGCTGCACTCTGGCACACTGTTTTGGAGTGTCCTCCAGTCCTTCAGGAAGTACAGTGGACTGAAGGAATGGGCAAAAATAGTTTCCTGCTTTGATGAGTGGGGACAGCTCATACGTAGAGATTGGCACTTGGGAACTCTAGATCCAAGCCAGTATCTCAATATAAATATAAGGGTCATTCCACATCAAATCAATGCAAACAAGAGTTTTGTCAGCCACTATCTCAGATTTTGATGAAACTTGCTGTACACCCTTCCCTTATGGTTGAAAGAAACCCCCTTAATTTTCCCCCCTCTATCTCAAACGGTTTTAATTTTATAGCACTTCAAAGTTTCATTAAATCTGCGTTGTCTGACCCTCTTGAGACCCTCGGCATACAATGTCCTTGTGTACATTTTGTTTTTTCTCTTCATAACCAATGATCAGATCTCCTTGAAATTTTACACAGGACTCAATAAAATGATGAGGATTTCAGAAAAAAATACACAAGCACTCAAAAGATTTTATAAATGCCTAAATTTTTTTATAATTTTTTTTGGGTGGAAAAACTAGGTTTAGAAAACCTGAATTTACAGCGTGTGGTCATGATGTAAACAAATGTTTTTGATGTTGAAAATTATTGCAAAGACATGCTCTTTCTCGACAAAGAATGAAATTTATGGGTTTTTTATTCCTTGTAACGAAAATTTTACGTTTTACTGGGCAGACATTTTGTACAACTTTCCTACAATCCATAGCTGTAATAGAAAAAATTAATGAAACAAGACCATTTTAAAATGTCTAATATTTTAAATATTTCTGAAATGAATAATTATTTTTAAAATAATTTAAGCCTAATTTTATGTACTCATATTTGTATATAATACTCAATTTTTAACTTTTTGGAATATTTTTCTTGCTAGGTCTTATTTCCTTACATGTCAGCATTTAATGTTCTACTGACTGTAAATTCTTTTCTTTTATTCCTGATAGCCAATTTTCATAACTTCAAATTCAAATATCCCAAAATTAAAACAAGTCTGCACCTTCAAAAAAACCTATAATAACCAATATTATTTTAATTTTTAAGATGTACAACTTTGTTTCATTAATTTTTCTATTACAGCTATGGATTGTAAAATCCTTAGACCTCCCGCTTGTCTGTCACTCCTAGAGGTTGCCCCAATCTCTTTTAAAGAAGGAGGGCTGGTACTTCACAAGGCTACTTCCTCTCTCACCTGGCTGCTGTTCGTTATGCTAGAGCTGGTGTGGCCACCTTTTGGCAACATGACAACAACATTACATTTCTATGTATATAGGAAGATATAATTTTAAAACTCTTGTTGGGCTTCTAAAATATATAGATTACTTTTTGGTTATCCTTGTGTTTGCTGTAACAGTAGACCACACAGAATTCTCAATCTTTTTTAAGGTTATATATCATCAGAGATGGTTAAATATTTGCACGTCTGTTTGATGTGCATTAGTTTTGTCCTTTCAGATAGAAATGGTTTCAGTAGTTTAATGGAAAGTTAAAATAAGATCTGGAAAATACATTTTATAGTAATAGGCATTCTCTTGTGCATCACTAGGAAACTCCATAAATGCTGAACCTTACCTTGACATTTGTTCTCTTCACATTCTCCAGGTGTATATCTTTCTAGGTATGCTGATTTATTGCAAGCTAATCCTCTGGAGGCTAGAGCAGTGGGTGATATTATTATTTTTAAAGTAATAAAAGTAAGTTTAAGCTGTTTTTCAATTCACTCACAGTTCATTAACGTTGTATGCCCTTTTCTTAAATCATTCCCAAGGATGTATTTTATAATTGTAATCATTTTATTTGTGCTTATGTTTGTATTTTCTATTCCTGTATCCTGCTCTGGGATCTTATGGTGTGGGCAAGTGAAAAAATCTTACAAAATAAATAAAATGTAATAGTACGTTTCTTAATATAGCAATTTCCTGACATGAAGCACTTCAGATAGAGCATTTTTCTGTATCAATCAGAGCCACTCCTTATGTTGCAGTATTTAAATTTTTAAAATTTGCTAACAGTTGCAAAAGTCATTTTCAGAACTGAAAAGTGTGTCTGGTTTGTTGATGGAGTTAATGGCAATTGCAGATTTTTCAAAAGACTACCAACATTTAAAGTAGCTGGAGTGAGTGAACAATAAATATTTGGCTACTTTATATGTGAATTCATTGAATATAAAGTGGTATGACTTCTTATGTTTGCTGTGTGCATTATACTTTCCTGATGGGGATTTTTCTGACTCTTTTAGGGAAAAATGAAGGCAGTATACAGTAACCTAGCAGTGAAATCAGTTGACTCAAATGTTAAAAGTGGATTAGACCCTACACCAAAGCATGAATGCCATGTTTTAAAGAATGCAGACAAAATCCGTTCTTTCCTACGTTACAGAGCATATGAGCTCACACAGGTAAGAGAATGACAGTTATATGAACATAGCTGCATACAAATATTTATGTGCTTGCTGCCAGGTTTGTAGTTCTTATGAAACAACTCCAGTATAATCCTTTCCAGTATGCAGGCTGTTACAGGTCGAATGCTGCCTAACATTTTGAATTTGTTTTGTAGAGATTTGTCTTGAAAGTTGAGTTTTAATCACAACTATAATAATTTGTTCATGGTGCTAATAAGTTTCAGCATTACTAGCGTTATACTAGTTTAATTACAAAGTTCAAATGAAGAGTTTGAAATCTACTATAAAATAAATTCAGCAAGCATCTCTTAGCATTAGTAATATGCAAACTTGAGTTTCTTTTGAATTTGTTTCCAGTATTATTTCTATGAATATTACTTTGATGAGATCAGACCAAGACCAAGACCAAGGCATGTGTGTCCATATGCTGTTGTATCATTTTCTCACAGTGATGAAAAGGTACTAAAGTATTTGCCACAAGCAAGGTAAGAAGGGTTTTCACACATTTCTTAAAAAGTAGTATCTAATGTGAAAGGCTTTAATGCTTAAAAGTGTATACATTTTCGGTTTGTTACTACTTGCTGGTCTTGATACATGGTTGCAGCTTTTGATGAAGAATTGGAAATGGTAGTGTCTTACTCAAGCTGTACAAATGGTTGTTTCTTTTTTTAAAAAAGTGTAGTATTTTTATCCTGCTTGTCAGCTGTAAAGAGCTTGATAGTAAAATAGTCCTTGTTCTCAGGCTTACAACCTAAAATACATGACACAAAAGGAGAACGGATAAAAGGGAAGAGAAAAACAAGCAAAGTCAGGCACCAGTTCTAAAAGTTACCTGTTAGTTCTTACAGTGACCAGCCTGAGTAGAAACAAGGCAGGGAGAGGAAAAATCAGAGCTGGTCTCTTGCAGATACAATGTGATGTTAGCTTGTGATTGGTCTGGTCTATACTTGTTACACCCTTTCATCCATAATGACTATTCTGTAGACACATACTTTATTTTTAACAGTTTGATCATCAGATTTCAATTTGTAAGTGAATTTGCTTTTTTTGGTAAATGGGCTTCAAATAATTTGCATTTCAGTAATCACTTGAGTATATTATATGTAACATGAGGCTGCAGCAATCTTGTTCCTTTTGAGATTTCTAGTGTGGCACATGCGTGTGCCTAGGTTCAGATATTGGCCTTGGTGTCTAATCTGTCACATAAGAATAGTACTTGCTTGCTTATTTCGTGTAACGTTTGTTAAAGATAAAATAAAGTTTCTAGACAGTTTCACGTGTTAGCATGCCTCTTGGTCATGCTTGGCTTTAAGCACTGGAATGCTGCTTCATAGTAATGAATTCTGTATGTCTATGGAAACAGAATAGCCCCAGGGACTCCTTCACAATTGCTCTGCCACCAGCAAGTCCATGCATCTCATTCACTTCTGTGAGAAAGTATAAAGGGACTGCAGTTCATTATTGCTGAGATGACTTGGCTTAGATGCCGATGAACTTTGTGTCATGGAGGTGCAGATTTTGTCCCCACTTAACAGTGGTGAGAGCACAGCTTTTCCTGCAAAAATAATGGAAGCCATTTCTTTTTAAGGAAGAAAGTAAATAATAATGTGTGTTGGGTTAAGCAAAACAAACATCAAGATTCCAGCAAGTTAAAATACTCCTTGAAAAGTTATTTTCATAAAGTGTAGCAGAGAGTGGACAAAAAATAGAACATAAGTTTGTAGAACACTAACCAGTCTAAAACTATTTGTGACTCCTTGAGAACTGCAGTCCTCACCATTCCCACTTTCACATTTTGGCTTCCCACATTTTGGCATGCAACCACCAAGAGATTGGACATTGGTCAACGTGACCTTTGGTTTGAATTGGTTTATCCACTGTTGCTTCAAGTGAAGCAAAGCTGAGTGGCCATGTGCTGTACTTTGTCAGGTGGCTGACAATCTCAATCTTGGTATCCTCTGGAAGGTTTTTTTGAGAACCTGGTGGGTCTATTTGGCTTAGAAAACTGCAAGTTATGTTAGCTGCAGTACCTAAGTCTGTGATTCAAACTGTAAAGTATTTAGTGTGTTTTGCCAGCATCCCTATGAGAGAGATCACAATCTTATAAATTACTGTTTAACGCTGGGCAGATTTGGCAGATTTGGCTATTTCAGCCTGAGTCCAGTGGACTCTACATATTCTTAATTGATGTTTTACAGTTTCCATATATTAGGGTTTGTTCTCTTTGCTGTAGTTCTGATAAATTGTTAGAAGGCTTCAATGTCGGAAGCAATTGGCGATATTAAGGAACTGTTAAACTGCTTTGACTGGAGTAGCTACTTGCGATAGCAACCAGGTGACTGGCTATTTTAAAATTTGTGTTGTGATGAGAATGTAGCACTGTAGTTGAGGTTACAAATGGAATACGAGTTGAAGTGTGGCTTATGAATTGTGACAACTACTACATAAAAATAACTGGGCAGCAAATGCTAGTAGGCTTATAATGACATAAATGTAGGGAAAATCTAGGGGTCTCCAGTTTTTGGAGGCCTAGTTGCCAGGTTCTTCCTACCAACTTGATGGTACCACCTCCACCCAAAAGCAAAGAAATCACCCTGTTTGAAAGGCAGAGAGCGTTGCAACTTCATCTGATGCTCTGCAGAGTGACCCAGATGAAGAAGTCTTCCCCACCTACTTTGTCTGCAAGAGGACAGTGGGAAGTGTGCTGGCTTCAGTCATTGTCAAGCAGCCGGGCTCAAAGTGATGCCATGAAGCAGCAGCCAGGATGCCCATACTGTCCTTTATTGTCCTGAAGCAGGAAAGGGGGAGTTTGCTGGTTTGGCCCTGATCAAGATTTTCCAGATGCCTTGGCCACATAGCAGCCAAATTGCTCCCCACTTTCCTCCCAACTTTGGACATGTGGAGGGATTCATACCAGCAGTTGTACTTTGAAGCACCTCCACAGCTTAAAAGTTGGTAGGAAGGCTTGTTGCTTGCCACACTTGCCAGAGGACCTGGAAATACCTGAAGCATGTTTTCTGTTGGGAGCTTGGATCAATTTGTGGTGTAACTTTCTTTTAATCAAGATCAGTCTACTAGGAACCAATCTAATATTTTGAAACTGCTGGCGTATTGATGTGTTATCTTGTGCAGGCCAGTGGTATCAGGTAAAAGGTCTCACAGGAGCCTTTCAGGGCATTTCTGCCCTATGGTGGCTTTGCAGTTCTGAGGAACTGAGACTTTTGTGTCCAAGAATCATATGTTCTGCAACAGATATGTAAATTGTGTACATTTATGCCTTCTCCAAGATCACTTAGCTTTAAAATCCAGAGAGAGAGAAAATGTAGATAAAGAAGTATTTGGTCCATGGCTGTTCAAGAACATAAAGGTGGAAACTACATGTGAGGGAAAGCACTACTTCTGCTTTTTGATTTTAACTGTGTGTATTTTGCTTGTAGAACAAAGATTTCTAATGTGGATAAAAGCACTGGTAAGAATTCAATTATTAAATAGAACTGTCTTGATTTATATAAGTCCCTAGATGTGCTAGAAGATGTGGTACTTTGAGGCTAATTCAAAGCACATGGGTTGACCACAAGTAACACCTTGAGCATCAAGGTTTCTGGCTTTATAGTAGTTTAGTGTGAACAAGCTATATAAGAGTATCAATTGCTCCCGCTTACCTTCTCTCTTGGAATAAGTGGAATAAATAAGCCAGAAAGCCTTGTCTTCCCCTTAAGTCTGAACAAGGGATCCTAGTGAGTTTCTCTCTAACAAGCCACAACAATGAAATTTGATTTGTTCCTGTGTCTTGATAAGGAGCAGCATATCACAATACCTTGTTTGCATTTAATGGGGAATCAAAGCTTCCCGGTTTGTATCTTGCTTGCACCAGGGGAGAAGTGAAGCAGCAGCAGTTGGGTAGTGGGCAGCAGACTATGTCTCACTAATGCTATGCATCACAATAAGCCAGAAACCCGACTTTGTGGTTATGTGCAAACATGGCTGTTACATGCCTAGCTTTGAAAAAAATGAAATTATTTGCTAAATAAATTAGAATAATTTATGCAGATTGTTATCTGCATGAATTTGCTTATTTGCATAACTCAGCTGTGCGTTTATATATGTAAATAATTTGTAAAATGTTCTCATTTGTGGGTTTTTTCTAATATTATAAGGTTAGAAATGGTGAAACAAGAAAATGTTGAGTAGCAAACTGACATAGAGTATTGTTAGGGTAATAGAAAACTAAAAATCAAAACAGTGTCTTCATGAAATGAACGACTGTCTTCCTTTTAGTATCAATAACTTCTACCTAATTCAGCCTTGTATTTAACAACTTACCTGATAGTCATAGGTGACCAGGAATTCCATGGAGGCAAGTGAGCATGGTGATGGAGGAGAGCTAGATTGTTCCATTTCTCTTCTGTTGACCAGTTGGATTTTTGTGTTCGCTATGGAGGAAAGTCTCTTCCTCGACAAATGCATGGTGAGCAGAGAAGGAAGTGTTCCATTCTGCCTCCACCAGCCTGCTTGCTAGAAGTCTCTCTTTTTTGGGGGGGGGGGGGGGTGCCTTTTTGAGGTGTGTAATTCTTATGCGGTAAATAGAATAAAAATCTTCTTACCGCATAGCATTTTCTACCTTTGCCTTGGTCACATGCCACATGAAACCAAAACACAATTCATTGTGAATACACAGCGTGCTAGTGCATACTGCTATTTGGAGAGAAACCAAAAGCCTGGGTTTGGGCGTTCAGCACACCAGACATTTCCTTCTTTCCCAGTAGTAGTGTGGGGGATGAACAGAGTGAGAATTTGCATTCATATTGAAATATAGCTTTCTTTTTAGCAATGGTTTAAAGTGATGTGCCAACTGGGTTCTTGTGTTAATGGAATTGGATGAGAATACTGAAGACATCTTGGTTCTGATTTGGTCCAGAGTGAATAATCATTGAACTACGAGGCATCAAACATGACTCCATTAGATTGTAGCTGTATCCTTATACTAATAACTGCAGATAGTAGATCAAGAAAGTAGATCATATTGACTATTCAACATGTGCTTTTATAGGGGATATCTTCAGCTATACCTTTATAGAGGTGTTCTGCAACAGCATTACTATACATCTTGCTGAAATGGAATTGGGTCTGAGATTCCCAATTACTGCTTTAAATTAATTCCTTAAAGAGAGCTGGTATATCAGGCTGGTCTGCCCTCAAGGGTAGCTGTACTTTATATTTTTGTTATTTCATGAAGTCTGAAATGCTCAAAGTAGCTTGCCTCCTCCAGCTTTTGTCTACTAGTGGATTCTAATTTCTGGAGACGTGGAGTTCCTCCAAAAGACCCCTTCCTTCTGTTCTTTTAAGACTCCATCCTTTGCAGTATGGCTGCCTAAGCAGCTTTTGGATCTTATACAGCCCAACCAAGAATAATCTCATGTGCTGCCAGTTCAGCTCCCAAATGCTGCACTTGTTCTATTGATCACCTAGGAATAATATTTTCCAGTCACTACTTATAGCTTAGCCCTTAACCCTCAGTGGCACATACTGCATTAGCTAATATGCTTTTAATTTAAAGTGTTGGTCACTTGCTGGAATTTTAACATGCATCACATGCTTTGTGGTATTATGAGAGCTTCCAGTTTAATGGCCTTTCCCTACCCCCCGCCAAAAAAAATATCTTAGCAGATATAGTAAATTATTACCTTACTCCTAAAGGAGTGGATCTTTGGAGTGGATTTTCTCTATTGAGTAAGTGCACTTAGTTTTTGCTGTTGCTTAAACAGGCAGTTCACAATAATGTGAAAATACAAATAAAAACAAATAATACAACAATTGAATAAAACAGTTTAAAAACGGTAAGAAGTCTCTACTAATCTCAAAATGCCTGACATAATAGTGTCTCCACCTGTCTGTGAATGAAAATAAGGAAAGATCATATACATACATCCCACAACTCCTGGGCAGTTGCCAGGCCCTGGTAGATGACAATCTTGTCTATCTAAAGGAAGGAAACTGTAGCAGGGCCTTTTGGGTAGATTTTAAGGCTCTGGGGAGCTTGAGTAGAAAATAGTCCCTGAGATCCCTGGGCCCTAGATTTGTATAGGGCTTTAACTAAAAAATCTGGGACCTAAAATTAAGCTTGGAAACAAAGTGTAAAGCAATGCAGATGTGTCTAGGCTTGGTGTAATGGGTTCTTACCTGCACATACCTGTTAAGAGTTGAGTAGTATTCTCTACCAGCTACATTTCCAGTCTTCTTCATCAGTCCATAATAGAGATTGTAGCTGTAGCTTACTTTGGAGCTCACCAAAGCATTCATGCTTCTTGTTGTAGTGACAAAGCTGGACCAACTGACATTCTTAGAATTTCCTTCTAGCCCCAGCTTCAACCTGAGAATCTAGGAGCAATGTTAATGGGTCTAGGAACACTCACAGCTTACAAATCTGCTCCTAAGTATGTGATCCTTTTCAAATATTAGTGTTTCTCAGGCTAACTGATCCACTGAGTCCTCTACTAGCATTTATTGTGTTCTACCTGGATTGGGTTTAGTTTTTTTATTATTCATCCAGTGTAGCTCTAATCTCAGTGGCTCCTTTAGGAAAGCATCCACCTCACCTGGATTTGATGAAAATGAGAAAACAGAACCAAGTGTCAGTTTACATTTGGTCTGTATTTTAGAGTTCCTTTGCTTTCAGGCGGTACTTGGGTGGTGTCAAAGGGCCCCTGTTAAGCACTTGACTACTGAGTCATCCATTCCAAAGGATTTGTTTCTTAATTGGCCTTGATATGGGAACTAAGCATTTTCAGCATTCACTGTTTTCCAGGTCTTTTATCCTATGGGCAAAGTGATATATTCTGGGCTTTCTAGGAGTTGCAAGATGCTCAAAACATGAGTGCTCAAAGCAGCATTGCTAGCTAACTCATGAGAAACCATGGGTGGAATCCAACAAAGCACTAAGTCTCTTGTTCTGTCAATGCAAAGATGTATTGTGCAATGGAATGTTCCCCCTGCTTTCTGCCTTCTCCCTAAACCTGTTCTAGGGGTTGCCCCAACCATCTGAAGCAGATTTGGAGAGTGTGTGGGATGTGCACAGGGACACAAGCGGAAATCCTTGCACTGACAAGACACGGTAGTTGAATACCACCCCATGTATTAGCTAGACGCCTAAGCCTTGGCAGCACATGCCGTCAGGAGGAATCTAAGTGTCCATTTATGGTGTAGTGAGCTTACCATGACCTGAAATGTAGGTCTGTTTTCCGTTCAGTGTCCTAATTGTTTGGTCCTCCAGTGGAAACAGGATTGATCAAGAAGAGCAAAATGCCTTGCAATGAGCAAGAATGAAGAATATGAATGAAGCAGAATACGTATTCCTCCTTTGTACCTGATGACCGGAGTTTGAAAGCATTCCAGGCCACTCCAGTGGGTTCTTCCATTTTAGGACCTTATTGAAGGTCAGAACAGCCCAGAAGTGTTTGGATCTAGCAGCATCTCTTTGGAGGACAGACCACTGCAGGTTCAAAAAAGGCTCTCCTCATAATGAATGTCGGTCTGTTTTGAATGGGAGTCTCATTGTCAGTCAGTAACAGCTCATAAACAGGAGTCCAAAAAGAAAGAAATGTAAGCTGGATGGAGACCCAAATACCTCAGAACTAAGTACCTTGACAGCTGTGTATATGATTTAGTGCATGAAGTTCTGATGAAAGTCCATCTCTGGGAAGAATATAAAGCTCATTCTGCATCCTAAACTTCTGAGAAGAGTCACAGTGGTTAAGCTATGGTGTACAGTTCTGATTTGTGGTGCATATGAACTCCTCAGTTCAGATGTCATGGCAAGCTACAGTTACAATGAACCAGGAAGTGAATTGCAGCATGCAAGGGAATTCTGAGGAACAGTCCTGTCAACCAAACCATGGTTTGACCAGTCTGCTGTGGCAGCAGCAGTGAAAGATAGCACATGTTGGTGGACATTTGCAAGACAGGCATATGAACATTGATGGACATTTTTACAAAGTGCAAGAACGTTGACCTCTTCAAGAAAAGCTGCCTTTAGGTAGAAAATCCTCTTAGGCTTCTCCCACAAAGAGAATCCAATCAGGAAAGCTACTGTTCTTAAGCACCTTGGATGCGATTCCATTAAGTGGAAGGAGAGTAGTTAAACCTACATACACCATGGCATGAGCTTGGATTAGATAGCGAGGAAAGGGGGATGACCTTGTCATCAATCTTTATTTTGTTCACTTTACTATTCACATCCCCCCCTTTAAGCAATTAGGTAGTTCTCAGCCACCATGCTCTTTGCTGCATGCTACTGATGCTAGGGTCATTTTTAAAAAACTTTTTCTTGCTCTTTGGCATATGGGAGTAGAGCCCAACTGATACTCTTTGATGAGGTATACTTTCATCTAATGGATTGGAATTTTATGGTAAATAACATTTCTCATCTTCATTATTTTCATCCACTGACACCCAAGCAGTGTGATTTGACTATATAATGTTCATCAGTTCTGGAATCTGCTGTGGTATTTTAGGGGAACCTATAAAATTCCGTATTAGACTGGGAGTTGTCACATGCAGAAATAGTGATTTCTCTTCTTGAAGTCCATTACTTTCCCAGCTTTGTAAATAAGTCTACAAAAGTTCTGAGTTTCTATATAAGCCACAGAGGAAAGGAAGCCTTTCTGTATAAGCCCCTCAACTGTGTTCCTCCTCTGCCAGCCCATTTGGTAGAAGGCCAGTAGAAGGGTAGTTTCCTGAATTTCCATACTAGCCTGGAGGAAGGAGCTTTCTCTCCTCTGTGGCAAACATAGAAACACTTCCCCTTCCTGCCCACTCACTTGCTGTGATGAAATTCTAGGTTGCTTATGGTTACCAGATGAGTTATTAAATGCAAGGCTGAGCTGTCAATTTCTTCATGTTACCAATGACACTTTTAACTTTTCATATCATTACTTTGGAGAAGGGACACTTGAAAATCCTTCTGCCACATCTAAAAAGAAACTTACTCAAGAAAATTTAACTTCTCTGATCATGTCTGCAAAGCCATCTCCTAATACAAGTTTTTGGGTATAAATGAATCCCATTTTAATTCATATCTTCAAAGCACCATTTTTATAAGAAGTATTACAAAGTACATTATTCTTTTTTCACATAGATAAGGCAAGCTACACCTTATGGAAAGGGCAGCTTTTAAACAGAGGGACGCTTGTATGCCATGCTGCTTTGAAATCAGAAATGCGTCCTTTGCTTCCCTGCAAACTGTAAGTATTAAACTTTGAAACACAGACCTGAAATCCTCATTTATTAGCCTAGATTATGTCAGATCTTGAAGGTCTGGGAACGCTTCAGTTCTATGCATGATGTGACCAGATTTTTTGTTGCTAGAAAGTGTGTTTCTATGCACACTTCCAACACTACTTCAAAAAATGATGTAAGAATTATAACCTTAGCTAAAAATGTGACCAATTGCTGCTGAGATAAAAACCCCCTCAGATTTCTTTATTCTTTCATCTTTAGACCTGAAAAGCTCGATGTTGACATGGTTATGAACATTGAACACTTAAAGCACGTCTTTCCACGTGTGTTGCAGAAAGAAATATATTCGGGAGAAAGGGAAGGTAAAGTCTCTTCTAATTAAAAGAAAACATTATTTATCCAGATAAGTATTGTCCCTAATGGATGCCTTTCTGCATTCTTTTTGTTGCTCAAGTCACTGGCAAACATAGGGTGATAAAGCAGTAGGGTAGATTGTTAGAAAACAAGTGGCGAATACACCCAACTGAACAAAGGCTAGAGCTCATTTTAGAGTTCACTCCGTGGCATTGATGGTGGCAAAGATGCAATACATTACCATCACTACTGCATCAGCACAGTATTGTTCAAGAGAACCATTTCAAGTAGTACTGAGTCTCTCTATGGACTTGCAGGAAGATCAGAGAACCCTTAACAGCTCACTGTTGCATTTACTAATCACTTGGCTGGTATTCATAGAATCATACAATTGTAGGGTTGGAAGGGACCACAAGATTCATCTAGTCCACCCCCTTGCAACGCAGGAATCTTTTGCCCAATGTGGGGCTAGAACCTACAATCCTGGCATTAAGAGTCCCATGCTCTACCAACTGAGCTATCATTCACATCTGATCCAACTTGAGGGTTGAATGCCACAGCTGCTGTAGAAGTAACGAAAGTAAGAGTCTAAGTCTGTCCGCATCTTAGGCTGCAATTCCTGAAATTCATCCAGATATTGCCAACGTTTTTGATGGGATAAGGCCCGCCATGTTTCTGCTCAACCAGTGCCTGTTGCAGTTGATAACTTCTGATGGATGATTGGGTTAGTTCAGAAGATAATTCATGCCTCATTGTGTCAAATCTGCCTAGAGGATGCAGCTGTGCAGGCACTCCTTAAGAATCTGCTTTAGCCCAAGTTGACTATGACTGGTCACAAATCTCTCTTTTGGGAGCAAATATCTTGGGATTATTGGATGAAACGGAGTATCTAAGACCTCTTTGAATCTGGATACAGGACCAGTTTTGTCATTGAAACTGCCTTGGTCACCCTGGTACCAAAGTGACAGCTACAGGAGAGTATGACTTGTTGGTTATTCTGGATTTCTTGGTTTTTGCTCCTTCAGTACCATCAGTCACAGTATGCTTCTGAATTAAGCTTTTGGATTGTCCATCTGGAATGTCCGTGGGAGGCACCATTTTGAGCTGGTTCTGCTCCTTCCTGGCATATATATTTTGGATAATGATGGTGGAGATGATCTTCATGCTGTTTAATGTCTTTGTGAATCTGCTGATAGAGGTTGTTCGCAGCCAGTTGCCATTAGTATCCTTGTGACACCCTGTTCTATTTCTCCTCAGCATCAAAATCCACAAAGACAGTGGAAGTGCTGAATTGGTGCCTTGGGTCTAATGGAGTAGATGAGGGCTAATACTGAAACTCAATCTAGACAAGATGGGATATACTGTTAGTGGGTGGTTAAGCGGATGTGTAAAGTTGTGTCTTGCTCACTTTTGATTAGGTTACACTTGTACACAGCTTTTTTTGTTGTTGGATCCAACCTTTACTTGTAAGCAGTTACCAGCGCTTTTGTAACATCCAGGTTAGATTACTGCAATGTGTTGCTTGTAGCGCTGCCTTTGAAGATGGTTCATAAATTTTAAGTAGCTCAGAATACAGCAGGCAGACTGTTGATTTGAGTACACTGGCTTGAATATATATAACACCATCTGAACATATTTAACACCAACTCTTTTCTTAGTGCCCTTTAGAGATCAAAGGTTACTTTGTTGTTACTTTAGGAACATAAAATGTGCTTCGTATAACTTGGTTTGCATTCAGTATAGTTTGGTGTATTAAAAGTACAGCTCATTCAGACAATTATAAGCTGAATTTGCTTTTTAATTGTAAATGGAGTTACAAAAAGATGAAGTATAAGGAACTTACTTGTTTCATTTTGCCAGTTTATGAGTAGTAAGCAGAAACCAGTAAAACCAGAAGAAACCATCATTATAGTAAAACAGTGAATATGTATTCTAAGAATGATTATGTGTTCTCCAGCCTTCCACAGCGTGAAGCAGACATACAGCACTCATTTCTGTGAAAAAAACAGAGGGTGTGTGTGGAGAAGAAACAAAGTCTCCATGAATACTACATGAAATTTAATTAGTCTCATTTTGTTGCGAAGGTTACCTAGATGCCTGTTCATTGTGTGATCAAAGACCACATACGCAGCAATTGGAGAAATAGAAAGTAAAATTTATTGCTGACAGCAATAGGTCCAGTGGAGTTCCCTCCCAAGGACTGGACCCTGATCATTTGTGCTCTGGGCTTATATACCTTTTTCCAGATAGCTGTAGGCATTACATATTCATAAACTGCAGCAAAATTAAATCAATAAGCTTGGACACCACCCTTCCTATATCCTCCTATGTCCATATAAAGATTTCTTCTGCTTTCCATATAATTGCTCATTATATTAGTAATTACTCATATACTGTTATCAGCAAGCAAAGCAAAAATCCCCGTTTGGCAGACAAAGCCCCCCAAAACCCCTCCTGTTATCAGACATCCTGTGTCCTATGTGGAAAGCACCCAACTTGGACATCCTGTTTCACTGAACATTGGGTTATGATGACCGTCTCAGACCATCTCATGACTATGATGGATGTCTTCCTTGCAAATTGCAAATGCAGCTAAATGCATATATGTTTCTGCTAACACAGCAATAAGGCTAAGAGAAAGGCACAGGATTGGCTTTTTAGAATTAGGCACTTTAGGCACAATAAGATAAAGTGAGGCACAACTATATATACAAGGCACAGTGATATACCTGTATGCTTTCTTTAGGGGGCCTTGCCACAATTTTGTGAGGCGTTTCTACTTCATCATATTTATTATGGACTTCTAAAAACTGGACTTTCTCTTAAGTCCTTTGAGGCTTAGTCAAAAGCATAGAAACAAATCTACCAAATATGCCAACAAGAGGAAGCCCACAAGCAAATAAGGCACTGAATTCTTCTTCCTTCTCTTGTAACAGTGGCAGTGCCCGCCAAGAGTCAGAAATGCATCTTCTTACTCTATCTGAGAGTTTTAGTGTACAACAGGACATGCTTGCCCTCATTGTATACGAATTGTGAAGATTTGCTACTATACATACTATACATGGCCCTACAGAAAAATCTTCCTGTTAACATAGCTTTTAGAAATCATTTTGGGGGTGTAAATATATGAAGACTTAAAGGGTGTTTAACAATCATTCTAAAAGAAAATATTTCATCATCCAAACTTCCCCAATGTTTCCAGGGTTTCCTTTGGCAAAAAAACAAGAAAGGTTTTTTTTTGGGGGGGGGAGTGTCCCTGCCCCAATTTTTTTCTAGCTTTCCCCCCAGGCCTTCATATTAGTATCCAGAGACCCTCTTCTAAGTATCTATGCCACAATCTCTACATAGTAGAGATTGCGTTAATGGTGTCTGGGAGTAGGACCTCTTGTTTATGGAATGCCCTCTTGTGAGTGATGCATTGAATATAGAATGCCATATCTGAACAGCTTGAGAATGACACCAACATTTCTTTTATTTTGATTGCAGGTGAAACTTTTTCCTAACAAATAATTTTAGTGGTTTGTGGTTTTGTATGCTCTACTTTTACTGATTTTTTTTTTAAAAAATGTACATGAGAAAAAACTTTATTTTGGAGTAAACTTTATAGTTATCTGTTGTTTTTGTTACTCGTTGTTAACCGTCTTTCGTGAACTATTTTAAAATAGAAAACCAGTTTGAACATGTATGTTTAAATAATATATAATGGCTTGGATCCTATGTAGTTCAAGCAGAAGGAAGATAACATGCAAGAGGACTTTCCCATCCCACCCCCATATGATCCCCTCCAACCCTCTCTGAGCAGTCTGGGATCCTCCTAAACAATGTGGGGGGGGTGGTACTGGGATGGGATTGCCCCCATATCATGCAGGGCTGCCTTGTGCAAACATACAGAGTTCATACAATGTAGTTTTGTTTAACTTGGGCAATTGGCTTAATCTACAGCAGTCCTATGCTGTTCAGAAGGATCACCTTACCAGTTGAGAGGTATTTTGGGGAGTGCAAAGGAAGGAGAGGATCTGAATTCCAAATACCATATATACTTGAGTATAAGCCGACCCGAATATAAGCCGAGGCACCTCATTTTACCACAAAAAACTGGGAAAACTTATTGACTCGCGTATAAGCCGGTTCACCACACCACAAACCTCCTGGTGGGCCAGAGTGTGTTTGCGCACACGGCAGAGGGGGCTTCTCTCTCCTCCCCAGCCCTTCCTGTCCCCCTGCCTGCCTAGGGTGCTGCCGAGAGGCAGAGGCTGGTGGCGGCAGCAGCGGAGGAAGAACAAGCAGCCTGAAAGGGCTGCTTTCGGGCTGGCTGCTCGTTCCTCCTCCTCCGCCGACAACAGCCTCTGCCGCTCGCTTGGGTGGGACCCTCACTCAGGTATAAGCCGAGGGGGGCTTTTTCAGCATAAAAAAAGAAGTCAGATTATACACGAGTATATACGGTAGCTTCTGCTTGTGTTACTAAAAATCCAAGCCAATACGGACAGATATTTGCTTGCTTTGTCTCTTGGCAGAAGGGACTAATAGATGCTTTTCTTTTTACATTTTCAGAGTACAGGAATGGAATGTATTGCAGTCTGTATGAAGTTGTGGAAAAGACTAGAACTGGAAGTAATTTGGAAGGTTTACTTCAAAAGCTAGAGACAGACAAACTAGTGAGTAGAGCATCTTTTCATAACTTTACTATGTGCACAGTTACTCCACTGAGAGAGGTTCTGAGAATGATTTGGTCAGTTCATATTTTATGAAAATACATCATGAGCAGACAAGTGCCTGCTGTCTTGCTCCACACTTTAAGAGTTTAAGAAGAGCTTGTTGGATCAGGCCAATGGCCCATCTAGTTCAGCATCCTGTTCCCACGTGGCTGACGAGATGCCTGTGGGAAGCCTTCAAGCTGGACGTGGATGCAAGAGTGGGTGTTCCAAATTTAATATGCATCATCTAGAATTAGGGGCATCATTTTTATGTTGTGTGAATTGTGTAAACTTCTTTTTTCAGGTTATTGTAAAACCACTTATAGACAGGGGATATCTCTTGCTGCTTTCTTCTTATCAAATGGCTTCCCCATATGGTATGCAACTTGTTTCTTCTTCAGCAATTCAGATTTGTTTCTTTTAATTAGCAGCTTCATTACTTTACGGTGTGCCTTTTTTTTTCTTAATTCAGACAACAGAAAGCCTCACATTCTGCAGGCATTGTTTCTGTTTCGGAATCCTAGAGGTGTTGTGACTTCAGGTAAGTGTTAATCTTTAATGTACCAATTTATTAATTGTTAAATGTGTTAAGTCCCACTGCAACCATATAATAAGAAAAGTGTAAAAACCTTTAAAAATAATTCCATATATAAAAATGCAAAAATAAAAACAATTCTCTATTTAAAAATAAAGTCAGTAGTTCCAGTACAAGTTAATTGTTCTGGTAAAGATCTCCACTTAAAAGGTTTCTAGCTGTAATACTATTGATGCAGTAATAGCAGGGCTGGCCCATTCATGAGGCAAGGTGAGGCGACTGTCTCAGGTGGCAGGTTCCACAGGGGCAGTGGATCAGCCTCAAGAAATGTATCGCCTTCTGTTGCTCCCGCGGTGGCGGCAGCAGCAGCAGCAGCAGCTTTAGTGCTATAGATCTGAAATTAGCTCTGGAAAGGCACAAAACCTGTATGTGTGCCTACTCCAGTGATCACCTGAAGATCTACTGTTACAGGTAAGCAGCACATCTTAAGCTATGTTAGTAGAATACAGAGAACCTTGCCATAGAGCAATGCTGATGAGTAATGAGAAGAGATGCTGATGCTTTATTGCTGCTTGTCTGTTTGTGGTAGCAAGGAAGAGTACAGAGCAAATTACCTATGAATTATACGGTGTTAGAAAGTGGAAGCAGAAGGGGGCTAAGAGTATTCAGGTGCTTGAAACAACAGATGTATAGAGATACAATGACATACCAAGCATGGAAGACAGAATAATTATTTGTTGTAAGCCACCCAGAGAACATTTTGTTGGGCAGCCTAAAAGCACAGAAACTAAATAAAAAAGTTGGAGGAACGTGTGATAGTCTGAAAAGGAAGGTGGCTTCTGGAATTTGAATGGTCCATTCGATAAGAGCAGGATGCTTTCATTGCTGGGAAGGTGGATATGGTTGCCACAACAATACAACACATTACAAATAATCATTAAAAGCGCTACATAAAGCTTGTATGGAATTTTCCTGTTTAGAATCATTTAGAGTTGATACATACTCTCCATTGGCTTAATCACAGAGGCAGGGGACCTGTAGCTCTAAATATATCGCTTCACTACAAATTGCATCACCCTTGGCCATTAGAAATGCTGTAAGAAGACAACTGATAGCTCATAAAAGTTATACTCAAAATCATGAGATATTCTTAGATACAAATATGGGAAGAAAAAATATTTCTGATAGTCCTCTGCTAATGCAAATTGCTGTCTTATAATATAATTGGAATTTGCTTTTTAACCCCAAGTGAGTGTGGTTTAATGGCTAGGCCTTGGGGGGACAATGTTCAGATCCTTTACTCAGCCATGAAGTGGACTACAAGACCTTGTGTCTGTCACTATCATTCAGTTTAACCTATCTCAAGTTTTGAAGATAAAGTGGTGCAGGAGAACTGTATATACTATTTTAAACTCCTGGGGGGGGAGATATAAGTTAAAATATGTATTAATAGTTGTGTTGCTTGCTTAAATGACTGATTTTTCTCTCTTGCAATTGTCTTTCTGCTTTTATTTTGAACACAGTTCTAAAAAATGAACAGAAAAGTGCAAATACGTTATTAACGCAGGAAGCCCATGTGGTCATGCCGGAATTTACAAGATTTATTCAGTCGCTACATTATGCTTATATTCATTCTCGTAAAGACACTAAAGTAGACTTAAATACTGCGGTGGAAAAGCATATAAATGACTATCTGAAGCGAAACAGTAAATTTAATAAAGAGTTCATTTTATATAATTATAGCACAGTCTTGGATGAGAAAAAGCACCTATATCCTGCACCAAAAAACAAATCCAATATTGAAAGCGCCTTACGCAACTACATTTTTGGTTCAGAAACCTACCAGATGTCTGTTTCTAAAGCAAAAAAAATTATGGATGGAAATCGGAAGCCTCAGCAGTTTAGTCCTATTTCAGATTATGAAGCCACAGAGGAGGAATCTGACTACAGAAAGAGAAAAGCTAGGAAAAGAAATGGTTCTAAATGTGAAACTGTAGTTGCCAAGAGAAAACCTGGTGACCCTGGGGATTATGATCAAGAAAGTATCAAAAAGTTGATTAACTTAATTCAGTGTACAAAGAAAAATGTAGATAGAGACTCTGACACGGAAGACAACAGAAATGAAAGCAGACTGCAAATTAAGATAGAGAGCCCACAGAAACATTTTCAAACTAGTGAGTCCTCAGAAAACATTTGTCAGCATGAAGGTAAGAGCTTTTGTAAGCTACTTTCAGTCTATGAAAATGTTGTCCTTTTAGTGTGGCTGCGGCTGTGCTCTGGAACTGCCTGCGTATTAAAATTAGGCAGGCACCTTCACTATACTGTTAGTTTCAGCTGATCTATCCAGACACATGATTTCATTAGATTTGCATTAATGTTTTATTAATGTTTTTATGTATTGTTGTTTAGTCGTTTAGTCGTGTCCAACTCTTTGTGACCCCATGGACCAGAGCACGCCAGGCACTCCTGTCTTCAGCTTTGCATATTTTAGTCCTGTTCTATATAGAATTGAACGTGTGTACTACTTGTAGATACATATTCTTTGAGCAAGCAGTTTATAAATTTTATAAATTGTAATAATAATACTAATTTATTTGTATTGGCTATGTCAACTAACTAAAGGATGGCAAATAACTTTTAGCATAACTTCATGTTTTCCCCAATTCCCCTTCTTTGGTTTCTAGGGGGCAGAGCAACAGAATCGCTTCTTTCAATTATACATGACCTTGGTGGACATGATACAGATTTGAGGCAGCAAAATGTTGCTAATACTCCCAGTAATGACGTATATGGTTTCCTAAAGCGGATTTCAGCAATAATTAATAAGCAAGATTCAGCAGAAAGCTATTCAGAGCAACAGGTTGAATACAACTCAATTCTGCCACAGATCAAGAACTTTCTTAATGCTTCACATGTTGAAAATGTTCAAAGCCCAAAGTTGGAAGTGAATGCATCATGCTTGCCTTATTCTTCTGATGTTTCAGCTAGTGAAGTAGACATTGATCATGCCCAACATTTAAAAGTAAGAATCTCTTTAAGAATATTAGAAACTGCTTCTAAAATTTCAGTGTATGCATTTGGTGTATATAAAATAGGAGTTCTTTTTAGCATTTGTATTTGTGGCTTCTGGATCTCCAGTTTGACTGTTACAGTGGCCCAACTCCTGAAACAGTGAAAAGTAAAGGGGTAGATTGAACAAGACCAATGCTAAATTCTCTTATTCATGCAGTTCTGAATTATAGTAGTGGTGGGGGCAGGGGGCGGGGTAGGAAATAAGAATGGTATAAGGTTGAGGGTAGTTTGCCATGAAGAAGTTCTGCTGTAATGAACAGCTGCATTTGTGTCCATTGAATTTATACTTTGAGGTGGAAAAGCACTAACAGCTTTAACTGGAGACTGAAGAATAATCATCAACCTAGATGCTGTGTGTTCTCTCCCCTTCCCTATTCAGCATAAGTAATATTCTAGATGTATACTCCCTGTGACTCTTTTGCTGATATGTGTGGGTATTTTAGTAATTTGGTTAAATAGTAAAATGAGAATTCCCTGGATGCCTAGATCCAGTTTTGGAGCAAGCACTCTTTGGTGATTAAGCGCCATCAGAGATTTACAATCACAAAACATGCAGCAAAATAAAGTGTGGAAATAGACCTTTAAAATATTCCTTTCTAAGTTGTTCCCAAAGTTTCCCACTTCCCTTAGCATTGAAAAAGACCACATATTTGGTAAGTTAAAAATGAATTACCTACAAACTCTTCAAAGGTCAGCTTCATGTGCTTTTCCATAGAGTAGCAAGAAAAGACAGGCAGTTAAACTTAGTTTCAAAATTGGTAAATGTTTCGAAATTATTTGTATAGAAACACAAAGGTGGCTTGCTAAAGTCACACGGTCTAAGCTTGGAGCACCCAGCTTGGACATCCTTACTGGTCGATTTCACATGGTGGAAAAAGAGACAACAAAGGTTTTGATTACCCTTCCTCCCAAAGTGAGCAGGTATGACTTACCAAAGCCTAGCAGAACAGCTATGGTTTTAACCCCTTCATGTTTTAATTAGACTGAGCATCTTGGTTATATGAGGCTGGATTTATCCCACACTCTGTTCTTTTTTTATGGAGAAGGGCATTTGATCTCAGTGACAAGTTTAATAAAATTTCCTTCCCCATTCTGGTGGGAAATGTCATCAGACTCTACTATTGAGGACCATAATAACACTTTTCATGCTGGGTTAGGAATCTGGAAGGGAAAGAAGATAGACTTCTTGGCAGAGATGTTTGGCTATGGCAGCAAAGGGAAGAGAAGGAGAGTCCCCATGTATGGGGTGGGTGGGTTCATAAGTAAGCAGAGCTTAGAAGGGAATTATCCCACTCTTTCATACACAGGTTGACTTACAGAAGGGCTGTAGCAGCAAAGGATCCAAAAGTCCCCTAAGCTACGTACCCACTCCTTCAGAGGGAGTACAGTGGACGCTCGGGTTGCGAACGTGATCCGTGCGGGATGCACGTTCGCAACCTGCAGCGCCACGTCTGCGCACGTACGGGTTGCGATTTGGCACTTATGCGCATGCGCAAAGCGCGATTTAGCGCTTGGGCACATGCGTGACCGCCGAAACCCGGAAGTAACCTGTTCCAGTACTTCCGGGTTTTGTCGGTCCGTAACCCGAAAAAACACAACCTGAAGCGGCTGTAACCCGAAGTATGACTGTATAACCCCATCAAGAGCAGGCAAGTTCCCATACATCCAGTCTAAGGAACCACCCACTTCAGTCTTATCGGGATTGAGTTTCAGTTTGTTCACTCTTATCCAGTCCATTACTGAGGCAAGACAACAATCCAGCACACCAACTACTACACCTGCAGATGTAAAGGAGAAGTAGAGTTTTCATAGTGCTGATAACATACTCCAGACCTCCAGATACTCGGTGGTTTCATGTGGATGTTAAACAGCACAGGGGATAAAATTGAGCCCTGAGGAATCCTGCATTGATGCATTCTGGAGCTGAAAAGCATTCCCCAAACATCACCCTCTGGAAACGACCATCCAAGGACCAGAACCAACACAAAGTAGTGGCACCTACCCCTAACCAGAACAGCAACTATGGGAAGGATGTCATGGTCAGTGGTATTGAAGGCCGCTGAGAAGTTGAGAAGAGGAACACATTTCCCCTGTCTCTCTCCTGACAGAGATCATCATACAAGGTGACCAAAACAGTTTCTGTGCCAAAACTGGGCTTAAACCCCGATTGAAATGGATCTAGAAAATCGGTTTCCTCCCAGAGCACCTGGATCCTGGTGCACAGCCACCTGCTCAAGAACCTTGTCCAAGAAGGGGAGATTGGCAGCTGGCCAGTAGTTACTTAGATTTTTTGAACCCAGAGAGGGTTTCTTGAGGAGTGGTTTTACCACTACCTCCTTCAAGCAAGCAGGACCCCACCCCCTCTTACAAGGACGTATTAATCACTTCCCTGCTAGTTTTTGTCAGCCAAGAAGGAAAAGTGTTCAAAGTGCAATTGGTCACCCTTATCAATCCAGGCACCTTGTCCACGTCCTCAAGCTTTACTAACTGAAACTCATCCAACAGAAGAGAACTAGATAGTGCTCTGGAAACCCCTTGAGATTCATCTGCTGTAACAGAGTCAAGATCCTGGTGGCTGCAAGTGATTTTGTCCTCAAAATGCTGTGCAAACGAAGTCACAGCAAGCCACTGTCTGTTCCACCACCTCCAGGCCAGACTGTAAGAGGCCCCACGCTACCTGGAAAAGTTACCAAATGGCACAATGAGGTTGCGATGGAGGCAGCAAAGTGTGCCTTCTTTGCTGACTTCACTGCCCCTAGGTAGGCTTTATTATGAGCCCTCACCAGTGTTCGATTACATTCAACCCATGTTTTTCTCTTACGTTCGAGCCATCTCCCAGCTTGTTTCATCACTCCAAGCTTTGGAGTATACCAAGGAGCCAAACAGGCTCTATGAAGCAGGGGATGGTGCTCATATCAACAGCCTGAACCATTCAGTTGTTCCAGAGGTCACCCAGTGCTTTGACAGAAGTGCCAGTCATATAATCTGGGAATCCTCCAGAGCCACCTGGAAATCCACTGAGTGAGGGAGGCCTGGCATTCAGCAACAGAAGTTGCGGACCCAAGGGCTGACTGATAGGACAGCTGCACTTCCCCAGGTTAAAAGAGGGGGTCTGGCACGCAACAGTCACTAACTGCCTATGCCGTGTGCCTCTTACCCGGTCAACTTAATCTCCTACACTTTACCTCCCCCTACCCTGAGCCACTGTGATTGGCTCTCCTCAGCTCCTTTCTTCCCAGGCACATCCCACGTCTTCAGTTAAAAAGCAACAAAACCTCAAATTTAAAACATTCGGGTTAAGCAGTTAAAAACAATTTTAAACAATAGGGGTGATAATAATAATAAAACCCACTAAGCAATAACCCAACCCGATGAGCCATTTACAAGTTCTAAGTAAATAAAGATGGTAACTGATTACACCTTATTGATGGGCCAGTTTTAAAGGTCCTTCACCCATAGTATCTGCGTATTTATTTGTTTTGCTTGTTTACATTTCTTTAATGTATGCATTTATTATTCAATTTTGTTAATTTTTTGTTTTCAGTAATGGCAAGACTCAGTCTTTCTGGTCTCTTTTGCCTTTTTGCCTTTTCCCTTTATTTCAGAAGTTTTATTTTGCTTTCATGAAGAAAGGGGTTCTGGAAGTTCACAACTGTTTCATGTAATATAATCTAGATTTATACTGGTTGATAATAGAGACGAGTTACATTACTTTGTTCTAACTGGTGTGAAATCTGAATTTGTCATTAACTAAACTGGATTTCAAGGGGTTGACTGTTCCTCACGTTGTTTTGGAGACAAATTCTTCCTAAAGAATAAGCTCTTAAATGCTGGGATTTCGGAGTAAACATGCATTGGGCTGTGGGAATGTTTTTTATAAGTAGTTAAACAGCAAGTGCTTTGATGTAAAGGCAAAATTGTTTTCATAGAGACGCTTAAAATATTTTTACATTGAAATGGCTAAAAGGTAACAAGTTAGAATTATCAATTGAGACTACTATGTGTTTGTTTAGGAAACAAGCACTGGAAGTATAAGTAGCTTTGAAGGTGGTAGCCCATGTCCTAGCACACCCATTGAACATACTTCTCATAGACAGCATTCCGGCTTATACAACGTTGAATCAACTGAAATGCAATGGAAGCTGATTCCTATCACAGGTAAGTAACAACTTTATAAATATAAAACCTAAAGTTTTGTCTCTTTCTGATACCCAGTTCTTAAAATGGCAAAAGGGATGTGTGCATACTATTACATATTCCAGTAATATTTGAATTCTGATCAGGTTATTCTGATAGTGTTTATGGCAGTGAAAACCACATTTTCAGACCATCTGTGTATATAGTATTATGACTAAGCCTCATGTTATTTAAGCAAATAAGCAATAACTGTTGAGATTATATCTACTGGTTCTATCATATACAGTACAGTATATCTTTCTGGAAGTGGGCACATTAGGATTTTATGACTGAGGGAGTAAAGTTGGAAGACACCGAGCAAACCATAAAATCTGTGTCTTCAGATAGTTTTGGGGTTGAAAGTAATGTTTTGCCATATGCTGACCTACTCGTGGATGGTCTGGCTGTAGATTAAAATTAGTGCTATCTACCAGCAAGGGCTTCACTATTACAAGGGCATACAGTTGGCACAGCTGTGTACATTACACCACTCAAAGGGAGTATATGCTATCTCTTACCTTGAATTCTAGGTGTGTGTTTTTTTGTATGAGTGAAACTAGGCAAATGTTTTACCACACCTTCAAAATATGAAAAGGTGACCAGATAAAATTGCTTCATAGGCTGGATTTGGTATAGAGGTTGCCAGAAGACCATTGCTAAACTGACGTATTACATGCAATCTCAGGCAAACCTTTTAAAACCTTGGCTGAGGGCTAGTACAAAACCTTTCTAGGCAACCTCTGTGTCCAGTGTAATAATTTGAGGGCAATACTGAACCTTGTAGGAGCAAGCTTTACCGAAGCAAGTTTGCCTTGCAAGGTACTCCAGCTTTTCCTACTTATTTGTCAATTGTTACCGTACCCTTTTCAAAAAGCTCCGGAGTTGCGTAAGCATTTTACCAAAAGGAGAGACAGATGAATTCTGAAAGATTCTCTTTTTTACTGCAATTTGTCCAGTGGGGTGCCTTTTTATTGTTGCTTCTCATTATTTGAACTGTTACCTATCTTTTAAAATGCTGTTTTGATATTTGGAGGCATATTTGTTTCATCAAACAGCAGCAACTGGTTCTACTTGCTTTTGGTGGTAGTTTCCATATTTGTATTAAAGGCTTGAAAGAAAAAGTCTTGAATAGCATATTCTACATCATATTTTTCACTGAGAAGCAGAGAGTATTTGATACAATCTTGGTGTGGGAGCAGCAGTGGCATGGTTAGGTAGCTCAAGCCCCAGTGCACCAAAGCACTTAAAATGGGGAATTCCCAGTCTGCTGCCTTTTGCAGTTTTAACAGATGTAATGAATTCTGGAATTCAGATCTTTCCCAGAATGAAAAGAGACCTATGATACCCAAATATGTTGGAAATTAATACCAATAATTAGTTTTATACTCTCTAAAGTGGGCTATCTTAAATTGGTGCTGTAGTATCTTAAATTGTAGTGCTGTAGTACATCTTGAGAAACTCTAACCTTGCTAACTGCTGCTCTCCCTCAGGAGGGGTAGGAAGAGTTCCTGAAGAGCACCTGAGAAAACATGGAGATAACCAAACAGGTGAGAAGGGTGGCCTTTATTGCATATGCTCCTTGCTATCTAGATAGCTTAAAAAAAACAACAGTTCCTTGGTAGCCCCCTCCCCAATAGAGTTAAGGAAGTGAATCCACCAAAGCAAGTATATTCAGAGTTTGAAACTTGAGAAATACAGTTGAATTAAGGCACCCAGGTAACATGGGAGCAACTGTAGTTACAATCCTTGATGCAGGATGTGGGTGGTGCTGTGGTCGAAACCACCGAGCCTCTTGGGCTTGCCGATCAGAAGGTCGGCGGTTCGAATCCCTGCGCCGGGGTGAGCTTCTATTGCTCTGTCCCAGCTGCTGCCAACCTAGCAGTTCAAAAGCACACCAGTGCTGCAGCGGGAAGGTAAACAGCGTTTCCGTGCACTTTGGTTTCTGTCACGGTGTTCCGTTGCACCAGAAGCAGTTTAGTCATGCTGGCCACATGACCCAGAAAGCTGTCCGTGGACAAACGCTGGCTCCCTCGGCCTGAAAGCAAGATGAGCACCGCACCCCATGGTTGCCTTTGACTGGACTTAACTGTCCAGGGGTCCTTTACCTTTTTACCTATAACCCTTGAAGGTAATTCCAAATGCATCAGTCATAATAGAGATTGCTAGTTTTTAACAACAAAGCTTTGCTGTTGAATATTGAATGTTCATAAAGTCCATTGTAAAATTCTCACTGAACTGCTTTGGTACCTTAACAGGCAGTTGTTATAATTGATAGAGCTGTATGAAATATACAAAGGGCCAACATACATATTGTGTTAATATAGATAATCATGTAATTTTTATATATAGCGTATCAATTTCCATCCTATGAGGCATATACACTTCACATAATAAATGTGTTTAATTTGTGATGTTCCGTATCGTGTATAAAGAATATAGATGAATTTATTTGTAGTTAAGTTGTTCATATATCACTTTGCGGAGCCCAACCCGAAAATGCTCAACCTGAAGCAATTTCAACCCGAGTTATGACTGTACAACATACCAGACGGGACTTACCATTGATGTTGCCTTTGCCACAAGTGATATGAGGGATGGACTGAGGATAAGGGGAGTGCAGTGCACTTCCTTGTCATGGTCAGAACATTATCTGGTTAAGATTGGATGGACAATGGCAATTCTCCCCTGTAAGGGTGGTGGGCCTATTTAGGTGCCCTCAGAGGTTGATGGAACCTGATGAGTTTCTGCATACTCTGGGAAGTCTTCCAGTGGAGAAAGCTGAAGATCCTGTTGAATTCCTGTTCTCATGATGGAAAAGCAAGATAAAATGGGCAGTTGATGCAATCCTATATGGCGTTGTGGAGCCTGAGCAGCCTCTTGGTATTTTGAGGAGCTCTGGAATATGAAACAAACTGGATGTGGACTAGAACAGAAGTGGCACATCTTGCCACTTTAATCCAATTTAAAAAAAAATTTTAAAGTCTGATTTAAATTTTTAAAAATCCACCTGAACACCTGTTGGACCACATAATCGTGCCTATTATGTAGCAGTGCAGGATGCAAAAAAGGTCATTTCACAGCTTGCATTGCATCCTCTAGTAGCCAGCTGGCAGAGTTATTTACGATGTCCAGAGACTATTGATACCCTCTGTGGGGGAAGGACCTTGCGGGCATTCAGAGACCTTCTTTGACCAACTGCCTACAACTTTGAAGATAGATAAAGTCACTCTATTTAAGAGTGCTCTTGACTTCACCCTTTTTGCTGCTCCAGCTGTGCAGTGCCACTATCAAGGGTGTGTTGTGGAACCAGTTTCTGCTAATACAATCATCTGATGTAGACAAGGTGCTGGTGATAATATGACCACATGCCCTCTTGACCCCTCTCCCTCCTGGCTTATTAAATCTGGCAGAAGGGAGCTGACTGGATGGTTCCAGAGCATGGTTAAAATTTCATTGGATGAGGGCATGGGGCCCACTACCTTGGAAAGAAACAGTGGTGTGGCTGCTCCTAAAGAAACTGACTCATTGCGCTGGAACAACCACCAACCAGTTGCAAATACTCACTTTTGGTGGAAGATGGCAGAGAGGGTTGTAGTGGGGCAACTGCAAGCATTCTTAGATGATACAGATTATTTAGATCCATTCAAGTCTTGGTTCAGGCCTGGCTATGGGACTGAGTTGGCTTTGGTCACCCTGATGGATGATCTTTGCAGAGCATGGACAGGAGAGCAACCTTGCTCCTGCTGCTTGATCTCTCATGTTGTCCTCCTGGACCAGCTCTGGGGAATGGGAGAATGCTTTTCAGCTCCCTGGCAATTAAGTTATGGGGTGCCACAGGACACTATTTTATTTCTGATGCTATTTGATATCTATATGGAGCAGCCATTAAGAGTTTTTGGGGTGAGGTGCCATCAGTATGCAGATGATATCCAGCTCTATTTCTCCTTAACATCTGAATCAGAGGAGGCCATGCAGTCCTTAGGGTGCTTGAATGCAGTGGTGAGATGGATGGCAAAAAGCAAGCTGAGCTTGAATCCTAGCAAGCTAGAGGCACTGGATAAGTAGTTCCCATGTCTGAGAAATGGATAAATTGCCTACCCTGGATGGGGTTCTACTGCCCCTGAAGGAGCAGGTTTGCAGGTGCTTCTAGATTTAGCTTGTTTCATTGGAGGCTCGGGTAGCGTCAACAGCTAGAAGCACATTTTACCAACTGCAGCTGTTGTGATAGCTACAACTGTTGCTGGATGGGGGAAACTTGGCTACGGTAGCTCATGCAAAGATTACTGGATTACTACAATACACTATGTGAGGCTTCCCTTGAGCTTGATCCAGAAGCTGCAGAATGCTGCAGCATGATTGCTGACAGCTGTGAGATGGCGGAAGCATATAACACATTTGTTCAGAGATCTGCACTGGTTGCTGATTTGTTACCACTGTACTCTAAATAAATACTTTTGTTCAGACAAGTTTGCTGGAAATGTGTGTTTTTAAATTGTATTAACTTATTGTTGATTTTCGTTTTTGAAAATGTTTTAAATACTTGTTTTCAACTGTTTTTACGAATAATTTTATTGTTTTATTCTCTTTGTAAACCTATTTAAACTTTTTTCAACTAAGCATTGTTTAGTTTTTAGAAATAAAACAAGGGATGTTCTTGCTTGAACGGGGAACAAGTTGACTGTGAAAGCACCCTGGTAAGAGTATTCTAGTAAGTATACTCTTACTAGGAATTGCATACAAGAGAAGAAAGAGGAGAAGTCAATACAAAACAAGACACAGTGCAGTAGTTTAGATGCTTCCTCTGTATTTGGGAAAATAAAATTGCAAGCATTGCAATGGCAGTAAATAAATGTTTGATTGTGTTGTTTGGCAATCTTGTGTTTCTTAACAAATTGTAGCAATGGGATTTTTAGCTTTGTTGGATTTCATGAAATGGGATTCAGAGACCTCTAAAATCTACAGGCAGACACAAATAATCTCTCAAATGCTAAGAAATAAATCTTTCTTATTTATTTATTTATTTATTTGCTTGCTTGCTTGCTTGCTACTAGTTTACTGATCAAAGCAGAATACATTAAATACTTTGCTTTTTCCTTTATCCTACCCAAATAGACATGGTGGGTGAAATCCATTCATGGTAGATAAGGGAAAGTGACAGTTGCCGATTTCCGCTTCTTCACAAATCAGTTGCAGATTGTTGGTCAACCTTTCAGAACAAGGTAGAAGGTAGTGTGGGATCAGAAACCCTAGCCTGAGTAATCCATGTTGTTTGCTTTGTAAATCTCTCAAGAGTTGACTCATAATTTTGTGAGTAACTTTTAATAACATAACACTATAAATAGTCTTTATTGAAAAGTCTGTGTTTCACTGGCTGGATCTACAGTGATCTTCTCTTCCAACTCTATGATTCTATGATTCTATTGTCAGGAGTGCTCTGATGGTGTTTCCTGCTTGGCAGGGGGTTGGACTCGGTGGCCCTTGTGGTCTCTTCCAACTCTATGATTCTATGATTCTTAACACAAAATATAGCGTTCCATCATGTTTAATGGCAGTTTCCCTTTGCCGGTGGCTCACTGCTCTGTACTGCCCTCTGGTGTCACATTTTAATAATGCATTTTAAATGTTATAAATGATGAGAGTAGAACCACCCACTATTGTTAAAATAGAACTGTAAAGATTTGGAGGAAAGCATGTTGAATACTGACCATGGTGACTTAGGAGAGTGGGGGAGATTTGTGTTTGTGCAGTAAAAAGTTACAAATACTAATTTATTTAAAAAAGCAAGTCCTAAAATATTTTTTGAATATAAATATTTTCTTTGGAAGTTGGATTTTAGCACCAGATAGTGTATCATGCCAAATTTAACTCTTTTTACTAGCATTTCTTTCTTGTCTTGTATACCGTATTTTTCGCTCTATAACATGCACCTGACCATAACACGCACGTAGTTTTTAGAGGAGGAAAACAAGAAAAAAATATTCTAAACGAAACAGTGGATGTATGATTTTTGTGGTTCATGCTGTGGCCACAGACGTGATCTGACGGTGAGTTTGGGGTAGCCCGATGCAAAAATCCCGAGGATCCATGTGGATTGATGCTTTGTAACCACGTTTTTGCGCCATTGCAGCCCCATGAAACAGTGGGTGCGTGTGTGTTTTTTGGTGCAGGCTGTAGCCATGGATATGCTATGTGATCTGATGGTGAACTTGTGACCCAGTGCAAAAATCCTGAGGATCCATGTGGATCCGTGCTTTGTAACCACGTTTTAAGTGCGGAAGGAAGGAAAAGCATTCAAGGGACAAGGAGCACACATGGGGTGTGTGGAGAAGGATGCTGCTAATAATGCAGAAGAGGGGTTTAAGGGGAGAAGGAACACACATGGGGTGTGTGGAGAAGGATGCTGCTAATGATGCAGGAGAGGGGTTTAAGGGGAGAAGGAGCTCGCGTGGGGTGTGTGGAAAAGGAGCTTTTCGGCGAGCTGAGCGGGGGAGGGGAGGGAAAGAGCACTGTTGCTTTAAAGGAGCCAACCGGACAGCAGCCACTTACAGCAGTGTAAGCAGCTCCTTTCCTCTCCCGCTTTGCTCCTTCTCTCCCTCTTTGCTGCTTTACGCAGCTAATGGCGAATCCCCTGCAACCCAAGTCCTGCTCAGCGGATCAGCTGAGACGCTGGGAGAATCGTAATTTCCCCCTCATCCCGTGCCCTCCTGTCCCCAGCAGCCTTTTTAAAAACTTTTTTACTGGTTTTCACTGCGCTCGTGGCTCAGAGCCCTCCTGTGCCCTGCCGTCCCTCTGCAGCCTCATTGCTCCGTTTAGAGAGCGTTGCTAGCTGAGGCTGCAGCAGCTGTTGCTGGCTACGCGGCGCTTTTCCGGCTCGCTATGGCTCCCGTCTGTCCCTCCTCCCGTGTAAGCGGCTGCTGCCCGCTTTGCTGCCATGGCTCTCCTTCCCTCCCTCCTCCTCGGTTCCTCCCCCTCCTCCTGGCTGTAAAGCAAGCAAAGCTAGAGCCATGCAAAGCCCTGCAAGCGGCTCCCGCTTTGCTTGACTGACGGCAGCCATGGCTCTGGTCGAGTGCATTCGCTCCGTAACACGCACAGGCATTTTCCCTTACTTTCTAGGAGCAAAAAAGTGCGTGTTTTGGAGTGAAAATTACGGTATTTCTCATGTCGTTAATCACTAGGATGGGTTTAGGGCTAATCAGCAATATAAAGGAAATGACTGGATTGTGTGCATACTCCCTTCTCTTTTGCCTTGTGTAAAAGGTGTCAAGGGAGTGGTTAAAACAAAAGCTCACTTCCTTTCCCACGCTGTGATGTAAACAGCTCCTGCTGTTTCCTGCCAGCGTGGCAACTGGTGGGGGCTGAACTCCCAACAAAAACTACCCCTCAGGTTCATTTCTGGTAGGGAATTCAATAAGAAACGCAACTAAGGACTCCAGCAAAACAATACCCTTCATTAACTTTACTGCAGCAAAGGACAGTCCCATAAGTACTACTCTTTTACATACAGCTTACACCATACTAAGTACGTAACTGGTTCCACATTGTCCATTCCACGTCAGCCATGACAGGACACCATGTTCTGGTCAAGATGTCCCCTACAGGTCATATTTGAGAGCTTGGGTCATTGATGTTTGAATACAGGTCAAGCTGACAAGGTAAGTCAGCAACCTTTGGTCAGTGCAGTAAACAGACACCAGTTTTCTCTGATACATCAAAAAGACAATTAATATTTAACAACTAAATCAGCTAATAAATCTTTCCATTATTTCTCTTTCTAAATTAGGCACAAAGTTCAGGCTAGCTGTAATTGTCAGGCCTGCAATACTTTCTTGCATTTTGAAGCCTAAGGTTTTGGGATGCAGGAGGCAAATCCTCATTTTCCCTTCACAAAGGGGAAACCTACCACCTGGGAGGCAGTCCTGCTCTTTCAGTCAAGCAGAGCTCTAATGGCTAAAGGGAGAGAAGGAATTGAAAGCATACAGTTAAAAGGGTTTCCCAATATTTCACTTGTTGAAATAAGTTTATTTAGATAGAAGATTGAAGCTGATTTTTGTCCCACTGCTCTCTTAGGAATTGATGTTTTGTTAACTTGCATGACAGTTAAACATAAGGCTCCCCAATAATGTTAATGATTTACAAAAGTTTTCCTTCCTTGAAAAACTCACAATTCAATGAGAAACTGGCTCAGAGATAAGTGTACTGTATTGTTTGCTTATCAATTGTTGTGTGAAAAATGATGTGTTTAAACCACCCCCCCTTCCTTTTATGGAATGTCTAGTTGAAGAGGCTTTTGAGTGTTTCATTTGCATTCTGCAAATTTGTTCGAAAGTTTCTAGTGCAGTATATATATTCTATATAATAAAGTCCATCCCATGCCTTTCTATACTGTACAATATTTATTACATTGAATTCCCATATAATTTTTACCTATTTGGCACTTAATGTATTTTAACCTGTATTGTCAATCTAACCTATTGACAAAGGTCTGCATTCCTCACATTAAGCAATGTAGGAGGCAAACCTTGTTATTTTCTTTTATGAAATAACAGAACAACTCTTAACCTTTTTTTAAAAATAGTTGTTATTAAAGATTTTTTGTGTTACAAAACAGACAAATAAATGGAGAAAAGTACAATTGAAGGAAAAGAGAGAGGGAGGGAGAGAGAGATGGGGGACTGTTGTTCTTTCATTCTATTGCCTAGTGTTAGTGTAGGTGTTGTTCCTGCATCGTGTGGATAGGTCCTTTATTTATATTGACATTGCGAGAAGTTAGGGTGTCCAGAACTTGCTTGGTTGCATTCAGTTGGTTGTAGCAACTGTTAACATGTTGTAGTGAATGGAATAGGTCGCACTGTGTCCTTGGTTGTGGGGTGCATGTGTATAGTGCCCATGATTGCTTCTCTGAGTTGCAAATATGTATATAGGTCCAAAAAGATTGGAGACCTGCTTTGCTTCAGTATTACTGCTGCACTTCTGTTGCAGGAACATATGCTGCGCTAGTGCCTGGTGTGACTGAATAAGAGCACCAGCTGTGTCCTTAGATCAGTTTGAGGACTCTTAAGTCTAAGTGAGCTGCTGTTCTGGCCTAAGAGGGCATAGGACTAGATTTTAAAATTGTGGGAAAGGATGTGCGTAGCCTCAGGAATTTTAATACAGTGGAAGCTTAGTTTTCGAGTGTCTCGGAAGCCGAACGGAAGTGAATGCTTCCGTTTTTGAATGCACCTCGGAGGTTGAATGACTTCTGAGGCGCGTTTCTCCATTTTCTGAATGGAATTTGCTGACCGCCCATTGCGCCTCAGTTTTCGAATGTTTCAGAAGCCGAATGGTCTTCCGGAACGGATTAAATTCGACAACCGAGGTACCACTGTACTGAATATATTCTTTGTATTTTATCAATGAAATGCAGTTTGACCGAATTCATTGCTGTTGATGGCATAGATACTTACTCTTAATGCTTCATGAATAATAAGTAATGACTCTTCCTATATAGGCTTGAAATCTCGAGAAGAATTACTGGCTTGTCCACCACCAAAGGATGCTTCTGAAGATGACCCCCGGGTAAAAAAAAGAAAAAGTTCCGATCATCAGTTTGAATACTCTGCATTTACAGACACAACGAGGGGAAGAATAGAAGAGGGAGTACACACAGGTGAAGAGAATTTTGAAGATCGGTGTGAACTTGAGACAGAACACTTTTTGCCAAATAAGCACTCCATAACTGGAATAATAGAAACAGCAATATTGGAAGAATACAATCTCTTTACCAAAAAGATTCAGAAGATTTTGAAGCAGAAGAATATTATGTATGTCAGTGCAATACCCAGACCTGTCCTTTCAGCCCAGGAGAAGGTAATAAGACTTTCTGAATATATATGCTTACAGGCATCAGATATTGCTGTCCAGGAATACATAGAGAACCTGAGTGAACAGCTCAGCAATGTTGTTGCATCGTCGTCTTCGTATGCTATCCACAGTGCCCCGTTTACTAGAAGTCCCGGACCAGTAAGCGATTCAGTTACCGACACTGGATTACATTTGCCACCAGAAGAGCCAGTAGCTTTTCCAAGTGGTTTTGACATGGAACAGTTTCCAGAACCACCATATAACAAATTGGAGGAAGATTCAAGCATTAATGAGCAGAATCATTTAGCGATCTTGGACACAGGAAAAAAACAGAGTTCCGTGAGCACCAACATAGAAGTGAAATCGCCAGCTAATCCAAATGTGTCTACTGCTGACCCTGGGCACCATCCGGATAAGATTCCAACATCTACAGATAACCTTGCAACCCCGCCTGACATCAGTGCTATGATAAACCAGATATCATTTGAGGACGGTTTTTTCAAACGCATCTTCAAAATTATTAAAGATGTCCAAAAGAATGTTGTGAAATTCTACATTCATGAAAAACAAGAGAATGCACTTTGTAAAGAAATAAAAGTATGTATATTTCCCATATGTTTCTTTATCATAATATTTTAGGAGATAGCATTTATGCTTTCTTCTTCTTCCTGTAAACCACATTGGGATTATAATCAAGGGGCCATATAAAACTATAGTGATTTTTTAAAATACTCAAGCCAATATTATTTCATATGAGCATAGTAGCAGCATAGATAATAGGGTTGGGTCCAGGCTGTCATTCTCATAGGAGACCTGTTGAACTAAATGTTAGACTGTCTTAAGTCCCATTAATTTCAACAGGTATAGTCTAAGTGTGACTTAGTCTGGATCAGGGCCGTCTAATACATGACCCTTAAGGCCTTTTTTGGCAGCCCTTGGCAACTCTTGTGCTGCCTTCCCAAAGCCGGATAAGTGAGGACCTGGGCTTTGGAAAGGAGGCTTCTGACAAGGTCCTAGAGTCCTTCCACCTCCTCCCCCAAAGTCTGGTTAGCAATTTCCCAGCTTGGGGATGGAGGTGGGAGGGCTCTAGGACCATGCCAGAACATAGCGGTGGGGGGGGGGCAGCAAAACCAAAGCAATGAACATTTGTAATTAAAACAGCTGATAAATTGTTTCCTTTTTATACAGATTTAAGGCATGGTACATTTTTCTTGACTCTTCCTATGCAAAGAATGGTGCGAGTCTGGAAAATGCTTGTTGATTATATAATGATTAATGTAACAATTAAATTCTGTATATAACAAGCATGCCATTTTAGTAAAGTCTTGTACCTGCCTGTTTAGCACTTTAAGTTTCTTAGTTACTAATTGTATTGTTCACTGGAAATGTGTTGGTTTAACCCCTGTGCTTGCTGGTTTTAGGCATATCTTACTAAATTAGGTAATACAGAGTGCCATCCTGAGCAATTTTTGAGAGGGAGAACCGATGTGGATAAATTGCTTATAATCATTCAAAATGAAGATATTCACAGTATAATTCATAAGGTATGTAAAATTCATAATCAGTACATTTAGGTGGTGTTCGATAATTCATTGTTGCTCTGGGCACATCCAAATGCCTTAACTAGTAAAAATTAATTCATTTACTGGCATGCATATGCTACAATGATCCATTATAGTCACAAAAGCAGGGAAGAGCAGTAGCCAACATATATTGTGTCTTAATTTAATCTCATTATACTGTTATATTATTCTAACCACATACCTTCTTTGAATAGATACCGTGTTTAGTAGCTTTGAAGAGGCTTCCATGTGTCGATTTTGCTGGTGTTGACAGTTTGGATGATTTGAAAAATCATACTTCCAATGATTTATTTGTTTCTGGTGGCATCCTTGTCTCTGATGAATCTGTTCTCAATCCAGAGTCTGTCACAGTTGGTAAGATATTTTTTTAAATGTTGTCAGTGGCAGGGTTTTAAAAATATTTTCATATTCCTAATTTACCGATGTGATTTCTAGGTGCCTGAGTAGCAAGGCACCAGTTTGAGATTCCTTTTAAAAATGTAAACCTTCATTAGCTTTTTTTTAATTATTATTATTATTATTACAAAATATTGCTGTGGAATTGTGTTTAGGGTAGGATTTATTATGTTGCTAAAAGAATGTTAGTGGTGAAAGCCTTGCTCAGCTACATATATAGAGTGACGTTCAAAGTCACCTGCTTACATAATTAGACTTCTTCTCTTCCTCCCCTGTGAGGTCCCAAAATCTGCTCTAGAGAGGTGTTCTTTCTTCTGTTGGATTATGATGAGGTAAAGGGAAGCCTTTCCTCTCTTCCCAAATGGAAATCCATTGTGCAATCAGGTGGACATCATTGGATGTCACTTAGAAGCAGTGATAACTGCCTCAAATCCTAAGTGCTATACAGAAGTACCGTATTTTTCGCCCTATAGGAGGCACTTTTCCTCCTACAAAAATGAAGGGGAAATGTGTGTGCGTCCTATGGGGCGAATGCAGGCTTTCGCTGAAGCCTGGAGAGCGAGCGGGGGGGTCGGTGCGTACCGACCCCTCTCGCTCTCCAGGCTTCAGGAAGCTATCTGCTAGCCGTGGGAGACGCAGCTCTCCCACGGCTAGCGGAGAGCTTGCCGGCACCCAGAAGCTTGGGGCGCGCTGAGCTCAGCACGCCCCAAGCTTCGGGCTTCACACAGTCCTCCGCTAGCCGGGGGAGATAGCAGCCTATTCTGTGGGCTGGTGTTGGGGGAAGCTCGCACCTGGGGGGGGAAATAATTTTTTTTCTTTATTCCCCCCCCAAAAAAAAAACTAGGTGCGTCCTATGGGGCGAAAAATACGGTAAAATCAAAATAATCCCTTACTCGCGAGCATACAGTTTATAGGTATACAAATAAACATAATTTTGTTGCTTTAAAACAAACAAAAACACCATACAATAAGCTCTAGCATAGATGAAATGTTCCTGGTTTCCTAATCATGATTAGGTGGTATGCTGCAGACTTGCGTTCCCGCTCCCTTCTATTATTGCTTGGTTTAACCATACTGTAGTGTGATATCTGTATTAGTGCTAACTGTTATTACCATTGCTGAATTCTCACATCTTGGTTAGTTTTAATTGCCAATATAAGACTACACTATGGCTAAAGCAAAGCACTGTGGTGTGGGTGGGTGGGTGGTGCTGGAGTTTTTGAGTTTTAATCTTTTGTGTTTTATCTTATGCTACACTGTTTTTGATAGCTTCTGTCTGCAAAGCAGTTTATAACTTCTGTAAAATAAATAAGAGGGCCGTTAGTGAATCCACAGTACTCTCCAAAGGATCAAATGGGTACCATTAAGCTCAATTTTTAATTTCTAAAATGGGAAACGTTTGTACTGCAGTTATAGAGTGTTTGTAGGTTTTTTTAAACAATGCATTGTTTTATTAAAATATCAGGGTTTTTAAAAGTAATTACTGCATGGAAATATAAAAATTCTTTTAATCAAAATTTTAGTAATCGAAATACAGATATGACTAAGTGAACAAAGCCAAGTAACTGCAGATGCAGCAATAAAATTTTGTTTCTGATGATATTCAGCAGGCTCCTGAAATCTTTTGGTGAAACAAACTTGCCAAAAAGTTCAACTCTTACGTAGCTTAAAAGTAGAAAGATTAAATAGAAAGAAAACTAAGTTTAAATTTAATTACAGAATGCAAGAATACTAGAGGAACTGTCCTGAATGAGACCCAAAATCTGTTTAGCCCAGAATACCATTTACCACAGTGGCCATCCAGATGCTTCTTGGAAGCCTAAAAGTCGTGCATGAAGACCATAACCTTCTTCCACTGTTGCTCCCCAGCAACCAGTATTTGGCCATCATGATTAGTAGCCATTGAAGAGACTTACCCTGTTTGCATCTGTCTAATCCCCTTTTGAAGCTAAGTTTGTTGCCATCACCATGTTTTATTTTCTGTTTTCAAAACTAGATAAACTTAACAGTTTTTTAAAGTTCCTTGAAGCATTGAGTACTCCACATGGGAAGTGGCAATGGAAAGTTCACTGTAAAATACAGAAAAAATTGAAGGAACTTGGCAGGTAAGAATTATTTCTTATGTCTTCAGATATTTAAAATACTTTAGAATAACAAAATACTTGCATTTAACTACTTTTCAAAATATCTCTACTGAAATACTTCCATGGTCTTTTTCTGTCAGTCACCTTTGCAGTGCATCTATTTTCCGTGCATGTTTTAGAAACTACACCCCACCCACCCATTTCCACTTTTGGGTTGTACAGTTTTTCATATTTCAGCTCTTCTTGAAATATCAGGGTGGGGAAACTTTGGCCCTCTATATATTGCTGAATTACAGTACTCCAGCCAGCACTGCCAGTAGCCAAGGATAATGGGAGTTGGAGTTGAGTAACATCTGGAGAGCCAGAGGTTTCTCATACCTACTGTATATTAAGCTGATTCCTTCTCCATTTTTAAATCATCAGAAGGTTTATGTTCAAAAAAGCTTTTCTTGCACTAGTATAGATTCACTGTCTCCTTCCCTTACCTGCCAGTCCAAGTCTATGCTTTCATGTTTTTGAATAAAGAAGTTTCATTGCTCTTTTTTCTCCAGAACTAATAGAAATGCCACAAGTTTGTTGACACTCTTGAATACCTATCAAGAGAAACACTTGGTTGAGATTCTGTCATACCATAGTTGTGATTCTCAAACTCGAAATCCTCCAGACCTGGATTGTCTTATAAGACTTCAAGCTCAAAATGCACGGCAGAGGCACATTGTCTTCCTGACAGGTAGAAAACCACTATTGAGCATGTCTTTTTTAAAAAATAAATACATAAATTAGTATATGTTGAAACACATTTGCTTCTTTATTTTTAGAAAAGAATGTGTTAACATTTGCAACGTACGCTGAAAATGGAATAGTGGTTACTACAGTAGATCGCTTCATGCACAACTTTAAAAGTCTCGTTGGACACCATAACTCCCATTCCCCCATTGATCATGAAAGACAATCAGGTAATAATCATTAATTTTGCTCAAATATTGATAGCTAGAAATAGAGGGAATTTTAGTATGTTTTTACTGAAGGTCCAAAAAGTATGGGAAAAAGCAAAGTTCAAATCACAGTTTAAACATTAGAGAGAAAAATGTGCTGCGTGGCATCTTAAAGTTTAGAATTGTTCAAATGGGGTATTTAAGAAGTTCCCATGAAATGTAGAAGGGTTATGATAAATCTAGTGGAGATGAGGTTTGGAAAAGTAGCAGTCAGTAAGGGTGTCAGTAATTGTGTTGGGCAATTCTCGTATCACATACTGACCTACTGTATAACTTTAGATGCTGTTTTGACATTAAATCCTTTGGAGCTGGAAGTTGGGGTTTCCCAACAGTAAGCATGAACACATTTCGTGGAAGCTTTTAGCATCGGACTATCCGGACGTTCACCCAGAGGGTTAAATGTGTGTTGAGTGTGTGACAAAAATGCCAGAAGACCCATCCCCTAAGTGATATGCGACTTTCAGACCTGAAGCCTAACACTGTGTGAGTAGTGCGTAGTATTTTAAAACACGTTTTTTATTTCAATAGAGTAGGATTTTTCTCTTCTTAATGTAGTTCTTGTAGAAAACGATGAAAAGGATGAGGAGGACATGTCTTTGGATTCAGGGGATGAAGCATCACAAATAGAAGTTTGCAATGATGCCTCAAAGTATGATTCCCACTTGGAAGCTTGTCAGATAGAGACCAAAGGATCTCATGGAACAGATTCTAAGCAAAACTCTCAAACTGTTATGTTGCTGCCTGCTGAAGGACAAGGTCTTCTGACAGAAAAGACTTCTAAAATTGACATGCAAGACATACAACCAGTTACTCCAGTTTCTACAACATGCTCTATTGAAGGAGAGAGAAGCAGCTCAGTCCAACAAGTTCCTTTCAGTTACTTTCAGAGTTATAACAGACAGTTAAGTGTACCCCATCAGTTCAGTCATTTTAACGTTCTCACTCATCAGACATTTCTGGGAGCAGCATATCCCATGCCTACAAGCCAGATCCAAGAAGGTGGGAACTACTTTCTGACTGCCTACAGCCAAAACATGGATATGGACCAGACTTCATCTCCCAATAATTGGGACGTCAGTTATGATTCTTCCCGGCTGTATTCCAAACAGAATTAAGCAAAGCGGAAATGTTTTTATACATTGTTGTGGACTTTTCTGTTTTAAAAAGTGAATTAACAGTTTCTATTCTCTGAACTAAACATTTCCTGTCTCTGATCTCAATTGTTTTCCTGTCTTATTTAAATCATGATGACCTGTACCAGGTGAAGCACCTGAAGTTTGAAATAAATATATATTTTTTAACATTTACTGTACGTGAATTAACTTGTTTGTTGACACTTTAAGTTCGTACGTTTTGTATTTTATGTGTAATTGAGACTTCCAGCTTGAAGTCTGTTTTAATGTAAACTTAATGTTTGCCTGAAGCATATGTGAAGGCTTCATTTTTAAAGCAAAGTGTAACAGTATATTCAAACCTCTTTTTCTTTATCAAAGCTGTTGTGTACATATTTTGACAGTTTTGTACAAATTCTTTATACAGCTATTAAGGCAGTTCTAGTTACTTTACAAATATCCTCGGTTGTTGGTTACAGACCTCTGAACAACCAATGGGTGCAGTTCATTTTGAAAATAAAATAATCATCCATGAGAGATCTAGTATCAAGTTGCATTTTGTCTTACCATCTGTTTCCAGGAAATAGATGCAGCAAAAGGTGTATTCTCATTTGGGCGATCTTCCTCTATCAAGTCTATAGTAATCTGAAAGGTATGACATACGTTAGATTTGCTATTTGAAGCCCAAAGCTCATTTCCCCCCTTATCAGTATTTAAAGTAATCTCAGTTGCAGATAAGTACTGTAGTGACTGTAGGTTTAGGAGCGCGCTGGAATAAATGGTTTTAAGAATATATTCTGCATGGAGTTGCAGCCTTTATGGTGTAATCTTTTTGTGTAGTTTGCCTCGATATGTGATCCTGTGCCCCTGAATTTGCAACGAGATTTTGTCTAAGGTTCCAAGGCTGTGAGATGTAGTTACAGGCATCATAAGATGCTGTATATAAGAACTTCGCACTCTATGTGGTATATGAAATTGACTCTTCCCCCTCAGACGTGTGACATCTGCAACATATTGTGATGCTTATAATGCAATATAGTACCGTCAGTGTGCATATTTTAGCAGACAATTCATGTTTTGAATTATATGCTACGTTAGCTACCGTAAAATGTCACCTGAAGTGGTGTTCAATAAAAACAAACAGAATCTAAACAACTGAAAGCAAAGTAAGCTATATATTTACTTGAATAGAATGCTGGAATAGTAGCAGATTTTATAATTTTAAATTAGTAGTTAAGATACAAAACCTTGGAGACATTTATATGTTGGATGGAGCAAAGCAAACATTATCTTAGATTTGGACACAAGGGTGGAAGATTCAAGTGGAGTGGCCTGAAAGATAGTGGGAAAGGTGAAACATTTGACATCTTATGTTTAAACTGATATTTAGGAAGATGTTTATAGCTGAGGATCCATAGTATGTTAAGAGAGATAGCGGGTAGCAGCTGAATTTTGCTGTAGAAGTTATGGCAGAGTGACTAGAGGGGTGTAGGAGTGAAAGGGAAGAAGAGATGAGCAGAGCATAATTTGGATATGTTTTGGAGAAATCTTCATAGTAGAGCAGAACTCTGAGATGAAATAGATGAGTGTGTCTATTCAGGTATTGATTTTTATATATTATGGGATCACTAAGGCATATGAATAATCACTTGTAGAAATAAGAATATTTTGCATTGGTTTGGCAGGAAAGCTTTATAAGCATTAGAAAACTACTGTGTACTAAAGGTTAAGGAGCTGATGGAAACACTTCTCTGAAGCTCTCACAAGTGAACTCATTGCTGTCTCAGCCTAGCTTGCCTCGTAGAGTCGCTGTGATATTTTGTACATTGGCACGTTTTATTATTTAATATATTTACTGGCCTGAGTGAGGTGAGGAATAATCATGTATGCTACCTTGCATTCTTTGGAGAAAAGAGGGATATAAATGTTTCTCTAGTGGGCCCCAAATGACTGTGATAGGTATGCAAAGGCAGGCAGGTTGGAAAAATTGTTTTATGTTAACAACTTTGGAATGTGTGTGCGATTTTGCAGAAAAAAAATACTTGAAATTCCAATGGCAATGATGGAGAGCAGAGGTAGCTAATGCAGCGCTCTCCAGATGTTGCTGGACTACAACTCCCAGTATCACTAACCATTAGCTATGCTGGCTGAGAATGATGGGAGTTATAGTCAAACAGCCTCTGGAGGGGACCATTTTGGCTACCCCCGGTGTAGAGAAAATGAGGCTTACGAGTCCCTTTGATGGTAGCAGCTCTTGTTTTGCTGAAGGGACTTCTTGTCAGCTTTTCTTGCTCTTTCATTTGGTTTGGTTTGGTTGTATCTGGTAATGAGTAGTATATGCCTTTAGTGTATTCAGTAGAAAGTTGATATTGTCTTTGTATTTAGCTATGAGCACAACTTGGTCCTACGTGTTATAGGAACATTGGCAAGCAAATGTAGTGAAAGTAACTTTTCTGAAAATCAAACCTTGATGGCTACTAATAATAGTAATTATTAAGTGAAATTCCCCAAAGCCTGCTTTGTTGGCAGACTTTGAAACTGATCTAGTCTCATTTGGACAAATTTCAGAACATCTTGGATCCTGTATGCTACATAACCACATGCCACTTTACTGATCTCCAGTAACTTGCTAGCTCCCAACACCATCCCCGCTGCTATTTATTCACTAAATATAAACAAGTCATTTAAAAGCAACTTTTTATATACACATATTCAATTGTTTAGCTCAGATGACATGCATATCTGTACACTACAGGTGACACAACTTACCCAGGGGTTACATTCTGGGGATAGCACATAAAGCCAAAATTGTGTAAAGTCAAAACACATTGGGTGCAGTGGCAGGTGGGATTGCCAGAGCTACCCCTTCCCACAATGCCCATCCCCTTCTTGTCCTCTTTTATTTTTATTTTTTTAATTTTGGTAAGTGTGTAAAGCTGAATGTGCACAAGTTAAATGTGTGTGAGTTGCGAGTTGCCTGTATTTGCATTTTTGGGTGCAGGTGCAGATTTATTTATTTATTGGTATGAGATCATTTTGCATGGTCTGCTTCAATACAAAAATTGAAATGAACCATGGCTCAAATTAATTCTGGAACTTCAGAATCACAGTGAGCATTCCTTAAATATAGTCACTGTTAATGTGCGAAAGTAGAACACAATTTAGTTTTTCTATAATGTACACCTTTATAATAGCTGTTTTTATTTGTGGTATAATAGTCTCCTTTATTTAACTGTGATCGCTTCTAGACACAAGGCCTGTAGTTAGTGGCTGTGTGTTTTAATATTTGAGGTGCTTTGGCTAACAGGGATCTGTTTTCACCCATCACCCAGCAGTATTACAAAACCATTACTTAAACACAAAAGAGAAAACAAAATGCAACATACACAGCCATGGCATTCAAATGCCTAATAATTTATTCCTCTTACTAAGTGGACACACAAAATTTAAATTAGCTACACAAATATTCCATGTAAACAAAAGCACGTGCTACAGTATTGTTTCCTGCTACATACATCTTTCTTCCAAAATGTATAATCACTTATTCAAGCATCTTCAAATGAACAAAAGTTCACATTTTACCAATATGTTCATAATTACAGTAGTAAGTATAAAGTGCCAACACAATAAAAATTCATTTCTCGAACTTCAAATTCTTTAAAATGGTGAAATAAAATTATCCTCTTGGCTTATGATGTTTGGAATAAAACATGTCTCCAATTCTTTCTGCTTCTGGAGGAGGCCCTGAAATGACAAAGTGAGCTTTTTATAGACATTGTAATTAGTTCTATAGAGCAGCAACTGACACAGAGCAGTAGATAAAGAAACAGCAAGGTCTAATGGAAGTTGTAATCATGCCTGTATTGAGCTAATTGTGCTATTGCCTTTTTACTTACCACTTTACTGTGTTTCCTGCTTCAGGTTTTAAAAATTATTCAAAGTGAAGGGGAAAGCACTATCTACTGCTGAAACCTCTGAAATGTTGAGATTCCATTGATGGAAATCAAATTTCTACATAAAGATTTAGTGTAGTAAAACTATTTGCTTGAGGGGAGACTTGGTAATATAATCCCACCTTGAGCAGATATATATGTTCAACAGAAAAAGTGTTCATGCACAGTTATAGTCATTTTTGTTGTGTCCTTGTTTAAGATGGGTACCTAACAAACAGGATGCAATAGAAATACTTTTATGATTCAAATAAAAAGGGGAAAATCACTTATCCCAAGCCAAGGAAGCTGGTTGTATAAAGTTGAAATATTAAGTTTTATATTCAGTATGACCTACCACACCATTACAGCTAAAAGAGCTACAGTGTAATAGTGGATGGGAGATCATTGAACATATTTTCCTTGTTCTATGAATTTGAATGAAAGTACGACTGGACTTTCAGTGGTACCTTTACCTTTACCTTTACCTTTACCATGCTATACTTCAGCTGCTTCTGATACAGCTAAAATAGACCCAGCTTGATGTTCATTTTTACAGATAAGGAACAAGTTGAGTTGGATCAAAGAACTGTCATGAGAAAGAAGAGGGTATGTGTACAAAAGTTAATGTAATAAGAAGACACTTATGGATCTGATCTAGTCTACCATTATGCTTGCCACATGCCAATGGAAAGCCTACAACCAGGACATAAGTTCAATAACAATGTTCTGTTCATAACAGTAAACAGTTCACATACTTCTCTTTGTGCAAGAGGTTGTTTAAATGGATGGACATCTTTTAGATTTTATTTTACTTGTCACAACAAAGCTTTATACAAAGGGTAATGTAGACCTCTGGGTGAAATAGGTTTTATTTGCCCCTCTGAATCTAACCCATTGTGCTTTTGGTCTGTGTCCATCCATTTCCTAAACCATGCCTTACTCTTACCCACTACCACTCAACAAAAACGCATGTGGGGAATGGAAATACAAACGGAACAGCATCACAAAAACAAAATATAATTTCCCTGCCCAAAACAAGAAGCAAAACTAGAAGGTAGGATTAAAACAACATAGTGGCTGGGCTAGATCAAGGATAATTGTGCAAATTGTTCCTGACCCACTGAACCACATTTGCCCTCAAGCACATCTATAAATTCCACATAAGAACCCCTGGTTAATCTCTCTGAGTGATATCCAATATTAAACACATTTCCGTTTCATTTTGTTACCTACTTGAACCCTCCAAAGCATATTTGATGAAGGGGAGGGGATGGAAAGTGAGTCTTGTACAACCATAAATCTTATTTATTTCATAAAAATTATATACAGCTTGACTATAAAAGAAGCCTCGGAGTGGTGTACAAAAATATAAAACAATAAAATCCACACAACTAGTTTTAGTGTGATAAGGCTCATCCTTGCTTTCTTGAAATGTCTTAGTCCAAATGCCTTTACAATTCTGACAATCCAATTTGTAAATTGGATTAAGAAATTCTAACTACATACTTCCATAATTAGCACATTACATTTTTCAACTATATTATAAATACAGCTAGGAGGAAAGAATTAAGTAGGGTTTGCTGTAAGTACAAAAGTGATAATTACACTATAAAAACATGGAAATATTTCACAACAGAAGATAAAATGACAGTTAAGATATTCTACAACATGATTAAACAATCTAGAAATATTTGTTCTAAGTACAAAAGGAACTAGATACTGAGCATTGTTGTACAGTGGTCCCTTGGGTTAAGAACTTAATTCATTCTGGAGGTCCGTTCTTAACCTGAAAATGTTCTTAACCTGAGGTACCACTTTAGCTAATGGGGCCTCCTGCTGCTGCCACCAAGCGATTTCTGTTCTCATCCTGAAGCAAAGTTCTTAACCTGAGGTACTATTTCTGGGTTAGCGGAGTCTGTAACCCGAGGTACCACTGTAATTACTCTTTGAAGAACTAAAGGTCACAGCAGAGTATGAAAACTTGTACCTTCTGAAGGACCGATAAGATTCGTAGCTCTGTTAAAGAATACAATGCATAACCTTTAATCTTCATTTCAGACCTAACTATTGGCATTCTTCCTACTTAGAAATTAGCCCCTCAAACTCTTTGCTGCATTATACGTAGTTCTATTTGGCTGGTAACCCACCAATAGGACTCCTAAAACATTTGGAAAGATCTACCAACTAAGGAAAAAATCCAACAAAATCTAAGCTTTAGCTAATTCATACACAAACTTGTTTAAGAAAAGCTGCAATCAATTTTATCTTGAAATGAACCACCATGGAAATTTTGAAGAGAACCCACATGCCAGCTGTATACTGCTTGCCAAACCTGTATTGGGCACACACATTTCCATTTGGTCTGTCATGTCAACCTAAGAATTTTGATGATCATAGACTTCCAGAGTTGGAAGAAACCCTGAGGGTTATCTACTCCAACTCCTTGCAATGCAGGAATCTCAACAGGCATGTTTAGCCTGGAGAAGAGGAGGTTAAGGGGTGATATGATAGCCATGTTCAAATATATAAAAGGATGTCACATAGAGGAGGGAGAAAGGTTGTTTTCTGCTGCTCCAGAGAAGCGGACACGGAGCAATGGATCCAAACTACAAGAAAGAAGATTCCACCTAAACATTAGGAAGAACCTCCTGACAGTAAGAGCTGTTCGACAGTGGAATTTGCTACCAAGGGGTGTGGTGGAGTCTCCTTCTTTGGAGGTCTTTAAGCAGAGGCTTGACAACCATATGTCAAGAGTGCTCTGATGGTGTTTCCTGCTTGGCAGGGGGTTGGACTTGATGGCCCTTGTGGTCTCTTCCAACTCTATGATTCTATGATTCTATACATGAAAGATGGCCATCCAGACTCTTCTTTAAAACTTCCAAGGAGAGTTCACCACCTCCCAAAGGATACTTTTCCACTGTCGAGCAGCTCTTATTGTCAGAACATTATTTCTGATGCTCTTGATTACATTACTGAAATATTAAATTCACTAGGGAATAAATTCAAGGGCACATTAGCTCCTAATATAAAATAAGTTGCTTCAGTTTTTTATTCTTTCAGTTATTATGATTTCCCTCTGTCTTCCCCCAATATGTGCCCCACACCATCTCCAAATCTGCTTGAGGTTTGAGGGAACACGCATAGTAGATATAGGTAGTGTGTCTGGAGAGGGAGAGAACATTCCATGATGAAAGTTGAACTGATGGAACATTTACCTTAGTGCTACTGCTATGTTGACTACAGCCTACTTTACCTACTGTTAAAATGTAAGCAAAGTGCTATCCTACCTCCTGCCCTATTTTCTTATAGTGCCGCAGGCACTGTAGGAAAGAGGGCCAAGAGGAAAAACTATAATTTCTACCCTAAAAACGTGGAGAGCAGAGGAAAAACTCTTCGGAAGAATCCTTACAGAAGTATATATTGCTGTTCATAGAGGTTTATGCAATCACAATTTAAGTTACACTGATGTGAAGACAATTGTTAACATATTGTGAGGAGACTTGAAAGCGCATGAACTAGATTTCCCCCCTAAAAAGCAGTAAAGCAAAACACAGAATCAAGGAATAAGAGGTTTTAGAACAATTGACTTGTACCTACAAGAAGCAAGAAGACTTCTGTAAAAAAAACAACAACCCTGAAGTCTTCTATAAGTGAAGAGAACAAAAAGGAACACAAACTTTGGCACACAAAAAAAGTGCAAGCACACAGGAAGGGATGCTAAAAAGAAAGAAAGAATTTGAGGAACATATTGCTAAGACCATTAAAACCAACAACAGTAAGTTCTTTAAATAACAGGAAACAGTCGAGGAAAACAGTCATTCAACTCCCTTTGAATGGCAAAGGAGTCAAATGAATGCTAAAGGAGGATAAGGAGATTGCTGAATGATTTCTTTGCATCTGTCTTCCTGACAGAAAATATAGGGCAGATCCCAGTGCCCAAACTAACCTTGCAGGAGGTGCATCTGGGGAACTAAGGCCGCTAGTGCTAGGCCTAATAGACAAAATAAAAACTAACAAAATTGCTGGGTCCGCATGGCATCCACCTTGAGACCAAATATGAAATTGCTGGTCTTCTAACAAAAATATGTAAATTGTCCCTTGGTTCATCCTTATCTGTGGACTGGAAAATAGCAAGTGTAACATCAGTTTTAAAAAATGGATCCTGGGGAGGGTGATCCTGGGAATGGAAGGCCAGTTAACCTAATGTCTGTTCTGGAAAACTGGTGGAAATTGTTAAAGATAAAATAACCAACCATATAGAAGAACAAGCCTCATTGAAGCATCGGTTTCTGCAAAGCCAAGTTCTGTCTTATGAGCTTATTAAAGTTCTTTCAGAGTGTCAACAAGCATGTAGATAAAGGTGGTCCAGTTGACAACTGTACCTGGACTTTCAACAAAGTACTTTAACCAAGACTCCCAAGTAAGCTTCTAAATCAAGGAAGAAGAAGAGAGGTCCTCTTGAGGATAAGAAATTAAGTTTTGGGAAGCAATGAATAGGAATCAGTGGACAAGGTTCAGTAATGGAACCTATGCTTTTTAACTTGTTCATAAACAATCTAGAGTTAGGGGAGAGCAGTGAAGTGGCAAAGTTTGCTGATGACACTAAATTATTCAGATTTGTTAAAAGAGACTATAAAGAGCTTCAAAAAGCCCTCTCCCAACTGAATGGTGGTGAAATAGAAAATGTAGTTCAATATAAACAAGTGTAAAGTGATGCATGTCGTAGCAAAAAAAAATCTTAATTTCATATAAATGCTCATAATAGCTCAATGAAGATACTGTTCCAGTTTGCGGTGAGTGTAAAAAGGCACATTCCATGCCAGGGATCGTTAGGAAAGGAATCGGAAAATAAGACTGCAGACATCATCATGCCATTATACACCTCTATGGTGTGACTGTATTTGGAATACTGTTTACAGTTCTGGTTGTCACATCTGAAAAAGGATATTGTAGAGTTGGTAAAGATTCAGAAAAGGGCAGCCAAAATGATAGAGAGTTTGAAACGATTCCCCTATGAAGAAAGCTTGCAGCATTTTTTACTTTTTAGTTTAGAGAAAAGGTGAGTAACGAGGTGGTGTAAGTTTATAAAATTATGCATGGCGTGGAGAAAGTGGATAGAGAAAAGTTTTTCTCCCTCATAACTAAAGAACTCGTGCGCCTCAAAGTGAAATGTTGGAAAATTCAGGGTAGATAAAGTACTTCCTTCAGAACTTGCTCCCGCAGGATGAACTGACAGCCACCAACTTAGATGGCTTTTAAAGAGGATTTGACAAATTCACGGAGAAGGCTATCAGTCAGTACTAGCCATGGTGGCTCTGCTCTGCCTCCACCCTTGGAGGCAGCAATGCTTCCGCTGGAAACCTTGGAAGAGCAGAGTGTTCATTTCAGCTAGCTGGTTCCCCACAGGCATCTGGTTGGCCATAGTGAGAACAGGCTACTGGACTAGATGGGCCACTGGGCTGATCCAGCAGGCCCTTCTCATGGAGGGTGGTGCTGGAGAATAGAGCTATGCGCACTCTGTGGTCTGCTGTGTGCCCCCTAAGCTAGCCTTTGCAAGTGCTGATGTAAAATCTTAACAGGCCAGGCAGCTTCTGTATATGGAACTGACGGACACGTCATATTCATTCTCAGAGGAAGCAAAAATGTCTTGAACTCTCAACTCATTCTAGTTATTTATTCCTACTATATTCAAGCATCTCCTGCAGCTCTATTACAGTATAGAAGTGAGGGTTGCCATAATAGTGAGGCTCTTTCCACCATAAGATGAAGAACTAGACAAAGTGAGCAAATGTGTAACTACAGTGGTACCTCAGGTTAGGTACTTAATTCGTTCCGGATGTCCGTTCTTAACCTGAAACTGTTCTTAACCTGAAGCACCACTTTAGCTAATGGAGCCTCCTCCTGCCACCGCACCGCCAGAGCACGATTTCTGTTCTCATCCTGAAGCAAAGTTCTTAACCCGAGTTACTATTTCTCTGTTAGTGGAGTCTGTAACCTGAAGCGTATGTAACCTGAAGCGTATGTAACCTGAGGTACCACTGTATTGCCTCTAGAGTAACTTCTGAACCCAAGTGCTTTGAAGCAGTGGAAAGATTATCTTGTCTATACTGCTCTCCTCATATAAAAGTACCAAATCAGTGAAAGAAGTGCATTTTATTCTAGAAACATTTTACCCATGTGGCACTCTTTCTCTGCTGTGGTCTTTTTGTGTAGAGGTGGACATTTGTCTGGCTTAGGTATCCATACATGAGACAGAAGAAGACAGGCATATTTCTATGCTGATAAATGGCATTAGGAAAGGAGATGAGAGAATGAGGTCAGGGGTGCAAAACAGCAAACAGAGGTAAATAGCCTTTCTACTTGATAGCACAAAAAATAACAAAAATGCACAAGGAAGACTGCATTGCAGGTGGTTGGACTAGATGACTCTTGGGTCTCTTCTTAAGATTCAATGATTCTATTACTGTTATGGAGGACAATAGAGTTTGCCATCAGAAAGCTCTTCCTATGTTTAGTCAGAATCCCCTTTGTTGTAATGTGAATCCGTTGGTTTGGATCCTTCCCTCCAGAGCAGAAGAAAACAAGCTTGCTCCATTCTCCTTTGGCTATCTGAAGATGGCTATCATATCTCCTCTTTTCCAGACTAAACATACCCAACCACTTCAACCATTCCTCATAAAGCTTGGTTTCCAGACCCTTGATCATCTTGGTCACCCTCCTCTGCACATGTTCCAGTTTGTCAATATCCTCCTTAAATTGTGCTGCCCAGAACTGTGACACATTACTCTCCCAGTGTGGTCTGATCAAGGTAGAATAGAGTAGGGCTATTACTTCCCTTGATCTGGACAGTATATTTCTGTTGATGCAGCCTAGAATATAGCATTAGCTCCCCCACCCCTGCTGCATCACACTGCTGACTCATGCTAAGCTTGTGGCCTACTAAGATCCCTAGATCCTTTTCACATGTACTACGGGCAAGCCAGGTGTCCCTTCATCTTTTATTTGTGCAGCTGGTTCTTCCTGCCTAAGTACAGAACTTTACATTTGTCCCTATTGAAATTCAGTTTGTTAGTGGGGCCCAGTTCTCCAATCTGTTAAGGTCATCTTGAATCCAGATTCTTTCTTCAGTGGCTTCTCCCACTTTGGAAATTAGATGAGCGCCCCCTCAATAGCTTCATCAAAGTCATTTCCAAAGATGTTGAGCAACAATGGCCCCAGAACAGAACTGTGTGACACCCTACGTGTCACTTTTTTCCAGAATGATGAGGAACCATTAGTGAGCACTCTTGGGTTTGGTCAGTTAACCAGCTACAAATCCACCTAACAGTTATATTGTCCAGTTCACATTTTACCAGATTCTCTGCAAGAATATCATTCAGGACTCTGTCACAAGCCTTACTGAACTCAAGATACACTACATCCACAGCATTCCCCAGATCCACCAAATGAGTTTCATCTGGCATGACTTGTTTTTGAGAAACCCATGCTGGGTCTTCTTATCACAGCATCCTTTCCTATGTGCTCACAGATCGAATATTTAACTATCTGTTCTAGGACCTTTCCTGGTATCAATGTCAATCGAACTGATAAACAGTTACCTGGGACTTCTCCCCCCTTTGAAGATAGGGACATTTTCCCACCGCCAGTCCACAGAGACCTTTCTTGTTCTCCAATAATTCTCAAAGATTATAGACTGAGATTGCAAGCTCCCTTAGTACCCTTGGGTGCTGCTCAGGCCCTGGAAATGTGAATTCATTTAAAGTATCTAGGTGTTCACTTACCACCTCTTTTTCTATATTGGGCTGCAGCTCCCTCCTTGTATCATTTATTCTGTTATCACCAGGTTGGGCACTGCTTTCCTTTTGGGTGAAGAGAGGCAAAGTAGGTGTTGAGCAGTTAAGTTACTCCTCCTCTCTGTTACCCAATAGTATTTCTCTGTCTTCTCCCTTAACAGGACCTACTACTTGCTTGTTCTTCCCCTTACTTCAAACATAGCCGCATAAACCTTTAAAAATTATTTTTAACCTCTCTTGCAAGCCTGAGCTCATTCTGAGCTTTGGCCTACCTGACTTTCACCCTCTAAGTGTTGGCTACTCAAGTACACACTTCCTTATGGGTTCATATAATTTCATATAAATTCCCTTCTCACACCCCAGCTCATCTGCAAGTTCCTTAAGCAGCCACGCCAGTTTCTTTAGTTGTCTCCCACTTTTCTTTGTTGTTGGAATCGTTTGCCTTTGTGCCTTCAGTATTTCACCTTTAAGAAGCTCCCATCCATCTTGGACTCGCTTCTCTTTTAAAATTTCTGACCATTGGGCTTCTTCCAGTAGTTCCTTAAGCTTGTTGAAACTAGCCTTCTTAAAGTCCAGAGTGCATGTTCAACCGTACTCAGCTTTCCCTTGTCTGTGTATAATGAATCAGTTCCTTCCTGTTAGTGAGGACTAGGTCCAAGAGAACCCCCTTGTTGCTTCTTCCACCTTCTGGGAAATAAAACTGACAGCAAGACAATTGAGGAATTTGTTGTGCCTTATATTCTTGTCAGATATATTGGGGAAATTGTAGTCTGCCATGACTACTATATCTCTCCTTTTTTGAACATCTGGTAATCTGCTCTAGGAAGGCATCATCCAGGTCCTCAGTGTGGCTTGGAGGTCTATAGTAAGGTTACTATTGTTTCCCTCTCCTACAGTTGTTATCCATCTACTCTCAATCTGCCTTCCATACTTTAAGTGACACATTTCTTCACAAGTGTACACATCCTTTATATATAATGCTACTCTTCCCTTCCTGTTTAATCACTTTTTTTTCCAGGCTGCACCCAATTCCTACATTCCAGTCATGAGTTTCATTCCACCAAGTGTCAGTAATGCCTATTAGGTCATAGTTACCATCCTGTATTCAGAGATCAAGTTCTTCTTGCTTGTTTCTCATACTCAGACAACTGAAACAGTCATTCCTCCAAACACTGCTGCCTCTGTACCCCTTCGTAAGGGAGTCACATGTCACCACCAGTCTCTTCAGTCTCTGGGGAGCTGCAGGAATCATTCTGTACCCTGTCCCTTCCACTGTCACCTTGGTGTGTTCTGAAATCTGCAACTACGTACTTGCTCCTCTGGCCAAGAATATGTATCCGAGATGAGGGCACGGAAGCAATTTTGTAGCTTCAGTAATGCATTGAGTGATCTTCCTCCTTCCTAGGTGTACCCTGCCTGCATTTCTCTTCCAGGACACCCAGTCTGTGGACCACAGTGTGGAAACCCCTGTATTAGAGCAATCAGAACCGTCACATGAGGTTGGACTATTTGATTCTCAGAGAAAAAACCTGGCTCGAAGACTTCACTGAGGAAAAAGTGCCCTGCAATTTTTGCACCACCAGGAGAGAAAGGAATTGTTTCCTAAAACTTGAATACTACTGTATGTAAACCATGAAACTAAGGAAGTGTGGCTCATGCACTCTGAAGCAAGATTCATGATGGTTAAAGAAGATGGATAATATTTCTTCCTATATACATTTCTTTTCATTACTTAAGAACACTAACAAAACAGGCATATGCAGCTACTATCTACTGATGGACGGAAAATTGATGCAAAATTATGGAACCACTGTTTTCATTCTTTGAACAAACTGAGATTTTAATTCTAAATCTTCCACAACTCCTTTGTCTTAGAGAAAAAGGTTTTACAAAATATGTGACTATATATGTATGTGTGTGTTGATTCTCAATATTTAATGTTTATATATTGTTTTTAATTTGTTTTTACCTCTACTGATGTAACCATCCCTATGACCATGGGGTGAGGTGTGGGATATAAATCCAAATAATAATTAAAGAAAATTACAACAGTGGGTCCAATGACCTTTTTATGGTCACTTCTAGTAATTATGCTGGGACATGGCTGGCGCTGTGGGTTAAACCACAGAGCCTAGGATGCCGATCAGAAGGTTGGCGGTTTGAATCCCCACGACGGGGTGAGCTCCTGTTGCTCGGTCCCTGCTCCTGCCAACCTAGCAGTTCGAAAGCACGTCAAAGTGCAAGTAGATAAATGGGTACCGCTCCGGCAGGAAGGTAAACGGCGTTTCTGTGTGCTGTTCTGGTTTGCCAGAAGTTGCTTAGTCATGCTGGCCACATGACCTGGAAGCTGTACGCCGGCTCCCTCGGCCAATAAAGCAAGATGAGCGCCGCAACCCCAGAGTCGGCCACGACTGGACCTAATGGTCAGGGGTCCCTTTACCTTTTACTAGTAATTATGCTATATGGGATTCAGAATTGCATCAGAACTGGACAAATTGCTCCAGCCTAAGATGCATATTTCAAAGTATAAATGTAATACAGAATCATAAAGTTGGATCCAGGCATGTCCTTGGCGGAACTCCACTAACTGAATGCTCTGCTAGGCAAAAGTGGGAGGTGATATTCATTGGTTCCTCCTTCCCCCAGCAGTCCTCATGCCATCTGCCACGCTGTCCTGGAGGATCCCCCAACCCACTGGAGCAGATTTTCAGGAAAGGGGGCATCACCAAAAGCCCCTCCACTGGATCTAAGTTTCTGCACCCCCATTTCAAGATGGGGAATCTCTGGATCCAATCCATTGATGTAATGAATTCAGTATTTCTAAGGAGTTCACCCCCATTCCATTTGTTTTATGGTATTTTAAATCAGAAGCTTTTGTAACAATTGCATTTTATGGATGTTACAAGCTACTTTGGGCATTCTGGTCAAAAGGATATAAGTCTAAAATATACAGAGAAGGGCTGTGCAGTAGTCACATTAGAATACTAAACGGTGAATTCAGAAGGAAATGAAAAACTTTTCACATGTCCTTTTAAATGTATGGACCTTTGACAAAACAATCCTCATAAATGACTTGGGGACCTTGGACTGAAAGATAGGGTCTAAATCAGGGGTAGTCAACCTTTTTATACCTACCGCCCACTAATGCATCTTTCTTGATGGTAAAATTTCCTTACCGCCCACCAGTGCTGCAGTAACATGTGCCGTAGAACCCCCTACCGCCCACCTAGAATCCTGAAACGCCCTCTAGTGGGTGGTAGGGACCAGGTTGACAACCCCTGTCTAAATCAAGTAAGTAAATGATTTTATAAAAATAATGTGACTGAGAGGAAGAAAACATTCAACTCAATTGTCAGCTGTGCAGTAATCAAAATGTTGGTGGAAAAGATGTACCTATATAAATCTTTTAAAATAGCAACTTATACACACAGCATAATTTTACATTCCCTCTCTTACAGCAGCCAGCATGTAGATTGCCAGTTATTAGTCATCCACTGATTTACTGATGCTGCAAGCAAACTAATACCAGAGTAAGTTTCATTGTCCTTTTAATAATAATAATAATAATAATAATAATAATAATAATAATAATAATTTATTTCTACCCGGCCCATCAGGCTGGGTCTCCCAGCCACTCGGGGCGGCTTCCAACAGAAGGTTAAAAATACATTAAAAATAAATTGTTCATTTACTACTTAAGCAACAAAAGTATGTTTTCTTCAAAGTAAAATTTAGGGTGTCTGAAACAGTATATTTCATAACCATGTCAAACGTTCAACTGAAAAATAAATTGGATACAAGAATTATGGAAAGTTCTCAAAGCCAAATCTACATATTACACAGAATGAGGTGCTGGAAATATCTGGACTGTACCCACTTTCAATTGCAGTTTCTGGGGAAGCTAATTTTTTTATAAACCCTCCTCAGTGTCAAAAATATTTCATCATCTATCCACCTGTGGAAAAAAACCTGCACAATCCACAATTCCACATCTAATTCTGTGCAATATGTAGAAAGGCTCTTGTGTGTACGCATAAAGTAACTATAGAATGAGAAAATAACGTGTATGCCCATGAGAGCTGATCAACACCTGACATTATATTTTATTGCCCATTAATTAGATTTTAGATAGTTACCAATTAATAAATAATGGTAGTGCTGTTTAAAATAAACATAATAAAAACTAAATATATACCAATTAATCCATGATTGCCCCCATTACATGAGAATACCCTCCCAAGAGGATACAAAGAGACTGTGAAGACAACCAGATGCTAAGAGGTTAGGATCAGAAAAGAATTGTTTCTTTATGAAAGATGGAATACCTATCAAACTAAATGATCAATCCAGCTAATACAGTACCTGTCGCAGTTCTGAAAGTCCTTTGAGTATGGCCTGCTGTCTGTCTCTCACCACATTGGGATTAAAAAGTGGATCCCTTATGTGATCGGAGCTAAAAATCTGTCGTGGTGTATGGCAAGCATCTAAAAGTAAATATAGATGAGATTAACTGGAATGAAAATAATCAGCCTTACTTTTTTGTAGTACTATGCAAGACTAATATTTTCAGTGTTTAAAGACGGTTCTAACTTCAAATGGATCTGGAAAGAAGGCAGTATGTATATAAGGTTCTAAAAGAAGACATTTTCCATCAACATTTTGAAATTAAAATACATTGGTACATTGTGATATCTTTATTATTAGACAAACATTTTAGATGTTATCTTGGATTGATACTTTATTTTGCAGTTTTGTACTAGAAGCTGTTCATTAGAACAAAGGCTTCTTTGAAAAAAACATTTAAGTTCTGTGCAATGGTATACGATTCATTAATCAAAGGCATTTCTTTAACTTTGTATTGTAGTACCGTTTGGCTGCTGATATTGTGGATCATGTGTTGAAGGCCTGGTCATGGGTGCATCTGGATCAAGGTAATACACTTCATTTGTTCGCACGTAAGGAACAAAGTGAGAAGAAGGTGGCCTTTCAGTTTCAGCACTTTGAGGTGGTGTTTCATTCTGATGCTTATCTGTATAGGTACTTTTCTCTCTTCCATCATCAGGAGTCTTTATTTGCTGCGGCAATCTGTTTTTAACTGCTGGAACGGGTGGCGATTCAGATCTGTTTTAAAACAACAACAATAACCTTCAGACCTGTTTCGCAAGCAAAAAGCTTTTTTTAAAAAAGTGTTAATATTAAGTTGTGCATATGGGAGGTTCTGAATTCTTATTTTTTTCTTGTTTGTTGAATTGTCTTCAACAAAACAACTGAGATACTAATTGTATACCTGAGTCAAGTCCTTTTAAAGCTTTATTTTCTCCCTTAAATCTTTAACTTACCTGAGCAGCCCACCACATACCTAAACCCAGTATTTTTTACTTAATACAGTGGTACCTCGGGTTACATACGCTTCAGGTTACAAACGCTTCACATTACAGAATCCACTAACCCAGAAATAGTACCTTGGGTTAAGAACTTTGCTTCAGGATGAGAACAGAAATCGTGCTCCGGCGGTGCAGCAGCTGCAGGAGGCCCCATTAGCTAAAGTGGTGCTTCAGGTTAAGAACTGTTTCAGGTTAAGAACGGACCTCCAGAACGAATTAAGTACTTAACCCGAGGTACCACTGTACAAATATATCCTGCTTTTCCTCCAAGGAGTTAATATGGTGGCATATATATAATCCCCTTTTTATCCCCACAACCCTATGAGGTAGAATAGGTGAAGTTCAGCCAGATTTGCTAGAACATCAGTCCATTAAAGAGTTCCATCAGTTGCTTCTAGAGATTCAGCAAAATAAGGCGGAGAAACATGTTTATAGTTGCTGCATATAGGAAGGTGAATCAGTAGCCATGAAGCGAGAGCTGCTGTACAACTGTATGAAATATGGGAGACACCAGTGAGATAGGAACAGATCATGCAGCGTACTATTAAAAAGCAAAAGTTTCCTTTGGGACATTGTTTTTATAGGACAATGTACCTTGGACTGCAGTCCAAATCCCCTTGTACTTGGGGGAGAGGATGTTGGATTGTGTGGAGGCAATCCTCTGCTTGCTTCTGATAACTCAGCCTCCCTCCAACCAGCACAGACCTCCCCCTTCCTCCCACCAAAAGTGTAGTATTCCCCACCAGCAGAGTCTGGCAGAGAACCCCAAAAAGGACCATTCTGAGGGCAAGGCTGAGCCAGCCTGGGCTACATGAGCCAAGCTGCTCTCACAGCCATTGTCAGCCAGCACTGAGCCCAATTGCTGCACTAGCACGAAGCTGGCACACAGGTATTCGGCTCAGTTTGCCTGACCACCCTCCTAAATGGTTGGGTTGCAATATCTTTTCCAATTGGCGCGGCCATAGCAACGGCAGGTTTGGATTGCAAACTTCCCACTTGAATAAACAGGAAGAAAAAACACACATTTTAACAAACTTGTTCAGGGGAATTCTTAAGAGTTCAACACAAAATACATTTGCGATGAATTTTTAGTTATAGAACTAAAAAGTGAAGACGGCCATATGTTTTCATATACATCGATTTTGGACATTCAGTAATAATCAAGACGGTTGTGGCAGAAAGATTGGTGACATGAAAATTCCTTCTGGTGGGTGTGCATGAAGCATCTACACTACAGTGGGTTAACTCACCACCACCAGTCACTCACTACATATGACAGGCAGGGACAGATGGTCAAACATTTGACTAACCAGCCAGCTTCTGAGACACTTTCCCACTGTACAAGCTGTATTGCAGCCGTCTGAATAGCATATTTGGGGCTGGATTCCTCCTGTGTGTCCACAGGACAGAACCTTAAGTAACTAATGTTCCATTAACTGGTGGTTGCCATGCAGGAGGATCCTGGATGCTCAGGCCAACAATTCTACTTCAGGCTGGACCTACTCAGGTGGTTGGTTGGCAGCACTTGCTGCAGGACACTTTGCAAAGGCTGCCTCTACCCGAGAATGTATTTTGACTAAGTACTTAGTCTATAACCTGAATGCTGTGTTGGAAGAGATACCTACACAGAATGCTGAGATCCAATAAGATACTGGGGTTTTTGGGGGTGGGGGGTCGGTTTTTTTAGAACCCAAATCTGTTTTGTTTTGCTCTGAATCTGCACTGTGGAGGAAGACCATACCTATTAGACACCTGTGAATTTTATACAATATCCTTCCTCTGCGTTTTGAAACCGGCCAGCTGAAAGTTCCCAATCGACCTTTTCTCTGGAATCCCTTTAGAACTTGTGTGTTCCTAATAATTTCTGTTTAAGCTGCTGTTTAAGGGGACAGAAATGACTAACAGGTAGCTTGAAGGCTTCTTTTCCTCTTGTTGGATGGTTCCTGTGTCTAGGGATGTGATGAGAGGGTTTGCACTACCCCTGAAAGAACAGTTTGTAGTCTGGGCGTGCTCCTGGATTTCAACATGTCACTGAAGTCTCAAGTGGCTTCTGTGGCAAGGAGTGTTTATGCCCATCTTAGGCTGATTCGCCAGCTACAGCTGTCCCTGGACCGGGATAGCCTGGCCTCAATTGCCCATGCTCTGATGACCTCCTGTCAGGACTATTGTTATGCATTGGTTGTGGACCTGCCCTTGAAGGCAGTTTGAAGGCTGCAGCTAGTATAGATTGCAGCTGCTCCTCTTGAACTGCAGCAGCCCAGTGGGGCCACATGACACCGGTCCTGAAACTGCTACACTAGCTGCCAGAGAGCATACAAAGCATAAAATGGCTTGGGACCACAGTACCTTCCCAATATTCCTGACCCACAATTGATAGGTGAGGCCTTGCTGGTGGTGCTGCCACTTAAGAGTTGCTCAGTTGGCAGTGATATATGACAGGGCCTTCTCAGTGGTGGTTCTGTGCTTGTGGAATGCGCCCCCTGGCGAGGTGCATCTGTTCGCCTCATTATTGTCTTTCAGAAGGAATTTAAAAATATTACTGTTTACTCAGGTATTTTATGGTTGTAAGATACTGTTCCTGGCAACCCTGAAATCATTGGCTGAGAGAATGACGGTTTTTAACTGTTTTTAGGATGTTATTAATGATATTATTTAATAATGTTTTATTGATGTGTTTGCTGCCTGGGCTCCTTTGGTAGGAAGGGCAGAATATAAACATGTTGCTCAAAAAGGCTGGAGTGAATCTCCTTGCAACTTGCCTATCGGAGGTTACTGTCCATTCTGCAGTGTTTAGATATTGCTCAGTACAAAACTTTTAATAGCCCTACTCCCTGACCTTAACCCTTGGTACTTCTGGGCTGAATGACGAGGAAGGAGATTCATGAACTCCTGTGGTGGGTGGTGAATGATAACTACGATTTCCAAAATCCCAGTATGGCACCCATTTTATCCAGCCTCAAAAGATGTAGGTGCAAGGGGGGGAAAGGAAACCAGAGGTCTGGGGAAGAGATTGATTTGTTTATTTCATAAAATTTATAGACCGCTTGTTTTTAAAAAATCAAAGCGGTTTCTTCCTAGTTAACCCCACTTGGCTCCACTTGCCACTTCACACTTCAGTATAGAGACTGAATTGATGCTGTACAAAATGGCTATCCTGTTTTCGGTGTTGGCTAGACAGCCACTGATGCCTGAAGGCCCTGACAGGGCAAACCTTAGAAAGTAATGGGAGAAAATAATCAGAATTAAACAACATACAAGATTGTGTGTTTTTCACCTGGCTGGTGTCAGCCCATTCTTCCTTTTCCCTGTCTGAGAAAGCCCATGAGTTATCACCATACAGGAGGGACTGAGAGAGCATAAGGAACCTAGCTGATCCAGGACCCCGTAAGTTGAGCAGGTGCACCTGTGGCATAGCCAGGAGGTGGCCAGTGAGGATAAAAAGAACCCTACACTTATCCTGCAAAGGAATAAGGTGAGGGGTTGCTAAAGGCTTTAAAGTTCTTGGTGTGTTAGAGCAAAACTACCTTATATCGTTTACTTCTTTTTCCTCCTTCTAGGCCACTGAGGTAGAGAGAAGAGGCAATGCAGCAGGATTGACCTTTCTTTTGGGAGGCTGTCTGGGACCCAAATAATTGGATCACTGAAAACTACTGCCGTAATCTCTTGGACCAAAGTGGAGGACATTGCTAATGCCACATTCTGTGAAGCTAGACATGACAGTCCCACCACTACCAAGAAGGGAATGGAAGTGCATTGTGCCACGTTTGGTAAAGTTCGGCTTGATGATCTAGTCTTCTCTTCCAAGGAGGGAATAGAAGCTTGTACCCCATTCTGTAGAGCTGGGCTTGGCAATCCCACCTCCACTGAGCGGGGAACAGAAGCCTATTCTGCCAACATGGGAAGATCAGCGCTCTCCAGTAAGTGAATCTGTAGTTGGAACTGACTTTGTGTTCTCAGGTGGAGCAAGGAGCAGTCTTGGTAGCCATTACATGCCTCAGTTGGAATGTACAGACTTTCTGCTGACTTGTTGCTGCAGTGAGCAACCTGGTCCAAGATGGTGCTGCTGGAGATTGGAGTGCGGAAGAAAACAATGTGAGAACCAGAGTCTCCATCTATTTTCCCTACTGCCTCTGAGAAATGAACAGCTGTATGTATTTCTGCACCAAAAAAGGCCAGCAGCATCAGGCATAGGCAAGTTTGTGTGGTGACACATTGTCTTGATCTGAATAAAACAAGAATGCATGTGTATCTGCATCTACTTGAGCAGCTACCAGACCCCACCCTTTGCAGATCTGTACATTGTTTTCCAGATACCAGCATTTTATTTGCTTTTTGTTTTACTTTTAATATTTGGATTCTGCTTTTCCACCAAGTATAGAGCTCAAGGCTCAGAATAACAACATTGGAAATTGGTGAATGTTTATATCAATGTAATTCGATACAAACACATGATATAAGGCAAAAATAAATTCAGCAAGCAATATTTTGATACAAACTCATTATAATCCAAAATATTCATAATTTTGGTCACAAGGGAGGCAGGGCTGGTCTCGCTTAAGGCCTACATGGAGCAAACACTCCCTTAAAAACAGCCACACATCTCAGGGGTGTTCAATGTGCAAGTGTAGCCATAGCCAAAGCAAAGAAGAGGAAGGAAAGCTGAGGAGGGGTTTGCTACCCATTTTTTAAAAGAAAGTTATGGACCTGGCAAGGATGTGAAAGAGAACAAGGTAGTTCTGCAGAAGGGAGCTCCTGAGAACCATGAAAGATTACACTAGCAAAATTCCAAGAAAAGGGCTCTGTCCCAAGGCGAGGCAGGAAAGGAATTGGAGCAGCCTCAGGAACTGGTTGAGTAGTCAAAGTTTGATCATGTGTCCTTGCCAATCCTAGACGGTGGTGTAGTCATTGTAACTCATTGTACTCCAGACGCATCCTGCATGCCAACCAGGGAACATCAGCTGTAACTTCATGTTTGTAAATTAGATTGTCTCAAATTGTTGAATTTTGATTACACAGAAAACCGTGGCGCTCCTCTGGTCTGATATTTCAGGGCCGTATGATGATTGTTTCGTATTGGAAGAAACCAGAAAATGGTGTTCAAGCAACCTGGCCACCAAATTCTGTTCCAATTTCCAGCTGAAGTTTCCGAATCATCTTCAAAGGCAGTCCCACATATAATGCATGGCAGTAATCTAACCTAGAAGTTAGCAGAGCATAGGCTATCCCTGTACAGATGGGGTGCAGCTGGGCCACCAGCTGAAGCTGATGGACGGCACATGTCACCAAGGCCACCTGAGCCTCAAGCGATAGCAAAGGATTCAGAAGTCCTCCCAAGCTATGTACCTTCTCCGTCAGAGAGTGTTAACCCCATCAAGAGCAGGACACTTTCTATCCATCCAGTCTAGGGAGATGCCCAGTCTTATCTGGATTGAGTTTCAGCTTGTTGGCTCTCATCCAGCCCATTACTGAGGCAAGACAACGGTCCAGCATATCCACTGCCACACCTGCAGAAGCTGAAGTAGACTTGTCAGCATATTGCTGACAATGTACTCAAAAACTCTGGATAACCCACTCAGCAGTTTCATGTAGATGTTGAACATCATAGGGGAAAGAATTGAACCCTGAGGATCCCCACAGTTATTATTATTATTTATTGAATTTATATACTGCCCTATACCCGCAGGTCTCAGGGCAGTTCACAGAATAAAATCAAAATATAAAATCACAAAATACATAATCAAAATAAAAACCACCACCCAACAACTATCCCCCCAAGCCTCCACATTTTAAAAGGACATAGGATGTCAAATCAACTAAAGGCCTGGTTAAAAAGGAATGTTTTTGTATAATGAAGGCGCCAGGCAAACTTCGCTGGGGAGAGCATTCCAATGAAGGCTCCACTAGACTGCAGAGCATTCCCTAAGCATCTGAAAATGACCATCTAAGTAGGACCATAACCACTGCAAAGCAGTACCACCCAGCCCCAACTTGGTCAGCCGCTCCAGGAGGATGCCATGGTCAATGACATCGAAAGCCACTGAGAGGTTGAGGAGAATGAACAGGAGCACATTTCTCCTGTCTCGCATCAAAAGTCGTCATACAGGATGACTAAACCATTTTCTATGCCAATACTGGGCCTAAACCCCGACTGAAATGGATCTAGAAAATCAGATTCCTCCAAGAACACCTGGATCTGTTCCACAACCACCTGCTCAAAGACAGACTGGCTACTAGTCAGTAGTTAGATTTTTCAAACCCAGGTAGTCTTATCACTGCCTCCTTCAAGCAAGCAGAGCACCCCCTCTCTTCAGGACACATTCATCACCTCCCCTCCCTGCTACATTTTATCAGTCAAGAGGGGCAAGGGTCCAGAGCACAAGTGGCTGGCCTGACAGACCCAAGCACCTTGTCCACATCTTCGCGTCTTACCAGTTGAAACTCATCCACCACAACAAGACTAGACAGTGCTCTGGACACCCCTAGAGATTCATCTGCTGCAACAGTGGAGTCAAGGTCCCGACAGATGCCAGCAATTTTATCCTCAAAGTGCTTTGCACACCAGTTACCAAAAGCTTCCATCAGTTGTGTTACTTCCTTTGGGCCAGACTGTAAAAGGCCTCATACTACACAGAAAAGCTCTGCCAAACAGCATAATGAGGATGCTATAGAGTAGGCCTGGGTGATATACTGTATTGGTATATTGCCCAGGACCAGTATGAGGGGCTAGCCGCGATGGTGGTTAACCCACTGTACTCCAAATAAATAAAGAAATCATTAAATACTTTACTAGAGAAGGAGATACCTACCTTTGTTCGCCTAAGTGGTTTTCTGGTGATTGTTCTTCCTAAAATAAGACCAAAATAAGTAAATAAGATGCAGCTTCTCACCCTCTGTATTTTGCAGTTAATAATTCAGAGAGCTTGCTTTTTCTCCCCTTTGAATAGTTTTTTAAAGCACCATTTAAAATTTCTTTGGAATTCCTATGGTACATACCAAAGGCTGTACACACACACACACACACACACACACACACACACACACACTCACACACACTTATAAAACCTTATTGCTGGTAATGTGTCACTCTCTAAACATCCTCTCATTGGTATGATATAAAGAGGAGCCAGGATGAAGGGATGGGGCTATACAAACAAGGGCTGGCTTCTCCCCAAGGCCTATGGGACTAAAATGGCACAGAATTTAGGGTAAGGCTGAGAACTGCACTATGTGCAGGTGGGGATAGAACTCTGAAAAGGACTTGAGCTCTTCAGCTCCTCACCCTACCTGTCAAATTTGAGTTAGGGGTGGCTAACCTATGGCCCACCAGATGTTGCTAGACTCCAGCTTCTGCCAGAGGGGAGCTATAGTCCAGCAACATCTGGAGGGCCAAGACCAGCCCCCCCCCCATTTTAGTTCGTAATTATATTGTACCCCAGGATGGCAGATATAAAGGTTATCTCCTCATATCCACAGAACAATCCTGCAAGGTAGATCAGACATTAGTGTGTGATTGGTATAACAGCATTTTATGGATATTTGGACCAAACAGTATCTTAGAATATTATAAATTCTTGCACAACATTGGAAGTCTTAACTCATCACACTTAAATTATACGTGAAATGAAAGTTACCAAAATATGAAATCTGGGTGCACATATTGCATAAAGACATGTTTGCACAACATAACAGTTCCCAGTAAATAGTCTTGGGACCTAAGGCCTAAGGGCCTTTCTGGATAATCAATTTACTATGTAATAAATGCAGTTTGTTTCTCACTTGTTGTACATAGTCAGCAGCTCTTCCCTTCTGGTTTGCATCTCTGTTGCAGGGACACTGCATCTTCCAAGGACACAACTAGGATTCTTTCCCAACATAGCATATTCATTGCTAGTGGTTGCTATAGTATATGAGATGCAAGACTGCCACAGGCCTCTGTTAGGATACACTTAGGACATGGATTATTTATATGAGAAAACTCAAGGTCTTGTGAATTTTTCTCATAGCGGTCTTATTTTAATGTTTGGGGGGCGGGGTTACATGCCCTTACAATATTAAAAGAAGAAAAGGAAGAAATAATCTGCTAATTTATTATATATGATCATGATCAAGATGGTGCTCAGATGGGCAGTAGTCTGGCACCATGTTGGGCACTGTCCTATCAACATCTGTCCAGAGTGTTTGCAGTAAGAAATTATTAAAATCCATAGAAGAAACAAATGGTGGAGTACAGTATTGGCCTTTTGAGTACAATATTATCATGTTTCTCAATGTACTCACCTTATTCTTAACATCACATTCATGCTGAAGTGAGGGGGATTCATCTGGAGAAATGCCTTTCTTTTGAGTGAGATTTCCGGGACTATTTCTTTCAACCAACTGAAGCAGTTCCATTTGTCGTCTAGCTTTCTTTTCTTCCCTTTGCCTTTGCATACATCTTGGATATTTTTCTGATGCTGGGATATATCTTTTGCAAGGTTTGTTTATGTTCCAGTCTGGTTTTTTCCAATTCCTTTCAATTGCCTTGCCTTGCTTCTGTTTTTGTGCAAATTGTTCATATAGATTGCTGTAGCTGACAATATTCTCTTTTTCTGAAATCTTATTTTTATCTAGATACTGTGTCTCTTTCTTGCACTTTTTGCTTTTGAAGTCTGCTTTATATTCTGCAGCAATACCTGGAGATTCACAGTCTGCTCTTCCTTTCCCAGTTTGCTTAGTGCAAATCTCAGAATTAGGGTGCACGTCAATGTTAAAAATATCTAAAAAATAATGATAGATATTTGCATTTCAAGTATTCATTTTACTGTATCCCTATTAAGTTTATTTAAACATCACTGAAATGGGAGTATCCCTTTTTCTTTGCACAGCCAAGCAACATAACAAGGAAAATACATTCAGAATTAGTAGGTAAACATTTAAAACTGAATAGGTAATTCATTGCAAAACTTAAAATGTACAAACAATTCTGTTGATTGTCTGCTGTGATAAGGAATATAAAATAAATTTACATATATACATATGTGTGTGTGTGTGTGTGATTATTGGAATCAACTAACGGAGCATTTTAACGAACTATTTATATAAATTAATATCTAGCATTAATGAGAAAAACACAAGTGCATATGTATAATATCTGTACTTATATTTCCTTTTCAATACAAAAATGAGGGGGAGGAAATGAAACACTAAAGGTGCAAACCTAAACAAACTTAAATCCTGTTGAACTCAGTTGTACTTCCAAGTATATAGCCATAGGATTGTGCTATGTGAAGTCCATTGTGTTGGTGATTATAAATTGTGTTGCTGTCCTAGTTTCCCTATGCCAGTTACTGAGAGGGGAGAGGCATGCTGTGGGTGTAGAGCAATAAGCTCCCCCAACAACTGGTATTCAGAGGCATGCTCTATAATCAGGGCTATATTAAACTCTGTTATTAAACTATATTATCAATATTCTTTCCCTACATGCTGTAGTCCTACTCTCAAAAGCTACTTATAACTCCTTTGTAATCTTGCTCCATACATCCCCAAGCTGTACTGATTTCAAGAATGGGTGATAACTATGAATGCACTAATTTCTTAAATATGTAAATCTTCCAATAAATATCATCAACTGTATCAAAGTGAACTTGGCTCCTCCTCAGTTGTTATTCTTAAACTTGCAGAGAAAAGACTTACTAGCATCTGATTTTCTCTTACACCTAACAGCACACTCCAGATTTAATGCTAATCTCATTTCATCAAGAATGTCTGAAGAAGCAGTCCCTCATTAATGAGCAAGAATATGGGATTCGTCCCCCCCCCCATCTAAATTTACTGTTTTACTAGTATAAATGGTAAGACTGGCAATAGATAAGATAATGGAACAATTAATTAACTTGTATACCTGTCTGAACAGCAGTGTCTTTCCGAGGAGAGAGAATAGTTTTGACATCCTGATTCATTAGACTGCTGTTCCCTCCAGAACAGTGATCATTATTATCACGAGTATCAAAAAAGCCATTCAGGTCAGTACTGTAACTCTCACATGGTACATCACCTAAAGGGAAAGAAATAAAATATGTATTCAAATACTGCTAATCACTCAAAAGTTAATGTTTCAAATAAACAGATCAGTTCATAAATCACAACTTTGTCTGAACGCATACATTACTAACAGGGACTGCTAAATACAGGAGTTGTGAATTATAATCAAAAGAGTTAATAAGGAACTATAGATTATAGGATCTCTGCCCATCCTGACTATAGAGTCAGTCTGAAATTTCATCATGGAAGTTTGGGAAATACAGTGGTACCTCAGGTTACATATGCTTCAGGTTACAGACTCCGCTAACCCAGAAATAGTACTTCAGGTTAATAACTTTGCTTCAGGATGAGAACAGAAATCGTGCTCCGGCGGCGCAGCGGCAGCAGGAGGCCCCATTAGCTAAAGTGGTGCTTCAGGTTAAAAACAGTTTCAGATTAAGTACGGACCTCTGGAACGAATTAAGTCCTTAACCTGAGGTACCACTGTAAAGGAGGCCACCAAGAGGTGCAAATTCCCCCCCCCCTCCAAAAATTAACCATGGATAAATTTTTCCTGTGTTTTTTCATGGCTCTTTGGAGCAGTATGTTTCCCTTTTATATGGTTCTTTTGATGCTCCTGCAAAACAAACAAAACCCAGAACTTCTGGGTCTTTACAGTAAGAGCCTAAGCAGCCAGATAGTGACATAATGGCACCATATAGCCAGAATTGAGGAGAAACAGGGCTCTAATCACTCTCACTGTGACAGGGTGGAGATGGGAGGAAAGTGAATGTATCCTCGTGGGCAGAAAAAAGTTCCCAACATCTTCCCTGTCCTCTTCATGTCCCTCCTGAAAAAACTGCTAAAGTGTGGAGTCAGACATTTTAGGAGGTGTGAAAGGGTTTGTAAAATTCAGCCTTCTGTTTTGGCTCTCACTGAACCAGCCTGACTGAGGATATGTTAAATATCAGGTTTTACATATATACAGTATATCCAAGATAACGTAAAAGGGAAACATGTACTTCAGAATTTCTAAGGGCCTGAAAAAAACTTCCAATTTCATTCAATGAACTAAGGATTATAAATAACCACACTTCAAGAATGAAAGAACTACTACGCCATCAATGTGCATGGCATTTTATAGGCCGAAAAAAGTTCCCCACTTGCATGGCAACTAGGGGGTTGTGCCAAAAGCTTTATGGAAAGGTGGATTTTTGAAAATATTCTATCATTAAGATTCCTGAAAGGAACAATTCTTATTTGGGAGGCGTTCTCAAGGAGCAACAAATCAACTCTGTCAAACCCACACCATTTAAACCTGATACTTAGGTAAAGGTACCCCTGCCCGTACGGGCCAGTCGTGTCCGACTCTAGGGTTGTGCGCCCATCTCACTTAAGAGGCCGGGGGCCAGCGCTGTCCGGAGACACTTCCGGGTCACGTGGCCAGCGTGACGAAGCTGCTCTGGCGAGCCAGCACCAGCGCAGCACACGGAAACGCCGTTTACCTTCCCGCTATAAAGCGGTACCTATTTATCTACTTGCATTTAGGAGTGCTTTCGAACTGCTAGGTGGGCAGGAGCTGCGACCGAAAGACGGGAGCTCACCCCGCCGCGGGGATTCGAACCGCCGACCATGCGATCGGCAAGTCCTAGGCACTGAGGTTTTACCCACAGCGCCACCCGCGTCCCTAAACCTGATACTTACCACCACCAATATTCTTCTGCAGTTTGGAAATATCATGCCCCTTCTGAGCCAAATCTTTAATGCGCTGTTCCTGTTTTAACCTCTGCGCCAGCTCTTGAGCTCTTTGCATTGTCTGGTATAGCTCATTTGTTTTAACAGTCATTATCTCCTAAATGATAAAGGAAATATACATATAAGAACATTTAGGAAGGAACCAAGACAGAATCTTGAACGACATACCTCTATGTCATATTATGTGAGCTTTTCAAAAATAGGAATGTGAACATCTCTATATACTGAGAAATGGGGGAAGTAGATTTTACTTGTAACCATACCTAGCAACAACTAAGGTGGCTTGGTTTCTCAGCATATGAGGGCTGAGCTGTGGGCAGCAGTCTGAGGTGAGCTGAGAACCAGAATTCACAGGACAAGCCTGTAGTTGGAAATGAAGATTAAGTCAGCACCAAAGGAAAAGCCAAGAGGCTGGATTACAGAGCAAGCCAGAAGTTAAGACTGATTAAAGGTTATAGGAACAAACCAGAGCTTGTTGCTCAAGCAAGGTGCAATGGGAAAAGAAAGCCCTCTTATTCTCCTTCCTGTCCAGGAGAATTCAATAGCCAGCCTGGATGAGCAGGGTCTGCCAAGGACCTGAAGATACTAAACCTGCCTCTTTTTGCTTTTGTTTGAGCAGATCATCTTCAAACTGCTTCTTCATTAACTCCTGCTCTTTTGCAAGTCGGCGCTCTTCTTCTTGTTCTTCTTGTTTCCTTTGTTCCTCTTCAAGTTGTTTTTTCTTCCGCTTTTCCTCCACTTGAGCCATTATGGCTTTCTAGAAAAATCAAATTGATGATAAAACGCTCTTAGGAATTAGGGATCAAATGTCATTTACAAAAAAATCCTCTAAATGTTATACTTTTTTGGAATTATTTCCTAGTATATATTTTTCTATCTGTTTTCTTATTGTATCATTACCATGGTTTTTTTTTTAAATTCCTACATCTGGATTATGACTAAAAGTACTATGTTTATCTAGGACTAGGGGCTTTTAAAACATAACATAGCAAGATATCCCAATTTTTCAGCTCCAAAAGTCAGAGAAACATTTTCAAATCTATATTGTAGTGTTTTGACATATGGCTAAATAGAAGGCTTAAGGGGTAGCACAGGAAAAATATATCCTTGTCTTATTTTCATATATGAGAGGCATTTTGAAATGGATGCATTTTCAAACTTAGTAAGTTATATATTTCAATATTATTGTATATTTTACACTATGTTGTAACTTGTTCTGCACCTTGGGATGAATGGTAGGATAGAAATGCTGTAAATAAATAAATAAATAAATAAAACAATGTTTCAAATATTGAAAGTGATTTCTTCTAAGAAAAATGAAAATTCCATTCAACTAGTTTAATTTCCTTTGCTGTTCTTTTCTTTAATATGTTAAAGTGTTTTTAATTATTTTTAATGTTTTGTCAGTTGATTGTTTAAGAAGGTTTTTTAATGATAGACACCCCAAGCTTTTCTTTCTAAAAATAAACTCAACAGCAATAATACTAAAATCACCACCAGATTTGTTTAATCAGATAAGAGAAAAGAAGCTGTCTGTCATGGTTCTAACTACAATCCAAGCCCAACTACATCATTACACTTCCTCTCACTGCTTGTTCAGTTTATGTTTTCGGTCAAGTTTTAATGTTTTCTTCCATTTAATAGAAAAAACAGGAAATTAAACACACACAAAACCCTACATTAGAAGTTAGTGATCAACCTGATGTTCTAATTGTTTTTGCCGTCTCCTTCCTCTCTCCTCAATTTGAGCAGGATCCAGGAGGGCAGTCATTGAGCGAAGGAAACTGTCAACAGAAAAGCATTTAGAGACACAAACATCGTAATTTAAGTAAATACATTGCTACACAACACCCCAGTCTTCACAGCAGTGCAAGATTCCAGGGGTCCAGGCTCTTACCCAGAGTCTGTGCTTCCTTTTGGACAATGAGGCACAGTAGAGACTGTGGTGTCTTTATGATATTTGGTTTATTTGCACATATATAGAATGTGAGCCCAGATGAAGAGAGTGCAGAGCATTTACAGCCCAAGAGGGCCCTGTTCCTTCTATTACTGCAGCCTCTGATTCCAAGGGACCATGCACATTGTGTTTGCCCCTCTTTGCAGCACAAAACAGATTGCTCACCTCATGCTATGTGCTCCCCCTTCACCTTGCAAAACTAACCCCTTTTCCTCTTTGCTTACCTCATCACCCACTGCAATTCTGCCCCTCTATCCTGAAACACTGGTCTTTTGTCTCTGCTTACTATTTTTCACCTCAGGGAGGGCTTTTCCCATTTTCTGTCCTGCCCAGAGAGTTAATGGGCTAAAGACTGGCCATCATTGGTCCCTGTGCCTCCAATGACCCACACTCAGCTAGCTCTGCCAAGATGGCCTGGATCATTTAGCATAAGCTGAATCTAGAGGTTTCCGTGTCTGGCAAAGTTTAGTCAAACCTAAATTAATTTTAATTTATACTAAATCCAAGAATTGTAGGTAACTTGTACCCACAAACTCTGGCCTATAACAATATCAACATATTGTACAGTGTAAAAACCCACCCAGAACATTTCTGCACATCTGTTATTACAGTGATAATATTTAATCTAAACTTTTATTTACTGACTTTTAATGAAATAAAACTCCTCTGAAGAAAATTATTTTAAAGTTTAGCACATAAATAGAGAATGCTAACTAAATCCAAAACAAATGTACTGAATGATTTCCAAAGAGCAAACAGCATTATAATTTATTATACTAATGAAATGTTGGCATCAATTTGGGAAACCCAAGAGGGGCATTCACCTGGCTTTCTGATTTGGCTCTGAAATGTTTCCAATTGCCTTTCCTGAAATCTCCACTTCTGAAGGTGTGAGATGACATGAAGTTGTAGGTGTAAAAGCAGTCTGGTTCTGGGGTTCAGGTAAAAGTTGAAAAATTTCAGGCTGCTTTTTATACGTTGTATTTAAAGGGTATTGTGAAAATGAATTAGCGTGATTCCTGAAAGAATCAAAATGCATTGTCCACTTGTCATGCTCTTCACCCTAAAGAAAATTGAAGGAAATATATATATCATTTTTATGCACATCTCAAGTTTTCTGCTATAAGGCCCTCAAAGCAGCACAGTATGAATTACATTCTGTAAAAGTATGTGTGTAGAATTATCATTGTTACTATTTTAAAGGAACTATCTAAAATATGGGAAACCCGCTTAAGTTAAGATAGTGTGAAGTACTCACATCTGAGCTGACCACATCTCAAAGGGAAAACAAACCTTTTAAAACAGAGTTTGATTTACATCACTCGTTTTGCCAGTATACGTTCTTCCAGGTTGCCAGGTCACCTGACTGAGCTGGTGCTCAACTCCAGTGTGAGTCCCTCTTCCTGCTCCTCCCCCAGAATGCCCATTTTTCAGGTCTTACACCATCTTAAATTCCACCAGGCTCAGATTAGCTGGCTGGGTCCCATCTGAGCCAGGACAGGGAACTTACAGCAGCATAGCTCAGGTGAGCAGGAACCAGCCGGCTAAACCACTAATCTGCCATATCCTAACTCACTCTTCCCAGCAGAGCTAGGATTAGGTTTATGCCCTCAACAGTAAACTACTGAATGCTTAGAAGCAAATCCCACAGAGATTAATAGGGTTATGAATACTCAACACTATTTAGCATTGCCCTTGTGCTCTCCCGTTATAATTTCTAAAAACATTTCTAAAAACTTGCTGAGCATTGGGCTGCAAGTTACTTGGCACTAGGTCCCTTTCTGTAGGACTTTTAAAGGTGCATAGTTTTGCACTCACAGCATACACCAGGCATGGGCAGGTGTTTGGGACTACAATTCCCATCATCCCTAGCTAACAGTACCAGTGGTCAGGGATGATGGGGATTGTAGTCCCAAACATCTGGAGTGCTGGAGTTTGCCTATGCCTGGCATACACAATCATCCAACAGCATATTTCTCCAGCTCCTTGCAGAGAGCGCTGGATTTGTTGTTGTTGTTTAGTCATTTAGTCGTGTCAGACTCTTCGCGACCCCATGGACCAGAGCATGGGCGCTGGATACAAATAACTAAATAGCAGAGCTATTAAAGAAATGGGTACATGCTACTCCCTCCCTTGTTCTCCCAGCTCTGATATCATGTAGCACAAGGGCTTTACACATCTTATTATATACTTGATGGCCTCACTCATGGAATTCTCCGTTCTTTGGGTAATTTTATTAACTGGGCCAGAGTGAAAGACATGGACAACATAAACCATTTCTCATTTCAAATTAATAACCTTCATAGACCACAGCTACCTTGGATAAATTACACTTTTCTTCAAGTTTTCGTAGCCTGTCAGCTTCTTTTTGTTTATCAAGTTCTTCAAGCCACTTCTTCTGCTGCTCACGTTTTACAGCACTAAAAGGATGCTCTACTGGTGTCGCTTCCTAAAAGAAAAAGGCAACATCTTTTACTTCCATTTACTCTCAGATTAATCCATTTGATTAGTATTTGGGCTTTACACTATAAAAGTGGGACACTCTGTACAGGTATGTACACACATGTGTTTGAATAATCAGAGCAACTATTTTAAAACTGGGTCTTGATCACATCATTGCCATGCAATTTTTAACAGCTGTATAAGTTTTGCTATTGGCGCTATTTATAGTGCATATGGCGACCCCAACACTAGAGGGAGACCAGATTTCTATGGGCTGTAGTTACTTGATGCACATCTCATGTGATTCTCTCCTTAAGAAACAGCTAAAATCCATGAGCAGTTTCCTGGCTCACAATAAATTTTACAAGTAGTATTTGGTGAGTGTGTTATCTTCTTTTTTGGAAATGCAGACAAAGTAAAGGGAACACAGTCATCCCAAGACAATTTCCTTATAAAAGTTAAGGCAAGCTGGTTTTATAAAATGGATCCCAGCATAGCATTTCATGTCCTTTTACGTAACTAGAATAAACGACATCTTTCTTAAATATACTTTTGAGTAAAATAATACTAGTACTGTCTTGATAGTTATTAAAATGAAGTCAATTTCAGCCTCTACCACACTGGAGAGATAACATTTCCCAATTGAGAATAGCTTATGACAAAAGGACAGCAGGCAACCCCTCAAGTCTGATCTGACATGTTGGATTCTACTTCCAATCCTAAGAAGGTTAAATAATTCTACCAGTGTCCTCTGAACAATGCCTACTCAGCCAAGCTCATGGCAGCCACATTCCAAAAGCAGAGAAATGCACTGCCCAAAATTTAAGGTTTAAAAATGTGAAACACTGCATGCAAATAAATTCTTACCCCTAACACAAATGCTGTTCGAATAGCAGCTGGTAAATCAGGAGAACTGAAACTAGAAAACTGTCCAGTTTGGCCACTTGAAACACTGGGTGAAGTTTCACTAGCCTCAGTGGTCAAAGTTCTACAAATGTGGGTATCTTCCGTTGCAGCACTGAAGTCATCTGAAAATGTCATCTACAAACAAAGTATCTTGGTGACTTCAAATGAACTGCTTTTTTCCACTGGTGTTAAAATGTAAACATGTTTCATGCAATTACATATTATTCAATTTTGTCCAGTTAAAAAATACGCACACACCCATCACCACCACTGTGCATTAGGAATTACAATTAATTCTAAATGCCTTTGCGAGAGAACTTCATAAAGGGAGAGAAATTTCTTTAAGATGGGTCTGCAAAGATATTTGCAATAGGACACGGAACCTCCAAATTATTTGCCTATTCTCTAAAGATGTATCAGTGAGTACAACTAAACACAAAAAGGCAGGCATATATTTTAGATAACAGCACAGGATGGAATTACAATATTGGCAAAAATATAAGCAACATTTATTGCATTGAACAAAATGGTTTGTTTATTTCTACCTGAGTCATTTGTCCCTTGTCAAAGCAACAGCTTACTGTATCCATTTTCTGCCTCAGGTGATATTTGGACTCTGTTTCCAAAGTTTCTTTCAGTTTCTTCTTGAAAGCTATTTGTTCATCTTTAAAGGAGAGAAATCATCAGTGTAATGTCTCATTGGCTCATTGTGGATGTCACAATATCCACTGTGACAGTGGATCTGCCAGGAATAAGCCTGGGCCAGGATCAGTCCTCCCTCTCTGTCATGGCGGCACAGAGATTGAAAGCTTTTGTTTCTGGGTTTTTTGCTAACTGCAATGTTGCTTTATGTGGTGCTGGTTCTAAACAAACCAGTTAAGAATAACCAGTTTGTTAGGTTTGGATGACATGACAAACTACAATTAATCAAAAGCAGAAAGAAAAGTTTCCAAGCTCCTTGCAGGTGCACCAGGGGAAGTGAGGGGCAGTGCATAAATGCATGCCTCGCTTAGGCTCATTCCTGTCATGCTAAATCATGGTTTATCACAATGTGCAAACACAGCCACTAAATACAAATAACCACATTGCCAAAAGGAGAAATATAAAGCTTTAAAAAAAATACAGAGTGGTAACCAAATGTGACCATCTGAAAACACGGGGGAATGCATCAGGAGAACATAGGGATGAAATTTTCAATTATCTCCTCTTCCTTCCTGGAGTATCTCATCCCCCTCCCCTCAAAAAAATAATCTGCTCTGTGGGTCCCAACCCTCTAGAGGATATTTAAAGCGGGGCACAGGCTGCTGGGAGAACCACCAACGCTCCACTGATTATTCCTCTTCTGTCAGTGAACAGTCACCAGTGAGTGCCACCCAGGGAAATCATAGTGTAAGATAACTAAAAATAACCAGACTTTGACAATTTCTTTTTAAAAACGAGAGAGATTTGCTCTAAGTTCAGAAACTCTCACCAATGGGAAATGATGGCAGAGAATGTAGTAAATAAAAACTGAAGTAAAAAAATGTTTGCCCCCCTCCCAAAATGCTTAGAATTAAGTGAGTTCTAAAAATCACTAATTAGTATCTTAATGTTTTAATGTCCCCCCTCTCCGAAGAATGCTTTGTTTAGAAGGAGAAAAAATGCCCCGTCTTCTAAATTTCAGAGCAGTACAATTTATATAGCACTTTTAGGCTGTGATTCAAAGAACACATATCTTAGAAGCAATCAATAAAATTACTGCCTGGAAAATGCACCAATATGTATTTCATTTCCCCCCCCCCCCTTGTTAATACTTAGAACCACTCTGCAGAGGTCAGTATTTTTTATCTCCATCTTACATATGGAGAACAATGAAGAATCTACCCATAACCAGAGAAGAAACCATTTACTCAGTTTGAGCACCACAATCCCAGAGTCGTCCGTGACTGGACCTAACGGTCAGGGGTACCTTTACCTTTACTAAAATTGCCTTTGGAACTTGCAATTTACTTCTAAATAAACCATTCACAGTAACTGACTGAATGGCGTTGCATCTAATATGGCCCTAAGTGGAAATTTAAACAGTCACTGCGGTTCAGTCTTGTAGTTACAACAGTAAGAAGGCTTATAAAAATTGCATATATTTTAGGTAACAGTTATTTTTATTTGCTTGACACATACAACTAAGTGGGGAGAAATGAAAATGTTTAAATGTCAAGGTCCTTTACTTTAAATATCGCATTAATAGCACAAAAAACACCACTACCCTATAAAGCTTGGCTTGCAGATTGATCATATTCCACCCCCTTGTATACAGTTAACTACAGCAACAATATCTATTTGTAAAATGAGATGGCTGTTTAACAATTAATTGTACACTATAGAAATGCAGTTAATTACACTGTACCTAGTTCCTTCTTCCACTGAGACTTCTTCGCATCTAATAAGGTTTTGTCCCTTTCTCTTTCTCCCAAAGCACTAAATATATCAGCTGGTTTCCACGAATTCCTGCTGAAGAAAATCAAGAGGTTTTAAAGCTCAGTTATTAAAGTAACTGCTAATCATATTGGGTTGACTCTAGATTTTGCTCTCCAGCTGGAAGTGGGGATGAGGCTACTTTTACTGATTCTCCCCACCAGCCTCAGCCACCCTAGCAGTACTTAGCACCACCTCCCACCCTGTTCCAGGATGTTGAGAAGAAGGGAAATGGTTAAAGTTAGTTCCCCTGGTATAATCTCTCCACTGCATGAAAAGCCCTCCTGGAAGGTGAAGTCTGAATCCAACCCTTTGAGAATGATAGAATCAGAGCTGGGAGACTCCAGACAGGCTCATGTTGATATAATCCTTACAGCACTTCCAACTTGGTACAGGGTATATCAAATACAGTATCTTTTGACTAGCTACTTGCCTAGTAACTCCCACTAAAGAAACAGACTAAGGCTGCATTCCTAACCCCACTTAACTCTGAATAAGCCCTACTGAATTCAACAGGACTTATGTCCATGTACAAATGATTGGCATCGCACTGTAAATATTTGACTAAAAAATAAAAGACCAAATGAAACTAGTGTCTATGTTCATTTGCATAATATCTTCAATAACTGCATCCAAGAGCATCTGATCATATGTAGTGTTCAAGTGACCAGTATGTATAGTTTGAGATATAGGCTTGTGTTCAACGTAGCGCTAAGGAGATCGTGCTATCAGCGCAAGCATTTCTGCTTGCCTGACAGAATGCTCTCCCCTCTCCTCTCCCTGCATGCTGTTTAGGGGGTTTGCCCAACCTTCCTCAGTAGATTTGGGGAGGAGATGGGGGAAACTCCCATTGCACTAGTGGGCATCCTTGCACTGGCTTCTTTTAGCACAAGTTAGATGACAAAGCTCCATAGGTTTTCATGCAAGTATTCCTATATCATTCTATAGGGCTGGGCGCTATATACCGTACTGGCCTGAATATAAGCTGCACCTTTAAAATTGGAGGGGAGAAAGGAAAAAAAGAAAAAATACCTGAATATAAGCCGCTCCATTCCTCACTGCTCCTGGCTGCATACTGGGCAGGGGGAGGGCCGGGCTACGTTGTCGGCGGCCTTTCCCCTTCCTCTCTCTCTCCCTTCCTGACCTTGGGGGAGAGAATGCAAGACAACGCGCGCTCCTGGCGCTGTTGGCCTCGCACTCCTGGCTGCATACCATAAAGTTGTGAATATAAGCCGCACTTAAACTTTTCATGGTCAGAATTTGGGGGGAAAGTGTGTCTTATATTCGGGCCAATACGGTATTATGCTGTGTAAAAGGGTCTATCCACTGTACATCATGAAGCAGTCTTTTTCAAAGCATTCATATTATTAAAAAAATTCAAATAATCTGAATTTGAGTTTAAAAGACCTACATACGCGATAGCTTTCTGTTCAGCCTGCTTGGATAGTCCTTGGTTTTTGTTTGAAATGAAACTATGTTCACTTGGAACAGATGGAACTTCACCAGCCTTTTGGAGTAATCCCATTATGTTTTCTTCTGTGGTCTGATCAGCAGGAATGTTGCTATCTGCACTGCTTGTTACTGGAAAAGAAAAACTACCATTGAAAATTAATGCTGCGGTAGATTTTGTCCTTATTTCCTAGCCTATGTACAACCCTTTCAGAAACCATTCAAAGTCAGCTAAATTACATTTAAGGTTACATCCAATGTTGCTGTTTTTACTTAAGGGAGATATCCCTAAATCCCTTTTCTGATGAAACTGTGATGCCAGGACTTCAAACCATATTTACTTGTAAATGAAACACTGGTGCATTAATGTGTTTTTGGAATATTCAGCATACTTATGCCTGTGAACCAACTCACAGTTACTTTTTAAACTCTGAATTTAAATGGAAAAATTCAAGCATATTACATTGCCATCTATTGTGAATGGCACATAAAAACAGAAGCAAGGACATAAATCTTCCCATTTAATGATGTAGATTATTGCAGGAAAGCCTGCAAAATATGGACCAGCTCTGAAGTTGAAAGCAGGCACAAATATAAACTAGATACTATTTTCATCACAAGTGTAAAGTACCATTAAGCTCTATGAGTGGCTAGTTGCAAACCTAGAGCCACTTACTTGGGAATAAGTCCCACTTAACATATGGGACATACAGCTGATTTAGACAGTAATTTGACTGTATTGTAAGAATGCAGACCTTTCTCCAACCTACCCAAGTTTTATGTCAGTCAGAATCTGGTAAGGTAGGAAGCACAAGGTATATTAGTTGGTACTAAGAACTTACATGATTTAACTTGGTTGGGAAAGACCTATTTTATAACATTTAGAGATTCACAGAAATAAGAGCAATATTTTTAAAAGTTTACACCAAAATGAATTCAGATAAATGCAAATAACTTCTGAAAACCAGTCTACTATACTGTGAATAAGTACAGTACAAATTAGATAATACAGTATTCCATATCAGACCTTTAGGAGGACATCACAACAAGAATCAAACTGTATTAAGATCTAAATTTAAATGAAACATGACTTCTTTCCTAAGCCCAAACAATGGACCATATATTTCACTAAATAAATAATATGGCTATGAGAACCACTGAAAAGCCATTCAACACTAAAATAATTTTCTAGTTTTTGATCCAACAGTGGCTTATTTGATCATTTTATTTTGATGTAAGCATCTCATTACTTTCCAAGCATCAGGCTTATTTTAAAGTAATCAGAAAATAATTTGGTTCTGTGTAGAAAATAAATATCTTACTTCTTTTTTCCTTCTTTTCATCCTGAAGCTGAGAGGTTCCTGTAGTTGCTTCTTTTACAGCCATCAAAATCTGTTCAAGCTGCTGTTGCGTTAAACATACCAAATTGTCCCTTAGCTCCTCGACGGAAACAGGATGTTTTTTGAGCTTCTTGTTTGATTCCGGAGGTTTCTTAATTGAAATTCTGGTGTTACCTGGCTTCGCAGTTGTGTTGTCTTTTTGAATGATAAAGGTGCTGTCTTTATTGCAAGGTTCTTTGGATGAATCCTTAGTAGATATCAAAGTTTCACTATTTTTCCCATCTTTTGTCAGGGACAGTCTTGATCCCACTTTCTGTTTTGTAAAACATTCACTCTTTTCACAGGAAGTGTGCAATGATTTCAGAATATGCCCATTCTGTTTTGTTCTCAATGTGTGTTTAAATGTTTTGTTTTTATTACACATCTGTTAAGACAACAATAATGAGCTTATTAGAACACCCTCCAAAAACTGTAGCTGTTTTCCTAAGCCATGCTAATGAAATGGTTTTTAGTTGTTCCAGCCAAGGAAGTAGGTCTGCTCTTGAAAAATTAATTTTAGAATTACAGCCTATTTCAAAGGAGGCTGTACTGGAGAAACACAAGAGGTTCAAGCAGAAATTTCTTTAATCTGTTATTCTCAACTCAATACTAAAACAAATGCTAGCATGTGAACTAATTTAAAGGCCATTTGACCAGAGTCCAATGAAACTTACAAGTAATTCTGCATGCCCAAGAGGGCTTTAAATTGGGGTCTTTCAAAAAGCCATCCAATTCATGCAACTGACATTGGAGACTGACTTTACATGGGGAATGCAAAATCAGCTTACGCAAAATAAAAAGTACACTTTTAAGAAAACTTACCTTTACACTTGGTTTGGATTTACTCACTGTGAAAGAAAAATACATAAGAATGAGAACAGGGTCTAGGTCAATGTCAGCTTATAACAGGGGAAATGATATCAGCTGGAAAAAATATCAGTGGCAGTGTGGCTAAACCCCTTATGTGCAAAGAGAACAAGCACTAGATGAGGTGCTCCTCCATTGCTCATTTGTGCCCTCCTCTTCCTTTTGTGCTCTAACTTAAGCATTAAGTTACATTAAACCAGAGTCCCAGTCATGTCTGAGCCAGAGAAATCTGGCTTAATGCCAGCTAACAAACCAGGAAAATAAGCCAGAATTGGTTAACTCGGGAGCTTATTCTCAAGTAACTATGAATGACTGTAGTCTTAACATTTTTGTAAAATTCCTGTACACCCAAATTAATTATTACTATATTTATTATAGTTATTTGTCTCTAATTTTTTAAAAAAATCACAAAGCGACCTACATTTTTTATTTTAAAAAATCCAAATACTGGTGAATACTGGTCTCTACAGCCACAGCATGCATTGCAATCTTGCAATGGTTTTACTTCACCCCCCAAAGGCGCACCCCTCCATTGTCTCCTGAGACAAATGGATGCCAACAATACCAAGTGTGGCTGTTAGTCCACCTAGGCCAGAGTTGTCTACTCTTGACAGGCACTGCTCTTCAGTTTCAGGCATAAAGCCTGCTATACAATTCTTTTAACTGGAAATGCTAGGGATTGAACCTGGGAAAGCACATACTCTACCACTGAACTATAGTCACTCCCTGAGAACTACACCTGTTGTGTTCTGTGAATTGTGGCCAGTGTCTTCACAATGCCTATGTGCTGGTGTAATCAAACCACAGTAGTTTGTGGTTTGAATAGAACACATCTCACGCATGTATTTAAAAGTCTGTTATGAAACTCATTTTGTCTATACAAAGACTGTAGTAAATCTTAATATTGACCATTATACATAAAAGTAATCATACCACAAGGCGCCACTATCAGTCTAGGTTTTCCATCCAGTATTTCAGTTTCAAGCTTTAAACCATCCCTGCAATATAAAAGAAAGTAAAATGTGTCTATAATTGCAATTTTGACGGGGGAAGACAGAGCATAAATTTTAAACAGTAATTATGAACCAATGACACCCATTTCCAATTTAAATATTGTCACAACAGTAAAGATATAAACTAAACACTGCCATCAAACGAAACACTGCCATTAAAGAGCAAAAGGGAGAAGATGGAAACTTGATGCACCTTATAAGCAAATGTGGGCACATGGAGTAGAACAGGACACCCTCTCCAACACAGCACCATCTCCTGAGACTACTGTAGCCACTGTAACATCATGCATTCTAGGCCCAGCCAAGTCAACTGGGTCAGAGGGTGAGAACTAGAGATTGGGCTATTACAGAGGGGACTCTATGATAGTCCCTTCCTGGCACAAGTTTTTGAGACAGCTCATCTGTTTTCCTTCGCTTTTAATTGAAAAGTTTTGTTCTGAAGTCTGTTTCCAGAGGATTTATTGGGCATTTACTGAATTGTATGCAGTAAATCCACAACTTACACACATTGAAGTTGTGCACATTCAGCTTTATGCAGGCGGTGAAAATAAATAAATAAATAGGGAGCAGAAAGGGGGTGGGTGTCAGGGGGAAAAAACTTTGGGAATCCCAACTGCCACTGAGCCCAATGTGTATTGACTATACATTATTTTGGCTTTAGGCACAATCCACGGAACATAATCCCACTTAAATTGCAAGCTTACTGTATTTAAATTCTGCAACATGTTTTTAATGTTTTACATTTTATTAGAAAAAGTATATAAGTTATATGTAAGCCAGCTTGGTATGGCTAGTCTTGAAAGGCTGCTTAGAAATACTGGAAATAAAGGACAGCATGTTCAGTGGTAAAGAAACCCACTGGTTGTAGCTCCAATCCATTTCCCAGCATAACTCATCCACCAGGGTGACCATCCCTAAACCAGGCATGAAACCAGATTAGAACAGAAAAGAGGGGCTGCAACCTGAACTCCCCACCCCCACCTCATGGACCATTTTGACAGACGGGCAGAGCCACCAACCGGTAAATCACCCAACATCACCATGAAGTCAGATGACGTAACGTCAAAGGAAATAATGGGAGTGTGCTCCCTATTCTTTTATTTCTTCCTTGGATTCAAACTGTGCTGGCAAAGAAAGATCCAAGCACCGCTTGGAGCAGCAATGACCTCCACTTGGTAACTCTGGTCAGCTGCGGGCTTGTAGTCAGCACTGAATATGAATTCAGGGATGAATGCAAGTCTCACTTGTAACTGCTGTTTGCTCCACTTTGGAACCTGCATCAGTTGGGAGCGCCAAGTGGAGCTGATTATTCAATGATCTGCATTTGGTGCAATATTTAAAAGGAGGAACGATTTTGAGCACACACTAATGCTCCTGGTTGTTCCCTGCTGCTGTAGTGTTACCTGCACCACACCTGATGTTAGGTGTGATGTCAGGTGTGGGACAGGTGGGCACAGTTTAGGCCATCAATGACTGAAGGTTTTCCTCCATTAACTGCTGCTCACCAGTTCCCAAGTTGGCAACCTTACACATAACAGCCTAAATCCAGCACGGGTATTAGGCATATCTAAATAGATTTATTTTAATGGCCTCTGGGAAATATAGCTGTGTTAGACTGGGGGTAGTGTAAACATTAAAAAAGCCTGCTGGATCAGATCAAAGTCCCATGTAGTCCACCATGGACAAACATGGGAAGTTTGCAAGCAGAACCTGAGCACATTATTATTATTATTATTAGTTGTAGTAGTAGTATACCGCCATTCACCTGAAGAGCTCAGGGTAGTTCACAGTATAAAAATACAAGATAAGAACAAAAAATAAATATAAACATAAAAAGAAACAACAAACAATAACCTCCCCCCCCAAAAAACACATTTAGAAGGATATAGGATGTATCCCCACTTGCAATTCACAAAAACCAGAATTCAGAGGCGAGTTGCCTCCTACAGTGGAGGTAAAATACCGCCACCATGGCTAGTAACCATTGGCAGCTTTATCCTCCGTTAATTTGTCTAATCCCCTTTGAAAGCCACCTGACCTGACGGCCATCACTACATCTTGTGGGAGAGCACATATGTGCAGAAACCCCCTAGCTCGTTTACATAGCAAATGAGTACAGTGGTACCTCGGGTTAAGTACTTAATTCGTTCCAGAGGTCTGTTCTTAACCTGAAACTGTTCTTAACCTGAAGCACCACTTTAGCTAATGGGGCCTCCTGCTGCTGCTGCGCTGCCAGAGCACGATTTCTGTTCTCATCCTGAAGCAAAGTTCTTAACCTGAGGTACTATTTCTGGGTTAGCGGAGTCTGTAACCTGAAGCATATGTAACCCGAGGTACCACTAGTAAACCGTGTCACCAAAATTTATTGGAAGGTTTTTAGAGGGGAACGCTTTCTAAGATGCACGCCGGTGCGTGTGTGTGTTTATATATATATATATATGTATGTGTGTGTGTGTGTGTGTGTGTGTGAGAGAGAGAGAGAGAGAGAGAGAGAATCGCGTGTGCTGGGGGAGTTGTAAGACAACCCGGACACGAAGCAGGAGATCTTGAAGCACCTACAGCACCCATCCTTTGTCCAGGTGTGCAGAGATTGTGCCACACAGTAACTGGCGGCGGAATAACCTTGTCGGTTATTTCATGGGTGGGAGGCTTCAGGTTCTGAGATCCGGGGCTTGTGCCTCGTGCCCCCCTCGAGAGGTTCAAAAGGAAGCCTCTCCGTGGTGACCACAAGGAGGGAGCCACGTACATGACACACGCGACTGCTTGCCTGCCACCGACCCACCCACCCAACCAGCGCAGGGAGAAGAGGGCTCTTCTTACCCCAGATTCATGGCTCTTTCCTCCGCTTTGTACCGCAAGCACAGAAACCCAGGAGGGACTCAGCAGCAGGGCGGCAGGAGGAGGAGGAGGAGAAAGCGCACAGAGCAGCCCCTCGGGGACACTGAGCCTGGGCTGATCCCTGCTTAATGTGTGTACGTCGGTTGCTGCTACCGCACAATGAGAGGGGAGCTGATAGGGCCAGGGCCGCTGCGGACTTCTCGCCAATGAGCTGTGCTCACACTCAGCGGGTCGCGCTGCCTGGCTGCGAGGCATTGTGGGAGTTGGAGTCCGGCCGAATCTTGAGGGCTTCCCCTCCCCTCCTTTTCCTCCTTCCCGCCCGCTTTCCTTCCCGCTCTCGAGTCGCGCGCGCAACGGGAGGCGGAGAGCAAGAAGCCGTTAGGAGGCGCGCGCGTCTCCCCCCCCCACCTCCCTTGGCGTTGCCGAACGTTCCTCCCAAAGGTGACCTGGCACCATTTCGCCCCTCTGGACTAGTCATGCTGTGCTCCTGAGGGTTGCTTGCGACCAGTCTCTCCCTCAGATGCATATAAATAAATAAATCACGAAAAATCACGTCTCTTCTGGTTCTAGGCAACGTCTTGAAAATGTTTAGTTGCCAGTGGTGCCGAGGACAGAAATAATAGAATCAGGAACGAAGCCTAACCTGACACAAAAAATTACTACTACTACTATCATTATTGTCATGGCTGTTTTGGGCACTTGTGTGCATGTTAAACAGTTAAGTGGTTCAGCACAGCTTGTCTGATAAAATAAACCGGCAAAATCAAATCTCTGTTGTCACCCCTAAAGGTTCCCCCCCACACACCTTACATCACTACTTGGAATTCAAAATGCACTGTGGAAGTAGCACCTATTATAAAATATGTTTAGAAAAGATGCAAAATGCTCTTTCTACAAGTGTACTCCCAAGTTCCCACAAACAAGTAATTGGGACTGCTGAAAGAGGCTATGGGAAATTTGAGCAAAGGTATATGCAGAAATTATGCAGAAAAAAATAGCAATTTATTAAAAATAAGAATACATAGAAATGGTTAGTTGATTCTGTAAATTGGCAAAAGTAAACAAATCCTGCTACCTGTAGCACACTCAGAGGTTTGAACAGTATCCATGCTTACTTTTTTCATCACAGTATTATATATTTTTTTCCAACCACCACCAGGGCCTGAAGCCACCACCAGCTCTGCTATGAAACCAGGTGCTTCCTTCCATTGAAGGTAAAGGACCCCTGACAGTTAAGTCCAGTTGCAGACAACTCTGTGGTTGCTGCACTCATCTCGCTTTACAGGCCGAGGGAGCCAGCATTTGTCCACAGAGTTTTCCGGGTCATGTGGCCAGCATGACTAAGCCGCTTCTGGCGCAATGGAACACCGAAACCAGAGCAGCGCACAGAAACGCTGTTTACCTTCCTGCTGGAGCGGTACCTATTTATCTACTTGCACTTTTTGGCGTGCTTTCGAACTGCTAGGGAGGCAGGAGCTGGGATCGAGCAACAGGAGCTCACCCCGTCACGGGGATTTGAACCGCCGACCATGCGATTGGCAAGTCCTAGGCACTGAGGTTTTACCCACAGCGCTACCTTCCATTAGCAAGCATTATATCAAGATGCATCAGAGGAAGGAAGAGGAAGGATACAGGCCCACCATACTCTAGCCAGGCTTCTCCCACCATCAACTGTCACCTGGTAGCTCTACATGCTGCTGTATCAGAGGATGGAAGAGAAGGAAACGGGTGCTAGCTCCTGTTTCACTGTGCTCATTGTTTTATTTATTATTTTAAAATTTATTGGTTGCTGTTTTAAAACCAAGGCAATTCAAAGCAATTTGTAATATATAAACAAACACACATTAAAACCAGCTTCAAAGAAAAACAAAAACCTAACAATCCAATTTGTAAAAGGCACAATTAAAACAAGATGGTCTCTGGCGTCACAGCCTCAGCTTTTGTAGCTGGAGTCAGTCAGGGACCTGCCCTTTCAGCAATGGCGGAGCTTCATGCTCCGTCACCAGGGGTGGGCGGAGAGCAGGCGGGGGCATGGCCGGCGCACGTCCCAGGGGCATGGCGCGTTTCCTAGGGGCGTGGCACGCCGCCTGTGGGGACGTGGCACCCAGTGCAGGTGGGGCCAGCCACAATGGCAACCCACCGGGATCACGCTGCCAGGTACAGTGTGCTCTCCCCGCTCCCCTCTTCCTCCACCTGTGCCTTTCAGACCAGGTGGGAAAAGGCCTGCAAGGCAAGGAGCAGGTCTTCCAGGACTCACAGCCAACATGGTTAAACAGATTTTTGAGGCAGATTGACTTTTCTTTAGATCCAAGCTGCAAATGAGCTCCAAAGAGTGAAGGAGAGGAAGGCTATGACTGAGAACAAAAGATACAAGTCCCTTGGCGACTGAAGTAAAAACAGTTAATGAGACCCTTGAGGGATGAGTTTGCAAGCCAAAGAGCAGCTTCATAGCCTTGTGTGCTGCTCCCTCTGTGAGTTCCAACAGGTGCTTGCAAGGCTTAGAGTTGGATGTCTCTCCAAAGCCATCTGATCCCAATAAAATTCTGGGAACAAGTTTGAAATACACCAGAGAGGTGACAATTTCCAGATGCCTGCTGATACTTCAATTAGTAGTCTATGTATTATTGTAATGTCCTGCTTTCCTAGAATCGTCTTCTTCCATTCTTTTTGTTTGCTTGCTTCTCTGTACATTGTCAAGTGTAAAAAATTTTTCCCCTTTTATTTAGATTTTATTTCTGAAATATTTCATTTCTTCATTCATTGGTTTATTTCTATATCCCTTTATGGCCCAAAGGCCCCCAGAGCAGTGAGCAGATTAAGACAAGCCACACTTTATACATTTGCGAGCTGCATTCATGCTCTCACCCCAAAATGCAGCTCCCCAGCACTCTCCCTGTCCTTTAGAAGCCATATTGACTCACATTTGCCTCCCCACACCCCCGCTGTCAGCCACTCCAAGTCTCTCACCTTGGAGCAAGGCCATCCACCAACAGTTGCTCAATTCCATAGGTGTTACATTGCAAAAATAAGCCTGCAGTTCTCAGCACTCAAACTAGAGAGTAGGTCCCATTGAACTCTAAGAAGTAGTGCTGCGTAAAAGTTCTTTGGACTGCAATGTAAAACATTGATGGCTTTAATCCTCATGAAATCTATCTGAATCTGTTAAAACTGACTGAACCTTTTGTTAAAGTTAATAATGGAACTAGAAGTTAGAAGGTAACTACTAAGGTGAACACTTAATGGAATCCACATTTTAATCGATCAGTTTGCTTGTATACAGATTGCACATTACTTTAAGAAGAGCACATAAATATATTATGTATCTGAAAACTATAACGAAAATGGGAGTCCAAGGGCTATTTTTAAAAGGTCAGGTTCACGGACAGATGCTTAATCTCTTGCTATCTTTGTTTCAATCAGCAGGTGGCAGAAGATTCAAGGATATTCTGTACATTGGAAGGAGGATAATAATAGAATAATAAAATCATATGAAAGCACTGACATTTTAAAATGTTTTTCAAAATATTTTTAGTATGAGTTAATAGCTCCAACTGACTAAGATGAAGGTAATTTCATAAAGGGATATTATTTAAACACTCCTATGTGGTATTCTTTTTGGAAGTGAAACCTCCACTCTGAGCCTGCAGGAAATACTTTACATATTGTTCACTGCAATACACTCATGTAAATCCATACAAACATCTATTATTATGAGTGGGCTCAAAATCCAAATGTTTTTTTGGGGGGGGGAATTGAAACACCCACCTAGCAAGCTAGTCTGTTTTCCATATAAAACAGCACAGTTTGTATTCCCCTAGGGTAAAATGTAATAATACACACCATTGGCATCTCTTTACTTGTATGCCAGAAGAATGTGCGCCTAACAACTCACTACATATCAAACGAACAGCAATAAATTTAACCATTCAAAAGACAAGAACAACTGCAAATAACCATACTGTCAATAAACAAATAGAGAATAGAATCAGGAAAACACATAAAGATATACAACTTTTTTCTAAGCGTATATAAACTGACGAAATTCAATGGCTCAAAATTAAACGAGAGAGAATAAAGCTTCACACAGAAATAATAATTGTAGCATGCAAGATAAAATAGATTTCCATTTCACAAAGGCAGCAAAATTCTACTCTGGAGGAGCCCTGGGGGGGAGGGATAGAATGGCATGAGTCTTTACAACAAGGGTCTTCTGTATATGGCCTCCGCACCACACCAAAAGCATACTGCAAGACAAAGTTAATATTGTTACACACACCACCCCAATCTCCGAGTGGTGAGAGATTTCAGGGTTTCTAGGTGCTTACCTAGGGTTCCAATTCCCTTGGAATGAGGGACAGCGGAGACTATGGTGTCTTTATGATATATGTTTTTAATGTTTTGTGCTTTATTGTGTTTTATATATTCTGTAAGCCACCTGGAGTGCCTGGGGAAACCCAACCAGATGAGCAAGGTATAAATAATAAAAAATATTATTTTTTATTATTATTTAGTTTATTTACGTATATATAAACCTGAGCCAAAGATGGAGGGTCTCATAGCGTTAACACCTCAAAAGGTTTTGCTTCTGCCATAGTCACAGCCTTGGAATCAAACATGGCTCTCACGCTCTGGCTTCTGCTTGCAGCCTGCTTCCAGTTCAGCTAACACACATTTTGCTTTTGTCTTCTAATTACCAGCCAGGTGTGGGAGGGGATCTATCCATTTGCCCTCTGGCACAAAGCGACTTCTTTTGTTACACTTACAACAGTACTTAGGTGGTACTTAAGTAGCAACTATGACCATCATCTCACAAAGAAATTTGCCTGACTAGTTCAACAATGGAAGCTTCCATTAGATTTTAACGATTGTTGGAATTAGAAGGGATTTAGGCATCATATAGATGCAAAACTCACAACAATATTATAAAAGAGCATCTCTCAGTATAAAAATCTATTTTAGCCTAGGTTATGAGCACAATATTTCAAGTAAGCCTCTTTGAAACAAGCAGGTGCTGCATGGAATAGCCAGCAGTGTTGAGTCTATCTATATACGTGCCAGAGTCTTACAAGTTCACGAAGCCATAATGAATTCCTGTTGTCACTTTTTGAGCTGCAAGAATATTTTGGGAGAAATCTATCAGCCTCTGAAAGAAATGCAAACGTTGCAGTGCCAGCTTTGACAGTTGTGAACACTGCAGTAGGTCCTCATTCCATTAAAGGCCTTGTCTTGCACATTTTGTTGTTTGATATTTTTCTTGGCAATCCTGCCCGATTACATACTGGGAAATGGAAATCTAGTAGTGAGAAGTGAAGAAGTCAAAACTAAATTGCCCTTATAATCTCTCCTGAAACATCCTCTGCACAAGAAGCTGATTAAGTGCTGACATGGCTAGCTCCAAGAAATTTCCATTCCTGTGACTCAGTTTTGGCCACAAACGTGGAGTTATTCAAGGAAATGGTGTTGGCCACCAGAACAGAAATGTAAAAAATGAAAAGAAAGTTTCTTCAATTAATCTGAAGATGAGTATTAGTAATCTCACAATGTTCTAGTAAAACTTGATATTCTGGAACGTAAAATTCAGATCCAAACAGATTAATGATCAAGGGTCTAGAATCCAAGCCTTATGAGAAATGGTGGAGTCACTGAAAACTTGGAATAAAGAGAGGGAATCTTAGAGTGTGAAGGGAGGAGGGTCTGATTTGTGTTGGTTCAAGATAAAAATGGGTATAAAATGAGAATTCCTGCTTCCCAATATCCAAGTTGGGGGCAAGTACTCTTTGGTGAGAGAACCCCACCAGAGATTTAAAATCACAAAATACACAGCAAAGTAAAGTGTAGAAATATAGGCTGTTAGACCTTTAAAATATGCCTAAGTTCTTTCCAAGGTTCCTCTCTTCCCATGCATAGAAAAAGACCACACGTTTGGTAAGTGAAAAATAGTTTACTTACACACTCTTCAAATTCATGTGCTTTTCTATGCAGCATTCAGAAGCAGTTGTAAAGGCAGTAAAACATGACTTAGTTACAGTGGTGAAAGTTCCTAAATTATTGGTATAGAAACTCAAGAGTGACCTGTAACAGCCACACATATATAAGAGGCATAAGAGCAGTGCAACCTGCCTACCCCCTGTGATCCCACCAAAATGTTAATACCATAAATTGACTGCTTCATTTTTTAAAAAAGCTTAAACTTCTTTGTTAGGCGGGAGGAGAACAAAGGCTTGATTATCTAGTCTCTCCCAAGGTGAGCTAAGCCTGGCAGGATAGCTTACTCCAGGCATAGGCAAACTCGGCCCTCCAGATGTTTTGGGACTACAACTACCATCATCCCTAGCTAACAGGACCAGTGGTCAGGAGGGCCGAGTCTGCCTGGCTTACTCTATGGTCTTAACCCCTTCATGCATTAATTAGACTTAAGCATGTTGGTTATATGAGGCTGGTTATCCCACACTTTGGCACCAGACAACTTCATGTAGTACCAGACTTGTGGGAAGGAAGAAGAGAATGAGTGGGGGAGCCAAATACAATATCAAGATTTGCTCCTGTTTCAACCCACCCCAGGCCAATGGATACTTTTCTGCCCTGTGAGGTTGCCTTACCCCATATATGTCCACTCAACCACTTCAGTCATAGAATCATAGAGTTGGAAGAGACCACAAGGGCCATCGAGTCCAACCCCCTGCCAAGCAGGAAACACCATCAGAGCACTCCTGACATATGGTTGTCAAGCCTCTGCTTAAAGACCTCCAAAGAAGGAGACTCCACCACACTCCTTGGCAGCAAATTCCACTGTCGAACAGCTCTTACTGTCAGGAAGTTCTTCCTAATGTTTAGGTAGAATCTTCTTTCTTGTAGTTTGGATCCATTGCTCCGTGTCCGCTTCTCTGGAGCAGCAGAAAACAACCTTTCTCCCTCCTCTATGTGACATCCTTTTATATATTTGAACATGGCTATCATATCACCCCTTAACCTCCTCTTCTCCAGGCTAAACATGCCCAGCTCCCTTAGCCGTTCCTCATAAGGCATCATTTCCAGGCCTTTGACCATTTTGGTTGCCCTCCTCTGGACACATTCCAGTTTGTCAGTGTCCTTCTTGAACTGTGGTGCCCAGAACTGGGCACAGTACTCCAGGTGAGGTCTGACCAGAGCAGAATACAGTGGCACTATTACTTCCCTTGATCTAGATGCTATACTCCTATTGATGCAGCCCAGAATTGCACTGGCTTTTTTAGCTGCCACATAATACATCTGGCACTGTTATAGGTGCCACATAATAAATCTTCTGCATTTGTAAGGAATCAACTTTTAGTGTGGCAGCACCTGTACCTTAGAACCTTCTGCCAATTGCCACCAGGCAGGCGTCTTCATGGCAGTCTTTTTGGCACCTGCTATAAACTCCCCCCCCCCCATGGGGTCACAAAGAGTCAGACACGACTAAACAACTAAACAACAACATAAACTTTTTTGTTTAGACAAGTTTACCCAGATATGTGGATGGTTGATGTGTACTTTATTTTTGGTTCATACTGATTTTACTTTATTTGAATGTTTTAAATACTTGTTTTTAATGGTTTTTACCAATAATTTAATTGTTTTATTCTCTTTGTCAATGGATTTGAGATTGTAAAAAATAAAAATAAAAAACTGATGTATAGGCTTTATGAAATAACTAACTAACTAACTAGGAACAAGAGAGTGAGGAAAGCAGACAAAGACAACATCACAACCTGTTCCAGCCAGACTGTTCCACCCACAGGCCAACTTTACATTTCATATAATTGGTTTTAGTACTTTAAAATTGTAAACAGCCTTGGGTGCTTGGGCAGAAAGGTGGTATATAAATGCAGTAAACAAACATTTGACATCAATACAAATTTGCTCTGAGATCCTTCATTCAGTTAAAACTCAGCTATAATTGCAGATGACGACAACAAAGAGTTTCCCATCTTCCTGGCACCGGTTTATATTCTGGTTTGGAATGCTGGAGTTAGCTTTTAGGTGACATATTAAAATTACACATGTGAGCTCACCGGACACAAAGCAATAAATTCAAAGGACAGTAATTTGCAAATATCAAATACAGAGAACGTTATTGAGCAAAAAGCCAGAGCAATTGCTTTCTGCTATCTGGCATCTTTCCACATTAATTCAAGGATATAACAGAAGATCTCCTGACTCTAACTGAAAGTACAGTTTTAGAAATATACTCTGCTCTCACTGTGCTCATTGTCTCAGATCCAATGAAAGTTTATTGCACCTGAATGGAACTTAAGTTAGTTGTGACCAATTTAAGCCCCTGATGGTTTAAATGGGACTCAGGTGCAACTCATTTTCTGGGGATTGGGACCACATTGTTCTGCTTCTTGGCTGATCTCATGTTAATCTGATTAGGAGAAAGAGCAGAAAATAATGTGACAGCACTTTACCCTTCTGTCTACGGACATGGCCAGGAAAGTGTCTTCCTGACTTGATTCTGCAGAAGGAGCTATGGAGCTGAAGGCTAATATTGCTGCCGCAGCTTCTCAAACCTGGCTCCATCCCAAACCAGAGCTTGATACTAAATGGTTTTTGCATGCAGAATCAGCCAGTGTGGCTTTTTCTCCGGTCGGTTTTGATATCACAGTAGCTAGAGAAATGTCAATAGCTGAACTGGGTTTCTGTATTCCAATCCTTCTGCCCAGATACAAGGCCAGCAACGTGGCCAAATGCCCTAGCTGTCTGCAATCTGATTCTGTGCATGCACACGTTAAACTAGCCTATTCATGAAACATGACAAAAGCTTTTCATATTTGGTTTTTCAGCAGGGGGTAGCAAATTATTAAATGATATTTTCATACTTCCACCATGATATCCATAGTGCATTCCATATGCTGCCACTTGGCTTTTGCTGATCAGAACATTTCCTCCTATGTATTTTAGTTTTATACAGAAAACTGACACAAACAGATAGCCATTCCCTTCAGATTCCATGCCAGAAATGGACAGTTTTGGAACCAATTTTACTTTTTTGAAACTCTGGGGGAGAAAATTGGAACACATGCAAGTACATGCCTCATTCAGAATCAATGGAGGGTACTAAGTCTGATTTCAATTCAAGATTGCGTGCTTCATTCTTCACAGGAAGGACCCACACATCTGTTTAACCAATACAAAAGAAATGTTTTGCTTTCCAAGGGTGGTGCATAGTGATCATTATTAGTAGAACTAGGCAGAGAAAAACTAATCAAGGGTTTATCATTTCTGTACCTCTTCTGACCCTTAATTACAGATTTGTAGAAATGCTTATGTATTTTCTTTTGTTGTAGGGGAGACCAAAGGATATTAGCAGACCTATTTTTGTTCTAAGCATTCACTAAAATCAATTGTTTGTGTATGTTGTCCTTTTTTTCATGTCCCATACATGACTGCTACAACCAACTTGGAACCAGTTTAAAGTTCCCAATGGTTTTTTTTTGTTAAATTGTTTGCTTTTGTTAGAGAAACGATGTGGGGGGATTTTTATCAGTGAAACAGTGTAATAATCAGCAAAAGGACTACAGTGGAACCTTGGTTCTCAAACTTAATCCATTGTCCGTTCGCCTCCTGAAACCATTCGAAAACCAAAGCGTGCCTTCTGATTGGCTGCAGAAGCGTCCTGCATTCAAGTGGAAGCCGCGTCGGACATTCAGCTTCCAAAAACGTTGGAAAACTGGAACACCTCTGGGTTTTTGGTGTTCAGGAGCCAAAACGTACAAGTACCAAGGTGCTCAAAAACCAAGGTACAACTGTATAATGAGGCCGCTGATTCTTCCCATCATTGAGGGAAAGTTGGCTGCTGTGTGATGGGGTTTCTGGGAAACTCACAGATTCATGAATGTTCTGGGCACTGTGACGCATACTTCTGTTGGCATCTTGGTATTCACATGGGGGCAGGGGAAAAAGCATGCTGGAACTGCTGCGGTTTCTACAACATCTATACTTAATTCATAAAATTTGTATACTACTTGATCATAAGAACGAAACTTCAAAGCAGTTCCTCATATACATCCTCATTTGATGCTATTTCTCAAAACTGACTGTGCACACACATGTCCCCCTGTTTCCCCTCTGTATTCTATGTTCTTGTTCTTCACCCCTTCTTGCTTGCAGATTCCTCTGCCCTTTGCATGCAGTAATGCAGTAATGAAAATTGCAAGATGCGTTGAGG